TTGCCTACCTCAGCAAGTGCCATAGCAGGTGTTCTATGACCCCCGCGCGAGCTTCCACCATCTCATGTATCTACCTGATTTGTATTCCATGCTCAATACATGTCTCCGTTTGTATCACTGGCTTCAATCAATGTTGACCCCGCTGATGGATCGTCGTGCATGAGCTCCCCAATGGGGTCGCGAGCACGCGGGACGTCCGGACTGATAACGCGCTAATATGTTGATTAATATTAAATATATCATGATATATTAAACCCGCAGATCCTGATACGCTCCAGATTCTCCACGACTGGGAATGTGCTGGGAACATAGGATGGAACATGGTCGCAATGTGTGCGTAATGCAGTTAATACCATGATATTCCCAGGTCCGGCGGAATGTGATGGGAACATGCTGGGAATGTGGCGGTAATGCGCTCATCCTCTCCTTGTTCCCCAACCTCCGTAATCTGGCGCTTCACGCGGTGGGATGACGCGTCCCAAGCGCAAATGTCGGAGCGCACTGAAGGGCTATTTTCGGCGCACGAGACATGTAGCCCACATATGTCGAATACCAAGTCTGCGCGGGACAGCTGTCCGTATTTGACGGACTATGGTCGAGGGAACAAAAGGGCTGTGCGGGGTAACCTCGTCCTTCTATACCTTATATTGACCTGTTTCTCGGAGAGTTCGCTCAGTTCCTCCGCGACGTATGCCCCGTCTTCGCCTCGGGACCACTCCCCGCTCTACCGGCTTCGGACTGATCGTCCACTCTTCTACCGACCTATAACTGTATCCGCGTCTGGTCGAAAACGGGCCTGTTCTCGCGATCTCCCCGTCAGGTTCACAGTTGCGCATCACTTCGTCACGCTACCTCACCTCGTGCCCGTCCTTCGTTCACGAGCTCATCGCTGCCGAGCGAGCCCCCCCGTCGCACCCACTCGCGCTCGATAGCATCGTCGACTGAGAATCCGAACGCAATACAAAACGCCGCACAGGAACCAGATAGGGTATAGATCGCCCGGTATCTCATGCCCTGATCTCTGCTCGTCCTCTGCTGGCAGATCGCTCCCACACGACGGTCCTCAACCGAGTCTGCTGATTCACGAGCCCGACGTCCCCGACAGCTACATGACTTCGTGAGCGTCGAGACGGCGTGTGCTCCGAATGCAGGCACCCACTCGGATTAGCCTCGCTCTGCACGCCGTCAACACCCGTTCTCTCACCGTCGACCCAATAGAACACGGGGCGGGTACCCTTTTAGATGTCCTGCAGGCGAGGGAACACGAGGCGACCTACAGAAATTTGCGGACGCGCAACTAGTATGCAGGTACTACCAAGGGCTTTTCGAGAGCCTAGGGAGCCGCGAAAGGGCGAGAGGTGAGCAGATGATGGTGGGTGCAGTACCAACAAAGTCTGTATTCCGTGTCCGACACAGACAGAGTAGATACCTATTACTACGATAACGACGTACACGACGCGCCCTTGGCCTGCAAAGGACTCCGGCCCATGGGGTATAAACTAGATAATAAAGACAAGGAGCGTGGGGTGCGAACGATGACTCACGAGAGGGCGTGCCGTGATGGACATTTCAAGCTAGTCCGCCACCCGCTCGGCGCGTCAGAAGTTCTGTCTAGAATGCAACGAGTGGACGGGTAAGGTCACGGTACGGATGGCGCAGGAGAGCGAGCATGTGCGTGTATCTCATGTGTACCAATGAGAGCGAAGCGAGGGTGCTACTCCAGGTGACACATGAATGGGCACTAGGCTAGGGGGGTGGTAAGGGAGCGTGAAGAATACACAACAACGACTGGACAGGACCGGGTCGAGCGAATGGTACATGGGCGGGTATCGAGTACGACGAAGCGCAGCGTATAGCACAGGAGACGAGCAAGCAGCGACCAAACGCCGGGCATAGATAGGCGGTTCCAAAAATACAGTGAGCCAACAACGAAGGGCAGGAGAACATAGGCAGCTGTAGCGATAGAGCCGAGATGCGACGAAGGACATAGACAAGCGATGGGGGCATTAGTAGCTTGAAAGGGATCCATAGGCGAAACGAGAGGGAGAGCGAGGAGTGGCAAAGTCTACAGCATCATGGCAGCGTAGCCATGAGCGTTGCCACCTCCTCCGACGCTGATGGGCGCGCTCTTCATCATACCCATGTTCATGCCACCCATGCCCATGTTCATCCCGTCGTCCCAGCCGGCACCACCGGGGCCAGCCATGCGCCGCGGGACAGCGGCGCCGTTCATGACGCTCGGGATCTCGTAGCTGCCGCCGTTGCTGGCGGGACTAGCGTAACCGCTGCCGTTGCTGTTGATGCTTCCGCTGCGCTCGCGGCGAACGTTGATCGGGCCCGACGTAGGAGAGCCGTCCTCGGACAAGCGCTGAGCCTGGAGGAGCTGCTGGCGCTGAAGGTTGAGGAGGTACGCTTGCTGGCTCGTTGGCGCATTGATGTTCATCGGAGAGACGTTCCCTGCGCCGTGCGACGACGCGGGAGGCGTGAAGAGGGCAGGACCGCCGGGGACCTGCGCTCCGAACATCTGCGCGGCACCCCACGCCGCCTTGTCATCGTGAACGGCCTGCGCGTGGCCGTTCATCTGCTGGATGTACTGACCCGGGAACTGAGCGTGCATCTGGTTCGCGGCGTGGGGGTGCGAGTCGTACATCATGGCCGGGTTCTCGAAGGAGACCGCGCTGGGGCTCTGGACGATCATCGGGGTGTGCGGGCCGTGAGCGGCGGGGCGGGGAAGGATCGTCTGGAGCTGGAGACCTGCGCGCTGGGGGACGTTGTGCGCGAAGGGGTTGACGTCGCTGGCCTTGGCGAGAGGGAGGTGTTGCACAAGAGGGGCGCGCATGTCCTCCATGGTGTCATCGTGGATACCGCCCTGGGCGGGTCCGGTATAATCGTCGTCGCCGTAGTCATTGTCGCCGTAGTCGCCATCGGCACCCTCCTCCTCGACCGGACCTGCGTTGAGGACCTCGACCTCGCCGCTGAGGATCATTTGGAAGGCCTCGCCACGGACGGGCTCGTCGACGCGGGGGAGGCCGGAGCGGTCGCGCCATTCGTTGAGTTCGCGACGGAGGGCGTCTGACTCGAGCTTGAGGAGACGGAGCTCACGTGCGGCAAGGAGGCGGTGCCTGCGGGACGCGTGGATGTGGGCGATGGAGGAGTTGACGATCGAGGACTTGGAAGGACGGCGGATCTGGGAGAGGTTGGGGAGAAGCGCAGCGAGGTCCTGTGCGGAGGATTAGCGAAGATGTACTGCGGAGAAGAAGCGGGTGCGTACCAAGAAACGACCGTTGAGGGTCTCGCGGCGAGCGCGTTCAACGGCGTTGTGGGTTGCCCTGCGCTCTGCGGTGTTGGCGCGCCTGCTGGGCTTGCGCTTGGGCTGAGCGGGGTTGTTGGAGGGGGCGGTAGGAGCAGGGGCGGCGCCCTCGGCGGGCGGGGGAAGGGCGAGAGTCTGAACGGAGTTGGAGGGGGAGACGGGAGTCTGAGGACCGTTGGAGCCGTCGGTGGAGGAAGGAGAGTTGCCGGCGGAAGGCGAGTCGGGGATGGTGAGAGGAAGAGCCATTGCGATAGAGGTACAGTGGATGCGGGCGTGGGTGGTGGGCGATAAGCAGGAGATACAGCAGGGGCGGTCTATGTCGAGTGGGGAGGCGTTTTACGGCGGGTGATCGTGTCGGGAGGGCGGGGAGCGGGGACGGGAGAGAGCAGACGGGTGCGCGATAAAATCAGCGGGATCCGAAAGTAGCTCAAGGGGGGAGGGTCGGTTCGGCAGTCGATGGCGGGAGGGGGCGGAAATACTAGTCGCGAGTGACACTCAAGCGTTACTAGCAGTGGAAGAGGGTCGCGTGAAGGGATGTTTGGTCTGCTTTGCGAGGGGGATGGGCGGATGGGGAGAAGCCGGCAAGGGTCGCGAGATCTGGAAAAGGGGCAGGATAAGGTGAGCAAGATGTTGAGGACGGCGGGGAGAGAGCAGAGAGAACATACTCCAGGCGGTATCCTTGTGACGGCGAGGGCGAGGCGGAGAGAAGGAGCAGGAGGGGGCGGAGGAGATGGGAGGCGGGGCCTTCAGACGATGACCATGCGACGGCGAGAGGGGCGAACTCCAGCTGCCCTCCCAACCAGTCCCCCCATATATCTACCATCCGGCCGTCCCCGGCCCACTTGCCCATATCCGGCAACTCCGACTGCAACGACCGCCAGCGACAGCCAGTACAATGTACTAATACACTCCTCCGCCGCCGCAACGACAACATATCTCGTCCCCCTCCATCGCTCCCCGTCGCCGCCCCCGTCGTCCGCCCCCGCTCGCTCGTCTCCCTCCGACCCGCCTGCGCAACGCATTCCGGGCGTCTCTGGTGCGGTGGCATCACTGCCATCTTTCGAATCGGAAGCCGCCACGGCCACGGACGCCCTGCCAGTCCTATCCCCGCCTCATTCTTTCCCCAAACGAGACCCCTTCTGCTCTGCCATCTTATCATCTTCTCTCTCTCAGATCACCCCCCGGTAACTGCCGTCCCCGCCTGCGACGCAACAAGGCAGCAACCAACCGTCCATCATCTTCCTGTCGTCACCATCCCGCCCAACCACTCTCCTCCTCTCATCGCCTCCCTCTTTTCCGTTCCAGCTCCGACTTCAGCCCGTACTGACCTAAACCTTACTTATTCCCTTCTCATCAACGATTGCCGTCAAGCATCCATCACATGAAACTCTTGCCTCAGCCGCCACTTCCTCCTGCCGTGCTCCCAGCCCCCTTCTTCCTCTCTTTTTCCCCCACGTCTGTCCGCTGACAGCCCAATCGCTCGGCTTACCACATCATCGCCCCTGCTTCCCCTGTCCGGCTTTCCAATCCGCCGCCGATCCCCACACATCGTCCCACCCTTTGCGCTCTTTGGGTTATGTCCTACTCAATCTCACCCGCCGCATCTCCTTCTCTACGTCGCCGCCCTGCCCTCGTCCTTCACGACAACCGCCTGTGCCTCCCCCGCTTTCCCTTGACCGACCTCTATCTCTCCCCGCCCGCGCCGTCACAGCCACCCAATCGACTTCCTCACGACCTCAGCTCAGAATTCTCCCCAGCTACATACACACGGGATATCTCACCGCCGGAAATAGTGTACAGTACGCGTACCTGCCTGTACTTTGCCGAGGTACCCGCTCTAAGAGATCCTGCCGTCTGATCGCGCTTGAGCGTGTTTCACGCGAGATCTCCATTCGCGAAGTGCGTGACGACTGAATGAGATCCCCACCGCGCATACCATCAACTAAGTACACCATCCTCGGGCCCGATGTCGACTCCCCTTGCCGTTCGTAGTCTTATGCTCAACTACCTCCGGTCCCTTCCCGGTCTCCTCAGCGGCACCAGCCCGACTTGCGGTTCCTGCCCAGCTGCGGACATTCCTGGACATCGACCGTCGTTCCTGCGCTGTCGGAGACGCTTGTCGCGTTCGCACCCCAGGCCGCGACCGCGCCTGATTCCCCGTTACGCCCAAATGAAGACAGTGATCGTCGCTGCTCGTCTCCTCTGGAGCGGCCCTCCTGCTTTATTTGCTACCAAGTGACTCGCTTGTGACCCCAACATCTTCTAGCGAATTTTAGACGACTCGGCGGGTGGTCGCCTTCACAATAAGTCACCGAATTCTCATCTTCACCGGCTTCTGCTGTGCGCCGCTGTCTGTCGCCCGCAGCTACAATCTGTCTTAGAATGTCGCTGTCGGCATATCTTGACCTCTCCTTCAGATGTGCGTGTTTTTGACTGCCGCATATGTAGCTACTCGACTGCAACTGGTCCGGGTTGACTGCAACGAGACCCGCCAACAATCATCCCAATTCGGTCATGACTCACCGGCTGCTGTGCATGCTCCGTGGACTTGCTTTGCCGCCGCCGCCGCCTTCTTCGATCCGGACTCGGTCACGGGGCCGACATCTGCAGGCTGCGTCTTGTCTGACTACCGCCGTCATCATCTGTGCGGACTCCATTGCGCAGTACCGCCTTACGACACAACGCACGATACGCTCACACGGCATGGCACATCCTCATCGACTGTCGAGCCGGCATACGCCGCCTTCTGGATCCTGCGCTTTTCCATGGTCCTGCACATTAATCCCCCACCTTCCATTAGAGCCACCGCCCCACGCACGGATCTCGTCCAGCCTAGAGCTTGCTTGCGCCCAACAAGCTCACAACTCATTATGTGGACGCCGCCTCCTTGAGTTTTCGCTGCTCTTGGCAATGCGGACGCGCTCGCGAATGTGCCTCTCCGGCGCGGCGCACAATATTGTAGCCGTCTTCCGTCCTGTCAAACCTTGCCTGCCGCGTTACTAATAGTAATCTCAAAGCTACCCTTTTTCCCCTCCGAGCACACTGGTCCCGGACGACTTAACCTTGGCGGCGCAAACGGTGCGTCCAGGGCGCCACCCCTTCATACACCAAGATCAAATCACATGCTATTGGTACCGCCTACCCCCGAGCCGGCATCTAGCGCCTTCCCAGCCAGCCCGACGACGCTCGTCCAGACTTGTGTGTATGTAAGTCGACGTCGATGTCTGCCTATCTTTGTCCAGTACGTGACTGGCCCTCCTTCCCCGCCCTCCCACACGCCGACGATCTCACGGTCGGACCTCGACCTTCTTCGACGCCGGCCCCTCACTCTGATTTTCGCTGCTCGCGGTGGCGTGTGTGGCTGAGATCACATCCTCTTCCCACTCCTGACGCTCGCGTGCGTGCAACCGTAATCCGTAATGTCGGCATACCAGTCCACCGTTTGTCATCGACTCCCTGAACTTAGGACGACAGTGGGAGGATGGACGGACAATTCCGTCGTTTTACTGTACTCCAGTGCCGTAAGCTGACCTTCGCGCAACGAGGTGAGTGTCTAAGTCGCGCTGATACCTGTCCAAGTGAGTACCGCGATTATTCCAGAGCCCCTCCTCGTCATAACGCGGTGATGTGGTGCTCCTGCTCAGATGCCCATCCCCAGTCCGACGGAGGTCAGCACAAACGTCAAGGTTCTGCCAATCACAATGGCATTGGTACGTCATTATAGTACGTATCAGCTGCTCACTAACCGTCAGCTTTCCATAGTTCTAGTCTCGTCCCGACCTAGCAACATCCAGAGAGCTGCGCCGGACGGAACCATATGCTGCGTAATTCCGCCCGTCGACATTCACTGCTGTCCTTCAAATTCACCGCGCTCCTTGCCGTGCTTGCACTTATGTGATCTACGGATCGCTATGCGACTCACATGTCTCGGAGTAACTGCTCCTGCCATCTGAAGTGCATATTCAACGGTCCCCGACACACAACTAGAATGCAACTGACAGGGCAGGCTACGATCGCCCTCCATCTGCAGGTCTCAGCTAGCCTCCGGCAGAGACGTAGCCGTCGTCACCGAGTAACTGTACAATTCTCGATCCGTCCGAAGTAGAGGACATCTCGGGTCTGGCTCAACCAAGGCCCTCGATGTTCCCGGTCCCCAAGTGGTAACAACCGAGAGATGGTAGTTGCGGAGCTGGCAACGTCCTGTAGGCGGACGGTGGCACAGCACCGGTCCCAGCGCTTAATGCGGACAGCGTCGGTGTCTCGTCGTCAGGCTCTCAAGCTCATGGCAGGGAACGGGGCATGATGATCTTACGTTTGCCATGTCGGTGCGTTCCACAATCCGTCCTTCTCTGTGTTTCGCCTTTGCCTGCCCATCGTCACTTCGTGACGTTCGCGGTCGCTACTTCCCAAGCTTGCCCAGATTGTCCGACTTTCGCATCAATGCCGTTGGGTTACGCTCTCGCAGAAGCCTGATTTCACATTTCCGCGCTCTGGAGTCCGGTGATTGCGCCCGCAAGGCACGATGTCATCTGAGTTCATCTCCGTTGCACCTTTGGCAAGTGTTCACAGATCCCAGCGCACTGCTTGTGTGTCCTATTCTCCCGCAGTCAAAGTTGCGCCATAAAGGAGGGCTCGGCATCTTCAATCCAGACTTCATTCGGTTTCCTAAAATATCATGGAGTAGCGCAAGTTGTCTACATAGCACGGCACTGATCTGCGGGCGCGACAAATTGCTACTATGTACTGGTGCCGCTGAAAGACTGTGAGCCATTGTACGATCGTCGCTGATGTCTCACTACATCGCGTAACACCCTCTTACCGCCGACGGAGACGAGGACTTCGCAGCCGCTGTACGCGGTACTGGCGCTGCTATGCCGAGTGTTTTCGACATGAACGAGGATCAAGGCGTTGCGCCATGCTAGTAGGCGCCGGTGGACATGACCATACCTACTTAGAAATATCCGGGGCATCCTCGGCGCGAGCCACCGCTCTCGAGTCTCCAACACCTCTACATACCCTAAACGGGAATAGTCCCCAAATCAACATACTTAGATGCATGCTAGATCCGTGCTGGGATCTGTCATTCTCTGACTCGGTTGCGCTGGGATCTACACAATCTAGGCGACCGCGGCGGGCAGATCGCCTCAATTGCTGACCTTCTGTCGCTGTACTACAGAATCACGAGAAGACCGGTGAGACTGCTCTCCGGTTCTCCGATTTGTCCGTTCGTCCACAGAACATACCCAATCACTGAGGATATACTATGATAGCCATTGCATCCTTGTCCATATCTCGGACTGCTTCCATGTTGCGCTTCCCTTGTTCCCGACGAAGCTCTGTCAGATGGGCTGGTAGTATTCGGCGAAGATATCTGTGCGAATATAGCGGGAGATACAGTACATCTCTTTCGCTCCATGCAAGGGTGTCCTGCATTCCGTGGAATGAGCTGCACCTACATGAACAGCGGTGGCTTCGCTCGGAGTCTTGTTGTTTCTGATCGAGATCGATACGGGCCTGGCACGCTCGTTGATAAGATAATGATCGACTCATCCCGCTCTTTTCGGACTGGAAAGGGTGTCTTTCAATCAGCGCTGCGAACACGGTTAGCTAGAAATTCGGGAGAAAGGGAAGACGAATATATTCACATTTAGTCCGAATGCACACGCGTGCCGTCCACAGCAGAAATAGTGAGCCTTGATACTGGGCTACTAGTGAACATGGCTAGATAAAGGTGCGGGTATCCGTCGGGAGGCGGGCGGGCCTGTGGCGGGGGCGATAAGGAAGCGGGCCTTGTGGCGCTCGTTCCGCTCACTCGCTATACTGAAGCCAGAAAACCAAAAGACTAGCAGGGCAGAGTTGTAGCGGTACATACATACCTGAAGGACAGTCAGGTCGTGTAGGGACGGACAACGCTTCACTGCGTCAAGCAGCGATAAATTGATGATAGACACGGCAAGTAGGCACGAGACACACTACCCATTGTTCTATGTTCGACATATCATAGAAAATCAGGCCGCCAGGCTTGAGCCCACTCTCCCATTACACCTATGATAGGCGAGCAAGATGACTAAGGAATGCCAAAATTGTACTTTACTATACGCCAACAGATGTTGGCTATGAGTCGGAATTCCCTTCGCGAGAAGAGGAATCGGTGCGGAAAGTTGCTGGTGAGATACATGCAATGCATTTAGATGGCAGCAAAGCAGCTTCGCTATCGGCAATGGCAGGAGCTGGAGACGACGCTAGATGTGTGTCGGTGCTGCTACCCCGGACCAGGTATATGCTCACCATATATGCTGCCAGGTCTTGATAGCGTTATCGTCAAGAGGTTGCTCTCGAGTCAGGACTGCATAGACGGACGTCTCGTGAAGACGTACAGGGTCAAACGGGCGCCCGCACAATTCGTCAGGTAAGTGAGCGCCGGCGGACCGTGACCTCGCTGCCAGCCCTCCTTGTAGTACGAGTCTCCCGGCCTACTATATCTTCGGCTCAGGTTTCTTTGCACTGCGCATCTGTAGTCGCAGTCTGCATCTTGCAGTCTAACTGGAATCGGCACTCAACTATTTGCCCGGAATGGCGGTGTGTCATTGAACGGAGATTTGGCGGCTGTCGTGCGACTCGTCCGATGACTCTCATCAACATGCACATCTTCTTCGCCTGTTGTAAGCAGTTTCTCGACGCTGACATGTCAGTTACAATATACTATTTTTCGACCTGAAGCGTGTTTAGTACCGTTCTAGGACGATCGCCCGTCGCGCCCAGCTCCCCTCCCGTCGAACAAGCATATCTATTTGACCTCATACATTGCCTTTCGTCTTTCACCATGTCCTCAAACACCGCGGACACCGAGCTTTTGCTATTTCCTACTGTAGATTCTGAACTTCTTCAATCTACGCTTTCGGCTCCTCCATTCGTGATCGTGGAAGGTATCTTCAACATCCGCGACTTCGGCGCCGGGTACGCGACCTCCCTGGGCGACGCACGCGTCAAGCCATTGTTCCTCTTCCGTTCTGGAGAGCCATCGGGTATCACGCCCAAAGGTATCGAACAGTTTAAGTCCTACGGTATCAAGAAAGTGTTCGATCTTAGGGCCGACGTGGAGATCAGGAAATACAACACCGTCATGCCGCAGATCGAAGGAGTAGAAATCGTGAGGTCTTTGATCTCGGAGGAGGCGTTGGACCCAGTGGAAATTGCCGACCAGTGCGTGTATTCCGTTTCCACCTCTATCGATTACTTATCCTAATGAGTGCGGTGCGCAGGTTGAAAGAGTTCTCCGAGGACGAAGCGGTCGTGAGTGTACTACAACAGCTTCCATCCGTACCAACGCTGTACCTATTGTCTCCGGTCTCCACGGGCATTCTCGAGAATGTATACCCGCATGCTAAAGCGTGCGAGACCTGTCCTCTAAAAAGTTCTCATCCACATTCGTGATTATCCTGATCAGCCATGCCTCATTCATTGCACCGGTAAGCATTCAACTCCACGTCTTCCCCCTTCTCACGTCGGAACTTACTATCCTTTCATATAGCGGGCAAAGATCGATCCGGCATCTTCGCTGCAGTCATATTGCAGGTGCACCTTCCCCGCACTTTCATCTAACCTCTCTTGAACAGATTATGCAGCTCCTCGGTGTTAGCGACGAGGACATAGTACATGACTATGTGCTCACCAGGATCGGGCTCCAGCCGGCCTTCCCACTCCTCGCCCTACGCTTCCAGAAGGAGGACGTATTCCGTAAGAATTGGAAGGGCGTGATCAGTCTGGGGACGGCGAAGTGCGTCAGCTTTGTATTCTCTGCGTGCTCTATCACGCGGCATGCATGGACTGATCTGGCATGACCGACAGGCCCGAGTCGATGTGAGATGCCCTGAATGTGATTCAGAAGGAGTTTAAGGGGGTCGACGGGTACATTCGGCAAGTCACATCGTTGACGCCGCAGGATTTCGAGCGCATTCGCAACAACTTCCTTGTCCCCGTTTCCGTCTAGAAGCCATGTTCTCGGGATGTATGATACATAGAAGTTTGGAGGGATCCTTCAGATACAATTTGGTTGTATCTACATACTTCCCGAGGAAAACCTGAGCATGGCCAACGCGAGAACGAAAGCGCTCCAGATGATTCAGCGACGCGGACAGCCGCCGGCCCGGCAACCTTGCAATGCCGACGACCGTCATCTCAAACATTTGTAGCTCGCACAACCATCTGCAACATGCCATCTTGACGGCCCTCCATCGGTCCCATACACCTTCGATTTCTCCGAACCGGATCCAGAGCTCTTTCATGTCATCGAACGCGAGCGAAGCTGTCTGGAAGGGCGACTTCACCGGGGACCTGAAGGAACGGATCATCCGGTTTTCGGATATCCTCACGTATGCCGAAGGATTCGCGCATTCAGCAAGCTCACAGCTGAAGCTGAAGGAGGTCGCAATCTTCAAGCGCGATCAGGATGGGAAGACGCAATGCAAGGTGACATACGAGACCACTGTCGACGAAAGTGCGTACTGCCTCTCTCTAGGCGTTTGTCTAGCGAAGTTCTTCCGGTATTAACGGAGCCATGTCGCACTGCCCCCGCTGCAAATCTTCACATCCTGTGTGTTTGTGGGTGAACGTGGCCCAGACATGATCAATCTGAATAGGACATTGCACGGAGGGTGTGCGGTTTACTTCATTGACGTGTGCGTTTTGTTCTTGTCGTCAATCTACGGACTTGTCCCCATTCTATCCGCGTCTCTCGGACCTCACCCGTGTCTGACGCCGAACTGCAGTTGCTCCTCCATTGCCTTGACAGTCCTTGGCATGGCTATGGACAAGCCTTCAAATTTCGTCTCACAAGCGTTAAACACCACTTTCCATGCACCTGCGCCATGGTAAGTACCCCGTTACCAAATAGTGCCTCATCATATCTCCGAGCACGCCTTCCCTCTTGTCCCTGATCCTACCCCCTGTCCAACAGCGGAGCGAAGATTGAGGTCGTCAATACGACCGTGTCCTTTGGCGCACGAACGGTGTCCGCGGTCACGGAGGTGAGAGCGCACTCGCTTAACTATTTTTCGCCTCATGAAAGGCTGAGCTGACCACATCTGCCGAATCTATGACCTGTTAGATATGGGATATCACGAATAGACGACTGTGTATGATGGGTGTTCATAACAAGATGGCTCCGTCTCAACCTAAGCTATGAGCGGGTAAATCTATTGCGGTTTGTCAGCCGTCTCCTATCTGTAAGTCGAATCTTCTATTGACCTGAAGGTTGACATGTCGAAACGGAGAACTGAGCCAATATAGCGATCATCTTCTACAGTTCATAATCTGCACTCGCTCTTGTCATATATCTACTGCGTAATTGATGGCCGCGCAACAGAAGCTTCACGAATGCCGAGAACGTGTGCTCACGTTGAGCCGCCTAAGTCACTGGATTACGATGAGTCCAGTACGTCCTGCACCCAACGGCTGTCGGTATGGCCGCAAACGTGCTCGAAACTATTCGAGTGTCACTCTGACACCCCAGTGATGGCGCTGATACAGAGACAATTGCTGTCAACAGATAGCGAAGGCGAGAATCCATATTGATCCTTGCTGTCTTTGCGTATGTGGGCATATACCGGCCATGTTCCCGCGAGCTGAGGGATCGCCGTCGTCGGCGCTCCGTCGTAAGACAAGAGTCATGTACGTTTCAGAATTGTTCGTGTTGTCTAGCGGGGAGCGTGAGCAGCTCTAGGTCGCTCTTGGCGTCTCCATTCAGACGAGTCTCGACTTAATCGGGCTACTCCTTGTTGTCGGTAATCCGATCTATCGTCTTTTTGATGTCTTCTCGGCCAAGTGGAGTCATAGTTCTGCAGAGTCATCACCATGGTAGGGTCGAATTCCGCTGCTCGCTATGATTCTATATCTCAGTCAGTTTAGGAGCTGACTTGGTCATGGCGAAAATAACCGCTTCGCATATGGTCTCGCCTTCCGCAAGGCACACAAGCTCTCGTATGCTAGTTTGCTTCGCACCTCGTGGACATATCGCCATATCGCTCCGTCTTCTTTCCATGCTGCCGTCATAGTCTCACGTGGTCCTCGGAGGTGAACTTAGAGCTGGCGGTCTTTCGCACTTGCGCTTGGTTGTTCCGTTCAATAGCTTGGAACCTCCTAAACATCAGCAGTCTGAGGTACGTTGGGCATGTTCCGTTCAGCAATGCCTATTGCACGCACCACAAGCGGAACCTGGACTGATTGAGTCATCAGTTGTACTTCTCGGACGTCAAGTGTGGGTAGGACACGATGATGGCTGTCTCCTATAGGTCGCCTAGTCATGACGAATGCGAAGCACACCGCGTGCAGCGAAATGAATAGGAATCCGTCTGCACCCAGATTCCCATCGGAATTGGGCGAATTCTAATTCTGTCATCCGGATCATCGGGGCTCACCTACGTACACGAGCCTGAGTAGGCTTTGTGGCTTTAGGCCATATGTCTAATGTGAGCTCCTGTACATGCCAAACGGCGCTCTAAACCATTCTTGTTATTGACGACACGATTCTAGAGGAGATCTTCTCGTCCGTCATCGATAGGCACTCAGCCACAGCCACAGCCATCTGTCTGAGTCCTAGCGACCCGGCACTAACAGCGTGCATCCGCGCATGCGTTACACCATGTCGGAGGTGGCGACGGACTCGTGCTCCGACCACGAAATTCAAGGCCAGTCGAGACGATTCTGCACATGACTAACGGGCCGTTGAATTCGCAGGAGGCGTTCCTGGCGTTGCAGGAGACATACAGGAGCCCTACTACGCTGCAAGGCTAACTTGTATATTTCGAGGTTTGTCCCGACCCTTGCCCCGCCGGCTTGCATGGCACATAGTAAGGCAGCCGGCCACATCCGACGACGTGTATCATGAGTTTGCAGTTGGTCACCGAGGACCCTGTTGGCATGTGTGACCCAGAGGCGCATGATGGCAGCGAATCCCGCTCTGAATAGAAAAAGCGACAAGGAGCTTGAGCGCTGACAAGGCCACTGTTGTTCGTGGACACGAACTGCATGTTTCATGGAGACTGGACGGACCCGTTGTCACCGCACGCCGCCTGGTTCGCTCCTGAGCCTGAAGGCGTCGTGACAGTCGCCGTTACAATAGTGGAAGACACATACCGAGATCATGACTTTGATGGACACAAGTTAGTCGGGAATGGTCGAGATATCATAGTTGCGATATAGTCAATGACTGACATCAAATTGAGATGCAACCGAGCATGAAAAGTGAATTGTAGGAGGATGTCGCCTGAGAAGGCGCAGTCCCTTGGTACTGACTGCGAGGGGGTCATAATTATGCGCATCAGGAAGCGAAGGGCAGTGCGTATAATGAAGTTGGCCATGTTGATGACACATGATTGGTACGGAAGCAGCTTGAAAAGCTTGTTAGAGACTGGCGTGTGAGCCTGAGAAGACGACGAGGATGTTCAGCTCTGGAGGGTGCCGCGATCTACGTTGCTTGACGTTGAAGTGTTACATGAGGAGTCTGCAAAGGGAACTTGTGCACCATCACAGACACACTGAGAGTGGATGGGTATCTGGGTACCATAACGGAGGCCAGATCAGCACAAGCGCGATACGCTCAAAGCTCCTAAGAGATCGTACCTAAACTTCGAGCAGTTCATCTTCAGACTTCTCTAGGGCATCGTTCCAGACTTCCGCCACGTCCAGGATGTATTGGACATTGTCTTCTTCGTCTCCCTTGAGCAGACCTTCCGCAAGGAACCCCTCGACTGGCGCGCTTAGGGGCTCGACGAAGTTCATAAAGCGTTGAGACAAGTTGTTCTCGTATGAAGGACGTGAGTTGGAATCGGTGTCATGTGAGAGTACGAACTGAATGGAGACCGACATCCGGCTGCAACAGGTCATGTTGCTGGTGACGCCGGATCGATTGAACTCTCGAAGGTTGAGGATGTAGCGAGAGACAACAATAGACGTTAATCTGTACGGTGTTCAATAAGCGGCGAACTCTCATGGGCGAGGAAGAAACACATACGCTTCTCCAATCGTGCCCATGAAACTGGGGAAGACATTTGTAAGCCAGCAAGCCAAGTGAGCAACGTTGAGGAGGGAGAGGATACTGCATAGCAAAACAAACTTAGTATGCGCTGCACATCAAGAAAGGAAGAACGAACACGAAGTGCAGGACCCCTGATGTTCAGTTAGCGGTCTATGTGTCGCAACGGCATGGATCATGTCCAACGTACCACTGCGAAGTAGTAACGCCGCAAACGACCGCTTGAAGGCAGCTTCTTGGGCCGCCTTCCGCGCACTACTAGTCTTGGTCCATATGATGACAATAACGAGTACGTCACCAGACATCATGACAACGCGATTGACCCAGGCTACTGCAAGGCGTCCCTGCATGAGTACAGGGCACGGGCGATGCACATACATAGTACGCACAACTACAAGGTGTCGTTAGCATCTCGTGACCTGCCAGGCAACACATATAGCCTGAGCGCTCACACTGTATTCAACAACGGAGAGAGGTAGTCGGATTCAGTACATGGAGACAACCCTGGTTGGAATATCGGCGGGGTTCCGGTGAATAAGTACTACAGGAAACACGATCATTGACTTCTTAAGAGAGCACGTTGTAGAAGATCAGCACATACTGTCTCGAGGGCCACCGGTACAAGAGATGTGAATAGGACGATAGCGGGCAACCATATTCTTGATCTTGAGAAGACATATACTCGCAATGTTGAGAAAACTGCACAAAATTAGTTGTCGGAAGCATCACAGCATCAGTGGAAGTATAAGAGCTGACCTGCCCAGATGACATAACCGAGCACCACCAGAACATTTATTATCCTCCAAATGGACTGACAGCTACAGCCGAAGACATCATCATGGCAAGACACGGGACGTTTAGCGTATGACTCACCTCTACGAAAGAACAGCGATGTTGAGTAAACATTACGTCGGTGACGCAGCTCACTTACTGATCGGGTGCGCGAGTGTGCGACGGCCACTGTCATGAAGTATCTAACGATGAAGATATACCGGTTGAGAAGGAAGAGAACGGTTGCGGCTGTGAACTTCCTTCGCCAGACTAGACGGACTTCCATGTTGAAGGTGAGTAGATACTCGTATAAGATAAGAGCTGATGTAGGATCAATATATGAAGAGTTGATGTTATCAACTCGCATGCTTACTTGCCGACGCCACTGTAGTCTGCCACCATTATGGCATTACGATAATGGAGGCTATTTCAGATCAGCTACAACTCACAGGTAACGATGGTCGAGAGTGAAAAGATCTTGTAGAGATATGTAACGTGTCATTTGGAGGACAGAAGTATTTGTGAAAGTGACCACGGAAGCGTAGGAAATGAGGAAGGTGAAGGGAGAAATGGAGAGCACCTCGACGCGGACGGGGGCCTTGGTTCTAGGGCTCGCGCGGCGAAGCACGAAGTAGTTGATATTGCGCAGTGACTTATAACATGCTAGATCAAGATGGATAGGTGTTTGTGTATCAGGAAGCGCCCCTCACAGCTTGGGCGGCGAAGGCTGCATCTGATTATGAATTCCAGAGACGACTAATCGACGATTCGTGATATCCCAGATCTATACGGAGACAGCGTGAGCACAAGTACATCTGAACTTGAAAGTGGTACGGTCTGACCTCAGTTCGCGCAGAGACTGTTCGTGTACCGTACGCAACGGTCTTGTTCACAATCTTGAGACGAGCACCGCTAGAATGCTGTCAGTCGAGACGGGCTAACGGGAGAAGAGATGAATGTCAAATGTACACTGTGGCGGGGGCGTGGAATATGGTGTTGATAGCCTGGGAGACAAGGTGTGTTCTTTTGTTCATGGCGATGCTCAGGGCCGTCAAGGCGATGGCAGAACAGCTGCCGACATACCAAAGGGAGTATCAGTAAGACGCGTCGTTTGCTAGATGGTAACACGAGGCTGTGGAAGACGTACATATCAATCATGAACATCGAACAACCTCCGTGCACGTGTCTGTTGGCGTTGAGCATGTCTTGGACCAGACCGGAAAGGTGTTGAATAGCGAACACGACTACGGCCGTCGCCGCTAGTGATTGAAGAGACACACCTTCTAACACATCTATCTCAAAGACGACTGCTGCGTGCAGCTTTCCATCCTCTGGCCTGGGACTAATGGACACCTCTGTGAGCTCGAGACAAGATCCGACAGCTTTTGCGAAGTCGCCTGGGCCGCGAAGGATTACGTCCGCGAACTTGACGATTCCCGCTTGCTGCTGGGGGGTGAGGTCGCCGGAGAACTTGACCGGGGATTGGCCTTCCCTATGGACGAGCGAGTCGGATGGCATCAGGCATATGAAGATGACAGGAGCAGAAGGGTGTTCGTTATGATATGTGGTCTGAGCGCATGATGGTCGACTGGAACGAGAGGCACCGGCACCCGGCAACCTCTACCCCGCACTGAATCAGTTCAGACGCCCAATCTACCCCGGATCGGTTCCTTGGAACCCGCCACCCCGGCGCTTGCCTGCATCCCTGAGGCGACTATGTACATTCAACTTGTCCCGTATCCATTCCCCTAGGCTACTCAACGAATCTTGAGACCTTCGGAGCACATGTGTTTCTCACCAGACGCGACATGCCTTTGAGTGTTATTCTGAATCTGGTAGATGCCCAGGGCCTGTTCCCATGCCATGCCCATGCCTCCCCCATAGTCCCGAATGGCACAAGGGGATGTCCACATCCTGTTACTTATCGCCTTGGACTAGGGAGCGACACCTTGCGCTGGGCCATCATGTCCGCTTCTCCTCGCCTCCCCTGGGAGCTCATCGAGAGGGTCATTAACCACTCTGATGACGACCGTAGGACTGTTCGTAGCTGCTCCCGCCAGAGCAACCCGCGCCATACAACAGATATCACAGTTGCAAAAGTGTGTTCATTCATCCGCAAGGTGAGCTGTTCATGATCTGTTCCTATAGCATTGTCCAACGGACCGCCGTCCCAGAGGACCATAATGGGTGGCTGTCTCTTCTTAGCTCCCGTACGTACCAACTTCGATGAGGAAGATGTGGAGACCGGCGAACTTAATACATCCCCCGAAGAAGCGGACAGCAACAGCTCTCGGTACTCTAGCAACTCTGCCTTCGGCATACCGAAGGCACTGTTTTTCCAGGCCGCCATCAACTATTTTGGTTCTCTTCAGCAACAGGTCGACCAGCGCAAGGCCGCGGGTGTCGTCACCGGCTCTCGTGAGCATTCCTCTCAAGCCAGTATCATCGCCGCTCCGACAGCTCCGACGGACGAGCAGGCACTTGCCGACGCGTCCACGGTCATCGCCGCTGCTCTCCCTCTCCTTCGGAGCTGGGTACGGGAGCCGGTGCTATATGCATACGGCCAACCGAGACGGCCTCAGCTGGGGATGTTGATGATGACACCAATGCTGGTAGCAGGCCAGATATGATCGACGGCTTGGCCAACCTCAACTGCCAATTGTCGGAGGTTAACAAGCACAACAATATTTGCTCCGCTCGCGCTGCACCGCGTAGGTCTAAGCGGGCTGTGGTATTTTGCGAAGTTGCAGGACAGTGACCAGGTCATTTACCCGTCCGAGGCACGCGTGATAGAAGAGTCCATGGGGCGCGTCATGGACTTCCTGGACGAGAAGTGGAAGGAGCAGCCAGGACAATTCAGGGAATTGCTGAAGAGGTGCGGAGAGAATGAGACGTTCGTAATTCAGGGCTGAGCTTTGGATTGTGTCGGCCGTGTGTCGTGTCCGCATTCCTCCCATTCTGTATGTACGGTACGATAGGATACGCAAAGAAGTCTTCGGATGATCTGATACTTGGGTGTGTTACTGGTCGAATTGCATGAGCCGCAGGCCTCGGTACGAGCTCCAAGGAGCTATTTCAGGACGTCGCCTGTGCCACAGTGAGGACCTCAGTAGGGCAGGCGATGGTTTACAGCGTCCTATTAGACCGGCAATCCAAGATGGGGAGCCAGTACCAAGCGCACGAAGTCGTCAACACCATGCATCTGCACGCCCAGCTTCAGGATGTTCTCGTCCGGAAGCTCCTTCGCCCCGTACATGCCCATCTCGTTATAGAGCTGGAACATGATGTCCCGATCTGGGACGCCACTCGTCGGCAGGACGATGTACGTGCCGTCTTTCCCTGTCACTGTATAGTACAATTGGCAGCGGAGCGGTGGTTGAAGAGGACATCAGACTGACCTTTCTTTACGCTGGCTAGAATCTCGAGCGGAGTGACGCGCGCGTTGGCGGCGTAGAGATAGTTATGGTTGAGGTCGTCCTTGCGCAATTCCCATTGGTCGAATATGGCTTTAGTGACCGCGGAGAGGTCTTTCTGCACATACAACATCGCCACTATTTTCTGCATAGGTAGGGTTATCATACGTGCCAGTGCGTGGGTGTACTCACGCTTGGTCGTCTCCTTAATGACGGGCTGGTGGAATTCCACTCGGTCAAGGTCATGATTGTACTTCATGTGCGAGCGGAGGACCATATTTTCATAGAAGTTGCCGGTGTAGAGGAAGACTGCCGGTAGCCCCTTCTCGCGGATGTAGTCGTCTACGTGGTACTTCCCTGTATAGCCATCAATACTGTGTTTGGCAAAGGACAGCTGACGGCGACACGACCTTCATAAATGCGAGAGATGAAGCGGCCTCCAGATATCTTGTTGGAGCTCGGAAGCGTGCTCCACACAAAGCACTGCACTGCGTTGTCGAGGGCTGCATCGACGAGATTCTTCCCCTGGTGTTCTTCGCTTCCGGGATCATCCTTGATCTTCTGTGTGGGCCTCAATACGGAGTCCGCTACGGTGCGGGAGGGAGATTGCCCACTCACCGAGTCATAGAAGTTGGTCACGCCAAAGACACCCCAGCAGCCACGCAGTGCAGCTTGCACGTCCGAGGGTACAGTGAGGTCCGTCTTGACGACCTCCGCGCCGAGCCTGGCGAGCTCTTTGCTCGCGGTAGACTGCGGATCTCGAGTGAGGGCACGCACGCGATATGCATCGGGATGCTGCAGGAGGAGTCTGGCCACGGAGCCGCCTGCAGAAACGTCAGATCTTGGGGATCCCGCGTGTAGACATGGCGTCGCCGCTACGAACCCTGGTTTCCAGTAGCGCCACAGACAGCAATGAACTTCGTCATGTCGGACTTGAGCTTTCGGGGGGATAGCCTGTGAATCGCAACAATCGGACGAGCGGATGTTTGACTCCCACCAAGAGGACCCGACGCCCTATATATGTTCGACTTAGGGGACGGCTCCCGGCGGACTCGTGTGCGTGCTATTCTTATCACCGATGACTTAGGCTCTCAATACAGGTCGATCCTTCGCAAGCACATTATGATTCAGCTCAAGGTGGGCGCGAACGATGATCGCGAGATGTACTGACCCTAGAAGGGGCCACGGCGTCGGGTGCGATGGTGTTAGGTGGGCACATGAGGCCTTTGGGAAGGGTAGAGGGGCATCTCGTGATTGCTATGACTTTGTCATGCTGTCGCTGCTCTCGTTTGCCAGACAATTTCGCGGGTACGGCGGCCGTCCTCACAGCGCTAGCCAGGTTCCGAATTCCAGTAAGCTATTGGTCTTTCCAAGTTGATCGAGCTGTGACGTAACGGAGGCTGAGGATCTCGGCGTTGGCGTTCGAGGGGCCCGCATCTGTGATGGAGTGTGGTGGGCAGGACGACAAGCATGGCCAGTACACATCATAGTACTAGATCTAGAGGGCAATGCAACGACTTTGCGCAATCGAAGCGCCAACGGCTCGCTCACAAGCGCCGTTGTTTGTCTCTATGATATCGATCTCTTCGAATTTCTGGCGAACCCTCACCCGTCGCGCACTCCCTTCTCTCGCTGCTATGACTTTGTCGATTCCAGGAAACCTTCAAGCAGACCATAAGCTGCTTCGACATAACAAGTATTGGTTCGATGACGGCTCTCTGATCCTGCGTGCTCAGAACGATATCTACAAAGTCCATCGGACTCTGCTTGAACGGCATTCCCGCACCTTGTCGACCTTGCATCCCTCGGAAGAGTTGGACAAAGGGCCGAAGTCAGTAGATGGATTGGCTGTCATGCAGGTTCCGGATGAGCTGGAGGTCAGGAGCGGCGACCTGGAGGTTCTACTAGAGCACCTCTACCACGATGTGTGAGCCTATCATTGTACGTTCTCTCAAATTCTAAACGTCTTTCGTGCGAATCTTGTAGTGTCTTAGATGAAAGGGCGTCCTTCCCAAGACTGGCATCTCTGTTGAGGGTGTCCTCTGAGCAGCAGCTCGACTTTCCATCCATACACGCGCTCGCGAAGAGCCGACTGGAAGAACTGTTTCCAGCAAATCCCGAAGCGTTTTTACGCTCTGAATATGCCGAAGAGGCCCTTGCGCTTTCGGTCAAGTACGACATACCCTCAGTGAGTACGCAATAAGCATTAGCCATCCTGGCCTTTACTATGGGTGAACTATTGCGTGTAGGCGCAATGATTCGTCCATAGTATCTCTTCTGGTCGACCAATCCTGATAACTCGGGCCGCCGAAGATTCGGAAACCGCTGTACTACACGGTCGCAACACACCCTCACGAACGCGCACCCCAAGAGCAGGATCTCAATTCGACGACCACTCATCCTGGACTCGCACCAGAAGTCACAGCGCGCTGTGACGCGCTCCTCGAATCGCTCCTCGAACATTTCACGCCTGTTCTCTTCACCGTCGCAACTGCAGGTCACATGGCCTGCACAGACGTCTTCGCAGAGAAGTGGATGCCCCTTGTCATTCAGCCCGCGCTCGATGATAACGGATTGTGTCGCCCGTTGGAGACGCTGGAGCGGATCATTGCAATCGACTGGGTTGCTGAGGGTCTATGTCCCGAGTGCGTGAAGGAGAAGACGGAGGAGTGGCGGGGTGAGCAGAGGGACGTCTGGGGGAAAATGGATAAGTGGTTAAATTGATCAGGCTGTGTTCTAGTAGGTAGGAAGCTGTAGCATACTGACGAGTTAAGTTGTAGCTATTCTGCTTGTATCGTTAGACAAGTGCTCGCGAGGCGTCTGCTGATCCTGCAGTATGCGTTCCGAGTATCAGGGTATTCTCTTGACTGCTGATTTTTGCCACCAATACATCCACTTTGCTCTCACGCTGGTTCCTCGAGCTGGAACACATATGTCGTGAGCTCGATCAAGAGGATGGAGACAACTCTGAGGATAGCGTGAGCCTTGCCGACCTCACGACGATACCCTCCACAAGTTTGAGGACCTCTTCTCGACGCTTGCAGATTCATATCGGCAGCTGGTTCAGGTACTCAGCCCGGCTTCATCCTAGCTATCTCAGCTGCAAGTTGTGTCACTGACGGAGAGCATTACTGGGACAGGGAGCTAGTAGCAGCCACGAGTTATCGATTATCGCTGGTCTCCGAGCTGGATACGTCCTTAGGATACATCGTCGAGAGGATCCGGACATGGGAGTGGTTTGATTCGGAAGCATGAGGTTTCAAGTAATATGACATCGCTTAGTTATCTACCATTTTTGAATGTGCTACGGTCGACGAAAGTACTAAGTACTAGAGTACGCATGCATGCATCCGGCCGGGGGCACGGTACTTCTCTAAGTTCGCTTGTGCACAGCCACTGGGAGTAGCCGAATGAGAGCGCGCCAAAGCCACCGACGCGGTTTCGACGCGTCTGGCCTGCACTACTTAGTACTCATCCCACTCCTTCCGCCACTGCACTTTCATCTGCTGGCCATGCCGCTCATCCAGATCGAGGTCTGCGATTTCAAGTCCTACCGCGGCCACCAAGTCATTGGCCCCTTCCGCAATTTCACCTCCGTCATTGGCCCCAATGGCGCAGGCAAGTCCAACCTCATGGATGCTATCTCCTTCGTATTGGGAGTCAAGTCCGCCCAGCTGCGTTCCAGCCAGCTAAAGGACCTCGTCTATCGTGGGAGGAGGCTTGCGCGCAACCCTGAGGAAGAGGATGGGGGACGGGCAGGGCAGGAGGATGACGAGGAGGAGGGGGAGGCAGAGGGCGAGGGGGACGCGAAGAAGGCGTGGGTACTGGCCGTGTACGAGGATGCGGCGAAGAAGGAATGGAGATTCCAGCGAACGTGAGTTCTCATTCGACGTGACATACGTGTTGAGCCACAATGCAGCTTAGGATCTCAACCACCGGCGCGTCCGAGTACAAGCTCAACAGCAAAACTGTGACCTACTCCGCGTACAACGCCGCGCTCATCCAGCACAACATCCTCGTCAAGGCCAAGAACTTCCTCGTCTTCCAGGGCGACGTCGAGGCCGTCGCCTCGCAGTCCCCGAAGGAACTCTCCCGCCTCATTGACCAGATCTCCGGCTCGCTCGAGCTTGCACCCGACTATGAGAAGGCCAAGGACGCCCTCGAGCGCGCTACCGAGAACGCGACGTTCAACTTCACGAAGAGAAGGGGAATTACAGGCGAGATCAAGCAATATAGGGAACAGAAGAGTGAGGCAGAGAGGTTCGCGCTGCTTTGCAGGGAGCGGGTGGGTTGCGTCTCTCACAATGTTTCTTCGCGCGCTGAGAAGCCCCCTTGGATGTAGGACGACCTCGTGCTCAGGCGCATCTTGTACAAACTCTACCACATCCAGCAGTCCCTCGACGAGCACGCCCAGGCGATCCGGGACCAGAACAAGGCTCTCGTCGGCTTGCGCAAGGAGCAGCAGAAGCACGAGAAGGCTCTTGAGGAGGCGCGGAGCGAACAGGCCAAGTCGCGCGGAGCCGTGATGCAGAAGGAGAAGAAGATCAAGAAGGCGGAGAAGGCCCTTGAGACCCAGGTGCGCGTCGGACGCCATACTGCGTCTGCGCCAGGCCATTGACTGATTGTGGTGCAGCGGCCGGACTTGGTGCGCATCGAGGCGCAGATCAAGCATGCGGAGCGGAAGCGGGAGAAGGCCGAGCAGGAACTGGAGAAGTTGAGGCAGACGGAGAACGAGCAGAAGAAGAGATTGGAGTCGCTCCAGACGGATTTGGAGACAGTTAGGAGGGCTGCGAACGCCGCGCAGGGTGCGCCTTTCCCCTAATTGCAGCCACCTCTTATTCAATAAGTCCTTCAGAGGCCCAGCGGAGGGCCGCACAGCAGAACCTATCGCTAAGTGAAGAGTCGTTGGAAGAGTATAGACGACTGTAAGTATATCCGGCATTCTTCGCTTCGCGCATATACTCACATAGCGGTGCATGCAGTAAGGCGTCGGCTAGCGTGCTTGCAGTGGACGAGCGACAATCCCTCGAGACACTTACGCGAGATGAGAAGACGGCAGCTCGTACCCTGTCGCAGCTTAAGGACAAGCTTGAGCAGCAGACGCAAAAACGCGAGAAGCTTGCCGAGGAAGAACGGACGCTCAGCCAGAAGAAGAGCGAGGTATGTTCTTTCTTTGGGTTATGCGATGGCGGGGTACTGAACGATCGCTCCGTAGCTGGATGACAAGGTCTCTGAGCTGGCGGCGGACCTGAAGCATGTGAAGCAGGAACATGACAACCAGCAGTCAGAGCGGATACGTATCGAGTGAGTGCTGGTATTCCCATCATATCCCATCAAGCATCTCAATAGAGTACGTGCAGGAAACTCGAGAAAGAGACTAATGAGAAGCTGGTCGAAATTTACGAAAAACTCACCCAAGCTGGCGTTGACCAACAAGAGTCCCAGCGCGAAGCGCGCCTCAAAGAAACTCTCTCAAACCTCCAGCGCATCTTCCCCGGTGTGCGTGGTCGCGTGGTCGACCTTTGCAAGCCGACACAGCGCAAATACGAGACTGCGGTCGCGGTCGTGCTGGGCCGGAATATCGACGCAATCGTCGTCGACGAGGAGAAGACGGCGATAGACTGCATCGAGTACATGCGCAACCAGCGTGCGGGACAGGCGACTTTCATCCCGCTCGATACAATTCAGGTGAAGCCCATCAACGACAAGTTCAGGGCGTTCGCGAAGGGAGCGCGTTTGGCGGTGGACGTTATCACGTATGACCCTGCGGTGGAGAGGGCGATGCACCATGCTTGCGGGAATGCGCTCGTTTGTGATTCGATGGAGGTCGCGAGGTATGTTTGTTACGAGAAGGGGCAGGAGGTGAAGGGTGAGTCGTGTTGTGCGCGTTGTGAGAGTGCATTATTGACGATATGATGGGTTTAGCTGTTACGCTGGAGGGTACAATCATCCACAAGAGCGGTCTGATCACCGGTGGAAAGAGCTCTCAGACGAATGGGAAGAAGTGGGAGGAGAAGGATGTGCAGGGTAGGTTGGGATGTTTATGTAAAGTTCGCAGGATCCTCACGATGTGTCGTAGGTCTACAACGCGCCCGCGACAACTTCATGGCTCAGTTGCTTGAGCTTGGCAAGTCCAAGCCTCGAGGGAAGGAGGCTGAAGTGCTACTCGCGGAGATTACGCGTCTGGAATCGGCGCGGACTGTTGCGCGCGACGATCTGGTACGACTGTCTTCACGCGTATGTTCTTTAATAGTACTCACGCGCATTTTTGCTCCAGGGGGCCTGCAGAGCCAAGCTCAATGGAGTCAAGGATGAGCTGAAGCACATCGATCGCGAGATCCGGCAGATCCAGCCCGAGTTGCGCAAGGTACATGTCACGTTCCACCAAGCTTCGCCATGAGAGCTGACGTACGAGGACAATTGTAGGCACAAGCTGCGTACGACAAGATCAAGGAGCAGGTAGATGCACTCGCTTCGGTCATTAACGAGGCGGAGGACGGCATCTTCGCCCACTTCTGCGAGAGAATCGGCGTAAACAATATCCGCGAATACGAAGAGCGTCAGCTCAAGCTCGCCCAAGCTGAGAGCGAGGCTCGGCTTCAATTCGATACCCAAATTGCTCGCTTGACCCACGCGTACGTCTGTGACTTACTTGATATACGGTTGTATGCTAACCCCTTCGCCCCACGTCATCCAGGTCACAATTCGCAGAGGACCAGCTGCGGATGACTCACGAGCGCGTCGCCCAGTACCAGGAGATCCTGAACACCGAGGGCGGGACCCTCGCCCGACTTGAGGAAGAGCGCGCTGAGGCGCAGAACCAGATCGCCGAGGCTGAAGAGGCGATTAGGACTCTTCAGGAGGAGCTCAAGGAGCTCACGGAGGAGTTGGAGGAGAAGACGAAGCGGGTAGAGGAGGTGAAGAAGACGACGAACAGGGCAGCGAAGGTGCTGGACCAGGCCCTCAAGGAGATCGCGACGCATGTGAATTCTGCCTCTATCACTTCTACACCTGGGCGGGTGCTGAGAGCTGGGTTTACGATAGAACGACGAGATCGAGAAGCTTGGACTAGAGCGGTCTTCGATCTATCGAAAATGCAGGCTCGACGAGATCAAGCTACCGCTCGTCGCTGGGAACTTGAAGAACGTGCCAATGGAGGAAGTGAGTTGATCAAAGCAATCTTAGTATTCATATGCTCACCCTTGCGCAGAATCTTCGCGACGAGGTTGCCATGGATGTTGACGAGGACGACCAGGGTACCCAGCGTGTGAAGCGTGTTCCCGACTATGGCATCGAGGTCGACTTTGATTCCCTCAGCGACAAGGACCGTGAAGTACGTGACTCGTTATTCCTCGACCGTCTCAGAGGGTCTAATGATGTGCCTCAAGGATGAGTCGGGTGATGTGTTGAAGGAGATTGACGACGCGATAGCCAAGAACAACGCTGAAATTGAGCGCATGGCACCGAACATGAAGGCCATAGAAAGGTACGTTCCGTGACTCTTGTCCTAAGGTGATTCGTCTTGACGTGCTCCTATTCAGGCTGGATGACGTCGAGGCCAAACTGCAGGAATCGGAGAAGGAGGCTGACAAGGCGCGCAAGGACTCCAAAAATGCGCGTGAGCAATTCAATGAAATCAAGCGCAAACGGTCCGTTTAGCTCTGCTTATTGACGTTTCTGTGCCCTTCCTTATCTTTCGAGGCAGGTGCGAACTATTCAACAAAGCGTACAATCACATCTCCGAGCGCATCGACCAGGTGTACAAGGATCTCACGAAGGGCAAGATGGCACCGACGGGTGGCGTCGCATACCTGACGCTTGAGGACAGCGAGGTTCGGGATCCCGTTGGTCATGAGGTGCATCCGCATAGTATTGATGTATTGATAGGAACCCTACACTGCCGGTATCAAGTATCATGCCATGCCTCCCATGAAGCGTTTTCGAGACATGGAGCAGCTGTCCGGCGGCGAGAAGACAATTGCAGCCCTTGCTTTGCTGTTCGCTATTCACAGGCACGTCCTCGCTTATGCTCACGTTCATGCGTGTGCTGATGACCAGCTGTAGCTACCAGCCTTCACCGTTCTTCGTGCTCGATGAGGTTGACGCAGCGCTCGATAACACGAACGTCGCCAAGATCGCGAACTACATCCGCGTGCACTCGTCGGACACGTTCCAGTTTATCGTCATTAGCTTGAAGGGGTCTTTGTACGAACGTAGCAACTCCCTAGTGGGGATCTACCGGGACCAGGACGTGAATAGCTCACGAACGCTGACCTTGGACGTAAGTCATCGCCCACCTTTGTGTTTGTCGCTGGGGTACTGACAGCGTGTGTCGCAGCTAACACAATATGACGATTGATACATCGACCCCGCATTGCTAGGGTGCACACGTTAGTCAGAGCGGTATACTGTTTTTGTGAGTTGTCGAGCTGTTATGAAACGTTACTCATGTTCTCCAGTCGCAACAAATCGTGTATGTGTAATGATAGCTCTTTGTTTTCTGGATCAAAGCGTTCCCGCATTGCCGCTCGCGGGAAGGGTGTGGGCGCGCATGAGTGGAAAGTGGTGGCTGTGTCCTTGAGCCTGCAACTTGCCCATGTACCTAGGTTCCCATGCAATCCTCTGACGACATGTCTGTGCCTTTCGTTGAGAAAGCACAGATGCAATGTCTTACGGAGCATCGCACCTAACGGACGTTGTACGGATAGAGGATTTTGAGCGTTACCAGCTGACAGATGTCGTAATGTCAGATCAGTTACCCACGTACGCCCACAGAGACCTTGTCCTGCTCCTGGTACGCCGACTGCACGATGCTAGAGCTGGAATGCTTGACTTACCAGCACAGAGAAGAATGGTCGTAGACGTCAGCAACGTGCCGGACCAACCCTGACATTTTCTGCGTTCTGTATTGTGATTCGTTTTGGACCCGTCCATGGCTACCAGGCGTTGTTCTCAGGTTCCGGCAGGCGTTGAAGCGGGCATGTATCGTTATAACTCGAAGTCCGTCTGGGGTCGCGGTCTCTCAAACCCTTTCAGAGTGCGTCCATCCTCTACTTTACCGGTGCTTCCCTAGCCTGCCACAGTCTGAACATTGGTAAGTCGTTCGTTTGCAGCTCAAGCCAAGCCTAACTTAACGTGGCCTGTTGAACCCAGATTACCGCACATAATGGACTATGTTATTCAGACCCTCCACATCGCGTGCGCACTGTCTCAGAGCGCTAATATTCCGGGGCTTGATGCCGTCGTAAAGGCTGGCTTGAAGCTGGCTGAGATGGTACAGGTACGCAACTCATACCATCCGTCCTTCCCAGGCATTGGTTGACGGGTCATACGACAGGAAACTCGAGAAGTCCAGGATCAGTGCAGCTTGTTGGCTGAGCGTGCAGCTAAATATTCGGCGGCCGTGTACTGTCAACTGACTAGCGGCACGTTTACGCTGGATGGAGTGACGGCGACCAGGTATATCGACGATCTGATTCAGTATGTCTGCTCTTCACGGCGCATCTGGAGACTCTATTGAAAGTATGAGATAGTACCCTTAGTGCCATTGAGGCTTTGATGATACGACGAAAGAACGCGGGGTTCGTTCGTGCGTTCTGGTATCGCATGAAGGCTGCGAAAGAAGTGAAGACACTGAATGGACAGTTGGATGATGCCTTCCGTGTCTTCGATGTCAGTCAATTAATCACCCAGGAGCTGAATACTGACCAAGTTCCTTGACAGATTCAATCCTCAATCCATGCAAATCAGCAGATCTTGACGCTGCTACAGTGCACGGAACATCTTCTCCAGCACGCCGAGAACGCCGAACACACTCAAGCCGCTCTGTTGTATGGCAATCGACGGATACATGCAGGCGTGAAAGAGATTTTGCAACGTGTCAGGGTGGACGCCACCCACGATGGTACAGTGGGTGTTCGTCTTAATTGCATCTCCTACGTTCTAAAGTGTTCCCTGCAGCTACGACTCTATGGCAGGGAAGATTTAGAGTTGGTAGAAGAACTAGAGACCGAGAATACAGGAGTGATGCCTGGCGAGCAGCCTATTACACGGTTCCGTGCACGTATCTGCGAGACCGGGAGAGAGGTGACTGTAAGGCGGTTCCCGCGGCCTGGTCGGAAGTTCCGGGACGCGATTGACACAGTGAAGAAGATTTGGTTCGTTTATACGCATTGAGTTTATTCAAGAGGCTGATTTTCTAATTTGGTTGCTCCCAGGCATCCGAACGTGGTGCATGCAATCGGGTATTCGAGGGAGGATCCAGAGATCGCGTTCATCGTAAATAGCGGTGTTTGTACGTCTTCAGGGAATATATGAACCTTGGACTCCACTGGCTGACGGTACGGCATCCTTTCCAAGATACACACACGTTCAACGAATTGGGCAAGACATTTCACGGTATTGACAAGTTGCTATGGACAGTGAATTCGGTCAGTGCTATTTTTGTGATGCAGGTCTATCGTGCTGTATTCATCGATTCCGCCTGCAGACGAAGCAGATACTTGTATGTCAGTGGTCTAGGTCACCGGACATCGACTAACAAGCATTAAGGCCGGACTAATGTATCTGAAAAGTGTTTACGAAGAACTTGAATGGCCTCCAGACGAGGATGTATGTGTGTTTACGTGGGAACACTCCGTTCTCTGACTTGCTCTGCCCATACAGACCCAATTCATCCAAGCAGAGAAGCAAGTCGTAGTCGGCGCCGATGGGAGGGTCTTGCTCGACGTATCGTGCTACGATTTAAAGCAGCTTCCAAATACTGTCTCGCACGATGAAGGGGTAAGAAATATTAAAAACTCTGCTCAGGCTCGCTGCGTAACGCACACGTATACCCCACAGATGGTAGAGCTTCACAAAGCTCGAGAAGTTGTCAAAGGTGCACAACTCCCTCTCTGTGATCGATCATCCTATGTATAACGTCTACAGGATTCTCTAACCCGCTTGATGGGCCTTGCGAAGCACGATTCGCCGCGTTGTGCGACCTCTGGCAGAAGCTAGCATCGTTCGCCGATTTTGAGCGCGAAGACAGTCTAATTTGGCCGTGCTTCCCCATTGTTTGCCCTGGACAATGCTTTTCGCTGGAGAACCGCATGCTAATTGAAGGACTCGAATATGAATCTCTGGTGTACGGCCAGTCGCTCGAGCCTACGTATCGCGAACCAAGCCTGCATTTGCATCCGGAGCTGGTGAAGCAACGACTAGAGCGCGAAGGAATGTTGGATGCTTCAGATCGTCCACTCTTGCGTCATGACGTCGTGATGCAAGAAATGGTTGGGTTCGGCACAGACGGCGAAGAGATCACGGTGAATCAGCCATGGAGGAGGTGAGTTGCCGCCTTATCCGCAACTCTGGACGTTGCCAATGGACATCTCAGGTATTCAGTGGGGAATATGAACTCAGGATGGACCCTCGAGACGATCACCAGCGTAAGAGAGAAAGCAGACTGTCGGGGCTGGTTCATGAATTATGCCGTGGACCTCTGTCACACTGAGGAAGACTTGGACAACCTGGCCATTGGTAAGTGTTGCTGTATTGAGCAAGCTATCGGAGGAGCTCAGACGGCTCACTGTCTATGGTTTTTAGCGTGCGCGCTCAGGTTTCGTACGCGTACATATCTGGTCGCTGCCCCCGGAGAAAGGCACAAGGCACTACCCCCAACATTGTTCTTCTATGAACGCGTCCACACCGAAGCACGTACGAGCCTCGACAGCAGCCTAGATTGGCCAATGGGGTTCTGGTCGAGGGATCCAAACGACGAGATGGAACCCGTCGATCCCACCGATGTGCAGAGCGCCGGGATACGGAGGCAGCGTATAACATTCCGCGGGATCTCACCGGATGGTGAGTTTGTATGGGTGCAACAGTTGGAACATTGGACTTTCTGCGTCAAAGTCCGGTACGTTCAGGTGTTCTTCCTTAGCCGTCCCTGTCCAAGTGAGCTAACGCCTGATTCGGGGGCCTGCCGTGTAGAATTGAGGTGGAGTACTACCGGTTCACTCCAGATGAATGTCTCGTTCTGCATGAGATGCAGAGATGGGCAACACCGGAGGATCGAGCAAACTCACGATTTGAGTTGATAGAGGACGACGAAGTCATGGACTGCGACTGAACCAGGGCTGCCTACGATGTTCGAGTTGAAGACCATGAACGTGTATGCGAGATTACTTGCTTGTGGTAGTGTTGTCGTACAACGAGGTGCGCCTGATGTGCCTAATGGAATGAGTCGGATGAGTAGTCGGTGCGATGACTGACCCTGTTCATTCACCCCGGGCCGGGCTGCCGAGAGAGTGATTCCAGGATAGTAATAAACGCCGGACGCTTGTTGCCGAACGAGATGGAGGAGATCCGCACAGAGGACGATTAGTCATGCCGGCCTGCTGCTTTTGGCGAGGAAGTGGCGTCAAGTATTCGGAGTCGGCCGTGGTCACTTTCAGGAGTTCCGACTCGGAGTGACTTGTGACGCTGCTCTATCTGCCTCATGTATCATGCACTCAAGTTGGTATGATTGCGGAGGAGGAGAACGAAATGGTATCGTGTCAGTGAGCTCTGGTGATTACTTTGAGAACCGCGCATACCTCACAAGTTGCGGCGCCCGAACGCTCTCTTCTGGTGAGGGCATCATTCTGAAAGCCAGCGTCGATACGAGGTTAGCCCTTCTGATTGTAGAGCTCTGGCACGTGAGGAACCAATGATGTGTCCTCCTTGAATAGAAGCCTTCTCGTCATTCTCTTGTGAAAGTTTTGAGATGATTCGACATCCTTATGGCGAAAGCCGCCTTTCGCGCCCGTGATCATTCTCGGGACTTCATGCCTCCCGTACCTGTTTATTCCTGTACCCCGGCGGGCTCCGTGAGTCCGGTGATTCCTGCACTGATTGCAGGCAAGTTCCTAGCTTAGTCTAGGCATTCATCAGCCGTGGCATCTGTTAGGTGCCTGACAATATTACCCCATCGGCCGCTCGCTAGAAATCTGTATATGCATACGGTCCTCTCGAGTCTTGACATTGGCGCAATCGCCGCTCATCGGTCAGACTCGGAGGTTACCCGTCCCTCAAATCTTCGACGTATGCCTTGACATTCAGATACTGCACAGGCCGCTCCATTGGATTCAGAGCCTTGGAAGCAAGCCCTCCGGTAATTAAGGGGCCGGAAGTCGTCTCTCCGGACCTTGGCTTTCGAAGAGATGCCATGGCGCAATGATAGGTCAAATGAGATGAATCTCCGAGTAGACTATGATGAGTCGAAGGCGCTGCGAGCATAGTTGTTCGAGGCAAACCGCGATAAGGGGGACATCGATCACAAGGCTGTGGATAAGGAACACCCGCAGTTGTCTGAAGTGGGCGTCGTCGTTGTGGCGGGCTCCTTTCCGAGGACGCCTGTGGAGCATTGAGCTCAACTTGAAGGTTCAACCGAGTTACGCAGGGCGCCGGCCGCACTATCAGTAATCTCCGCCACGTCAATGTCCGGCCGAGCTAAGTCCAGAGAAGTAGATCACTTACAACAGGTGTAAGTTACCTTCGCATAGACACGATTCATGGAATCTGCTGACGGCTGTGCAGATGAGGTTGGCTATGACGCGCGCCCGCAGTATACAAGTGTGGACTACTCCTTCATTCACTGCCAATGCGGTGAGGGAATCGACGGGCGCAATGAAGTCGGAGCACAGCCAATTGCCGAAGACCAGCCGGATCTGATGTAGACACAGATTAGTATCAGAGAGAGTATGACCCTAGCTTGAACCTTTTCACTAGACGTCCACCGCCTTGCTTGTTGTTCGCGGACTCCTGTACCGGGTAGAAACGGGGGCCGTCATGTGACAGTTATAGTCTGTGACGACGAAATTCATTCCAGAGATCAGTTTAGAGTACCGCACCCTGGGCTAAGATGTGTTGGGAGCTGGCAGAGAGTTCCGACGCGGGGAAGTCGGCGTTAATGAGGCACGTGGTGGCTGAGACGCCTGTTGAAACGTTGAACCGCAAGCTTGTAAGTACCACCAGTCCGATTGGAGGGTCATGTACTGTCTAGCTGCCCTCTCGGTGTGTTGGTGCTCATGAATCCGAACTTGTCTGTGCACAGTATGCCTGCAGGTGTGAGGGCCGTGCTGCTCCTCTGCTGCGGTCTGCCCTTCTATCAGCCTGCCAGTGCTTCAGAGACTTCGCTCGCGCAGTCGGTCGATCCGATTGAAGGTCGCTGAGATCGCTTCTCCGCCTTCTTCTATCCTACTCCCGAACAGCATTGTGCGCAGAAATGGACGAGGCCATGAGGCGATGCTCTTGTCCCATCTGCGAGCGCCTGTGCCCGCGCCACGCTGGATTGTCGCTGACGAAGTCTTAGAATGAGATTCGTGCGTATACGACCCCTTGGGCAGGCGCATTAATGGGAGCCTCGAAGATCCCCGCAGAAGGAGCACCCCATGGAGACCGGACGCCGAACGCACGCTAGAAGAGACGGTTAGGTAAGTAGCCCTCAATCAAATTCATGAATTCCCTCGGACTGTCATCTGGCCGTCGCTCATCTAGCTTCCGTCGTGTGTGATCAAGTTCCAGTTGGGACCGCTTGGACGGCGAAAGAATGGGATGTAGGCATGCCTGTGCACGGCGGTGGCAGCGTGAGGGGGTCGAAGCACGCTCGGAGTCGCAGATCTGGCTGTCGGCCGCGTACGGTGGCATTTTCCCGGGCTTGGCTTCCAGCATGGCCGGCTACTCAAATCGATATGTTATCGGCGGAGGGCCGGGTGCGCGTGCCAGCTAATCAAAGGGGACGTAACCTTATCGACCGAAGTTCCGCCACAAAGCTGCTCGTCCACAGCTGGCCTCGTCTCTCCACCTTCCCTCCTCTTGTACTTATCCGCTGATGATTGACCGCTGATGATTGACTGACTTGGCAGCGACGGCGGCCCTGTGTCCGACCGATTGCACCCCTCGCTCGGCACGCCAATTCGGCAATACTTGGCCAAGAACTCCGGAGAACAAGCAATCAGGAGAACTCCGCTTCGTGTGGCCCAGAGAAGATCTGTACGGCATCAGCTGAGCCGACGACATTCACCACACTTTTGCGGGCTGCAAGAGCGCCCTTGCCTTGCAAGTAACGTCCAACACACCCGCGTGGCGGTTCTCTGCATCTATCTAGCCTGCATGCTGTTCTCGAACACGTCTCCGTCAACCGAGCGCACCATCCCCGCCCATATATACATGTCACCATCATCCTGCACGGCTCTCATCTCTCTCTTCAGCTCGGCACCCCTCCTCACAGCCAATCAGCTGACTGACCGACATTGCAATGTCTCTCGACACCTACGCCCCCAGCCTTGACTACACTCCCACAAAACCCAGCTCCGTGCTCTTCCAAGGCGATATACCCGCTGCTGTTCAACGCCAGATCGTCGAATTCAGCGACTTCCACCTCAAGGGCGTCGACTTTGCCCGCACGACAGGCCAACGACTCGCCCTCAAGGAAGCCTCGGTCTTCCGGCGCCCAGAAGATGCGAAGCTCCAGTCTCGGCTTGTCTATGAACTCACAGTTGCACAAGGTACGTCTCCCACGTCCACGTTCCACCACGAATTCTGTTTCGTCGAGACGTGCAATACGTGCGTCTGCGACACATCCGGTTCAGTTAGCGGCCCGCAACTGTCACCGGGATCGTCGCTGATCAACGGCCATTCTTGCATCCTCCAGATATGACAAACCGGCAGCACACATTGCATGGCGGCTGCACAGCGTTCCTGGTAGACGTGTAAGTTTTGCATGGTCCTCGGCCCATGGGCACCCCGACATTCCCGGGGTGTCGATTTCGGTGTCGGTCTGCTGATATTGACATCTGGCTCGCAGGTGTTCGTCAGTGGGGCTCGCCTTTCTCGCGATGGTCCAGGGGAAGCCCTCGGACTTTGTCTCCCAGACGATGATTACGACATATCACGCGCCTGCGCCTGTGTGAGTTTCTTCCCCCGTCTCCGAGAAACTCGGAGATGGTCTCCCGTCGTTCCTTGTGACTGATTATGGTGTCTTTCGAACGTGGACGCACAGCGGAGCAAAGCTCAACATCGTGAGCACCACGACTTCCTTTGGTGCGCGGACGGTGGCGTCGCGGATCGAGGTCAGTGCGACTTCCGTGATTCTCGGGATTCACACGCTGATGTGCGCGCAGGTCTGGGACGTGACACACCACCGCCTCTGCGTCTCTGGCGTGCACAACAAGATGGCCCCAAAGATGCCGACGCCGACGCCGCAGAACGCGAAGCTGTAAGCCGGATTCGGCTTTCAGGGACGGCGGCGACGATCTGCTTGGCCGGGGAGGTGGCTCCGATAGAGCTGGCTACGTTCATGCACTTGGAGTTTGCGAATGCTATCTTGAATTGGTCTCGGAGCCCGTGTGCTTTGGAAACACATTGTTCTATGTGAGGATGCAGCAGTGATTTCTCTATGGAGATCCTGGACGACGCGCCGACTGTGTCCTTCGATTCGGTCAAGTCGACTACGGAGACTTCGCTGTGAACTACATCGAACGGCCGGCAATGCCTGCATAGGAGACATGCTAAGGCGTTGTTTTGCTTGATCCTCACGACAGTACAGCTCGCTGTACGAATGTGCTTCAAATTATAGTCATCCTTGTCGCTCGAACCACCGGCAAGATTCGCCGCTCTATCGTTCCACAGCAATCGTGGGTGTGCGTAAGCATTTCTCATTGATGTACTTCCTCATTGATGTACTTCTGCAAGAGTAGGCTACAGGTGGATCGCCCAAACGCCTCCAAAGTTCAAAAGTCCGTCATGCAGAACGTGCCTCCATTTGTTCTCCTGGGGCGAGCAGCGGCGCATGTATGGAAGCATGTTGTGACACGAGTGAAACTTGAGTCAACGTCGAAGCTGATGTCGATCAAAGTACTCACCTACTGACGAAACTCGCGATAAGTTTCTTCCCCGTCATGGCGCACGTCGTTCCTTGGCAGAGTCGCCTTCCGGAATGGAAGCTCATCCTCGCCAGATCGCTGACGAGACACCGAGATCACAGCGTCTTCGAGGGTCGGTACGACGTGGGCGAGCCTCTGCACCCACGCGCAATTGATGTCCCATTCCTCGAGCGAGAGCTCCGCAGCGCAGAGAGCAGGCGGTGGGCTAGAGTCCTGGGGCCCGGCTCTGAGCAAGCTTTCGGGAGGAGGGGTAAAGCAGAAAAGGTGCTGGACTTGGATGCGGAGACGCCGTATGGGGAGACGTTCGAGCGCCGCCGTAAGCTCTTCCTAGAGGGATTCGCGTGCCAGTCAGTCAGCGGGCGTCCATGCGGTGTTGTCACGCGGTCCACGAGTGCTCACCAGGGCAGGTAGAAAGTCTGTATCGGCCTGTGCGTCCTCGAGCGCGACGCTGATGGATAAGCTTGACAGCTGGGATGCACCATCTCCCAGTGCAGCTTGAGATGCTCGACGGGCCCTGCGTACTGGATGATGTCGTGCAGCAGCTCGAGGTGTCTGGCGTCGTTAGGACGAATCAAGGAGAGACGGGCGATGTGGCAAGTCAGCCCCAGGATGTACAAGTCGATCAAGGACCCCGAGAACTCCTCGAGATGCTGCCAAGTCGTTGTGCTATTGCGTTGGCTTCGAATGTTCGCCTCGCGGTGCTCGCAGAAGGCATCCGTGAGGCCGTTGTGTTTGAATTCATCGTAATGGTCTGTGCTGACGGAGAGGTAGGAGAGGCCTGGGAAGCCGCGGATGAACGGTAGGCAGACAGAATAGTCGCAGAGCTCGATGGTCAAGCGACGCATCCTGGGGTAGACCTGCGCGTAGGTAGGGATCGTGAACCCGTAGAGCGGTCCCGGATTGCTGTGCCATACTTCACAGTGTAAGTCCACCAACGTAGATGCGACGCTCTGCAGAAGGGGAACAGGATGGTAGTCGCACCACTGGGAAGGATCGGTGGTGTCCCAGAATGTGCTTCCATCTCCGTATTCGCTGAGGAAGTTGACGGAGAGGGAGACGAGGTCGGATTGCAGGGTGCGGAGAAGCTCTACGGTGAACTCATGAGCATGGATTATATGGAGAGAGCGGAGAGAACGCAGTGAGGCGATGGTGGCAGGGAGATCTGTATGAGTTTGGAAAAGAAGCTCGGGGGCGGTGAGCCAGAGGGTGCGGAGGCGAGATGAGTGGGAAAGGATGTCCAAGAGAAAGGCAGAAGTGTGGGCTGACAGATAGGACACGGACAGGTCATGGAGATGGTGGCAGCGCGAGTAGTGGTCGACGCGCAGGAAGACGGCGAGTTTTCGGAGGGAGTCCTCTGTTGTGATTGAGGCGCCGTGCTGCAGAAGAAACTTGGGGCCGAGGTTGTACAAGGACTTGCAGGTCAACATCATCGCTGCGACGACTTGTGGGGGGGGGGGGGGGGCCGGAGTGAGAGGAGTTCGACAAGAATGTCGTAGTCGAAGTCGAGGGTATGTGTGGAAGCCATGTGAGGGTGGATCGGGGGAGTGCGTCTGGCGGTGGGGATGGATAACGAGCACTCGCCGAGGGGACTGCAGGAGTCGTGCGAGCGAGTCCGGGCCCGGGCCGTGTCAATCGCGGGGACTTCTCAGCGGGCAGAGGTGGTGGTATTCTCCTAGGGTCTCGGCACGCCCGACCGGGTCTCCTTCGCTGAATTCAAAGCGCTTGGATTCGAACGAGATATAGGAGAGGTTCGGTGCGCAAACAAAGTACGGCCTGAGGAAAGGTGTACAATTCTCGACCATGCAGAGGCGCCGTAGGGAGGGATGCGTAGGATGGATGGCGTACTGTGCACCAGAGAGCCCGGGGGAATCGCTTCATAATTTGGTTGTGAGGTCCTCGAGGGTGTCCGCGGAACCAGCCACGAGGTGGAGAGGATGATACGTGTCCCAGGACGAGTATCGATGACAGTCAGAAACGAGCGATGCAGAGACGAGACGAGACTTGAACGCTTTTAGCATAATACAAGCCCGATCGCCTGCGTAAACTACGCGAAGGTGTCGGATGGACGTGAGCGCAGCGAGCGCGGAAGCTACTTCCGGATGATACACGTAGAGGAGCTCCGCCCCGATCAGTGTGAGGGTTTCCAACTGCGTCATGTGGGGAAACGCCTCGGTGAGGTCCTCTGTAACGGTAGGAGGAAAGGTGAATACGTTCAGATACAACGCGCGCAAGTACCTGAAGCGGGGAAGTTCCTCGTTGTTGAGGAACGTCAAGAAGGAAGCGAGCTGTCCGCCTGTGTCAATCCTGATCTCGTTCTCCAGGAGTAAGGTCTTAGAACCTTCGCATCGGAGGGTGCGACATGTGGAAATCACTGCGAGCGCGTCCCTAAGTGGCGAAACCCGGATGACTTGAAGAAGCACATCGAGGCTGAGTCCGCGCAGCATGACGTGGCACTATGCAAGTACATATTGTGGGCGTGAGCATTGCGAGAGACAGACGGCCCGACATAGTTGGAACTCACTACAGCTGTCGTTGAGATGGAGCCCCTGAGAAAAGAGCACTTGATGAGTCCCCCCCTACGCGCTCCTGGACAACGCAGGTGGTTATCGTCCCCCGAGCTTCGAGACTCTGAGATCTTGAGAGCCGGCTAAAGGAAGGGGTCAAGTTGGTGATCGATGTATTGAACGCTGCTAGTGGGAGAGCATATTATCATGCGCCAACGGCCGCCGTGGCATGAAGAGCACGGGCAGACCCGGGGCGTAAGCGTGACCCGGGCCGAGGAGCGCGCGCTTGCTTGACTTGAATTTCGCCATGCTACTAAATACATAGTAGGTAATACTTCTACTACCAGCCTCCCTCAGGTCCCTACTTTCAACCTGTGGATCCCTGTCCATACAGTTCGACTCGAATCACCTTTGATTGCCTTGGTTACACGGCCCTGAGCCACAGTCCGTCACAGCCCTTATCGCCACACCGACCTTTCACGCCGCTCTATTTTTGTGTGTTATATGGGCTCGACAGTCGGTATACCTGAGCCCTGGTCGTACAGGAAGTCAGTGGGAGATACGTGGTCGAAGAGAACAAGATTTGGTAGAGACAGGAACCGTGTCTGTGTTAGTACATTTCGTATCAGAATTGTGTAACACGTGAACGTTTGAACGTTGGCGTAGAGCAAGCTAGCGCAGCCGACATACCAATAGAAACATGTGTTCCTGCCCCGATCATGAACGTACCAAATCCTGTATGCCCGAGTTGTGTGAAGAGAATCTTGAGGGACGCAAGTCCACGGCCACACTCCAAGAAAGACATCCAAGCCGTGCGTCGTAATATCGCAATCCTACAACATCCGCACTCAAGTGGAATCCTAGCAGAGATTGGAACAGGCAGGGTAACCCCAGGAAGAGGTCCCCGCATTGGAAGAGCTCATCCACGCCCCTATGAAACTGGACACAATTGGGCACCGATAATGGCCGTGATTCCCACCGCTGTGGAGATACACCATCGTGAAAAATCAACACTCTCAGAAAGGGTCTACATACGTACCCCTGATTACTCGCAGATGGCCCACGCCACATCTCAGACCGATGAATGGCCATCGAAGACATTGGAAGCCATGGCATGAAGTATATTCTGGGCCAGGGGGAAAGTCGTATCCCATTAACTCCAGCAAGCCCCTGACACATTCAATCCCACCGCCAACCCCCAAGGATGACACCGCCTAACAAGACCTCCCCCAGACCAGACCCTGATCCCCACACGAACTAGCGCAAGTGTATCGCATTGAGACGTCGATGTAGATTGACATGTCGATATATCTACGTTCTCAAATTCGGAAGATTGTGGCTCACCCAATAGTACTTGTCGACAAGGTCTCCCTGAATTACGCCCTTGATGATCAAACGAAAGCTATGCTGCCAGCAGTCAGTCCACGGTGACTCCCACAACAACTGGATGGCGACAGACATGGATTATTTTCCTTATACAACGCATCCTTCGAAGTCAATCCAGGCTGCACAGCCATACCGGGCTCGCTGGGACGATAAGCAATACCTGCAACTGACACCATCATACCCAAACGTTTCACACACAAACACACAAACCTTTCTTATACATGTACGGAGTGCTGCAACGCCGCGAGTGCTAGCTGTCGCGTGACAAGATTGGGAAAGAGAAGAAACGACCGACCGTACATAGTACCAGTGCATGCTATCGGTAAAAAGACGTAACATAAGGGAAGGGTTGAAAGCACCGCACCGCATGATCTGCCTAAAGGCTACCACCAGCTTCTTATGAGACCTCCTCTCGTCCGACTTGACCGTCGGAAACATGCGTAAGGCAGGAATGAGTCAAACCGGTGATGGGGAAAAGTAACGGGTAGAGGGGACGGACTGATGAGCACATCCCATTCTTGCGCTGCGACGTAGCGTCTTCCCATCTCAAAAATCTTCGGCGCCAGCAAGTGCAGAGCTGCTTTCGTCGGCTACAAGAAGTCCTCGGCCCTGGCTCGCTTCTTGCCGCGCATCTCCTCGGCAGGCACGTTGGGCACAGGGCCGTCAGTGGACACAGGGAAGAAGTACTTAGGGTGTCTCGACCGTCTTTCCTCCTATGAAGAAGCGTCAGCTTACGAGCAAGATCAAGAAATTACCGGTACTTACGGGGGAAAAGTTCGGATCTTGCCACTTGAGAACGGTATCCTTCTTGAATGTGGGATTGACCTGCGCCAACGACGGATTCGGCAACACCAGCGGAGTCGGTGGCACTGTGGGTGCGAATTGCTGCTGTTGCTGCTGATGTTGGGTAGGCGGCGTCGCTTGGACCGTAGGAGCGGTAGATGGGACGAAATTGGGAGCACCGGGAGGTGCTGGAGCCCCAGGTACTCCCGCAGGTGATATTGATGACGCACCGGGCATAGGAGGAACGACGCCAGGAGGGACAACCCCCGGAGGCGGCGAGAATCCTGGAAGTGGTATACCAGGTGGCGGCATACCGGGGGGAAAGAATGGAGGTGGAAAAGGAGGTCTCACACCTGGAGGGAACGGTGGCGCACCCGGAGGCAGCAGGCCTGGGGGCGGCTGACCAGCGAATGGTGGAGGCACGGCCGGGAATCCCGGCGGTGGTGGCATACTGTTGATGACTTGATCAATACCAAGGGATAGAACCAACAGACGAACAGATGCGACTCACCCAGGCGGTAGAGGCATGCCAGGCAACGGGAAAGGTGGCTGTCCTGGGAAACCTGGAGGAGGAACTCCGGGCACGAAGGGGGGCGCACCTGGTGGCATAACAGGAGGGATACCGGGAGGGGACATGACGGGCGTCGGGACTGCAGTCGGAGGGGCGGCATATGTTTGCGAAGGGGCTGCGTACACCGCGCCTGATGCCCCTTCTGGCACTGAAGGAACACTGGATACTTCCGAAGCGCCCATGAGGGCCTTGTGGGCCTCGAGCTGCGCCTTCAGCTCGTCCTCCGAGAGGGGACGGTTTTCAACCTTCGGCCGCTTCGCCTGTGGCTGCGTGATAGTGCCGGGGTTCAAACCAAGCTCGATCTCCTTACGTCGCTTGTAGTCCGCCACATCCGGGGCTGGGATGCCCTCCATACCGAAAATCTCCACTTCGTAGCCATCACGTCCCGGGAGGGCATTCTCAATTCGAGGAAGACTGCAAAGAGAATCAGAGTTGTGAATGCGAAAGAGTTGTGAATGCGAAAGAGTTGTGAATGCGAAAGAGTTGTGAATGCGAATAGCAGGCAGAAGCTTACTTCTCAGGCTCGAGTTTATGGACTTGCTGGATATGAACTGCCAAACCGCCTGCTGTGTTCAAGCGACGAGGACACATATTGCATTTGAAGTGCTTGGCCTTCTGGTGCTGCATTAGCACTGGAAAGAATGTCAATACATGTTTGGGGGAAATATGTCGAGAACAAGTTACCTTTCTCATCCTCGAACTCCCTCTCACAATACCAGCACCACGGACGGAGGATCTGGGAACCGTTGAGGATAAGCAGCCTGACTCAGGATTATCACGTACCTGCTTATTCTTTTTCTTGGCCATGTTTGTCTAGACAGCCTGATGCGAGAGTGATACGGGGGCGGCCTTCAGGTGGTGAGGGGCGTGGGCGGTGTCGTTGAGGACGACGTTGACGGAAAGTTTGCCTGTAAGCGGATTTTGACGCTCCTATTCGGAGTCTCAAATCTTGTAAGGCAAGGGTGTTGAGCTATGTATCGGAGACTAAATTGGCTGCCGTAGAGCGCCCAAGAGAACCGCGCGCGGCCCGCGGGGCGGGTTGCGGGCCTTGGGCCAGGGGCGTGAAGCTTGCTCGACGTCCTCACGGTGGTGTCACTATCCTCGAGGTCGGCGGCGTCGTTTAGCTCCACCATGATAGCAACGCTCCTGCTGCACATATAAAGGGAACCCACTTTATCGACGGAGGATTCGCGATATTCCCCAACTTTCCTCCCTATAACATGCTTGGACGATCTCTACCGGAATATGTTTTCATCCGCCTCTCCATCTTCGCCCTTCAACTCATCACACCTCTCAGCATAGCCTACATGTGCGCAAGCTGGTACTATAAACATGCGCTATACTCCCCTTGGATAGCCATATATGCCGGTCTAGAGGCTTCCTTCTACCTGCTGGTCTTTGTACCGCGGAACAGGTTACTGCAGAAGGTGAGAGGTCACTTCGATCTCATAATATCGCCACCGAGGCTGCTGGAAATGTTTGGTATGACGACGTGACATGGAACTATCAGCATTCCGCACGCTCTTAACAGTTCAAAATAAACTCACAAAATAAACTCACCGGGACAGAATACGGTTGCTTGTCATCTGGATCATGCGCTCTTTCTTCCGTTGATTACAAATCATTCCTGCTACGTTGAGCATCGCTCTCATTTGACGCGGGCTTGAGAGCGGTCATTCGAAGAGTCTGACCTACTGTTTTCCCTATAGGCTGCCACACACCCTCCATTGCCCTCCCGCGAAGAGCGCGAAGCACTCTTCGCGAAGTGTTTTGCGCAATTGCGCGACGAAACTTATGCTACCGGGTGGTTCTACTTCGCAGACTCGAAACTTATCAGACGCGAAAACCTGCTTGACTGGCTGTCATGGGCGTTCTTTGGTACTCACCCAGACGGCCTGCACGAAGAGTGGGCAGAAGAGATCGAAGGGTACCTGCGTAACATCGAACAGCTCCTCGGGCACAAGACAGAGGACGGTCGAGATCACACTGTACGCGCCATCAAGGTTTCACTTGACCCAGTCGTGACGGCGTACAGACCCCTGCTCTGGTATCTTGTGAGTAGATATCCTCCTTCCAGGTTTTGAAGGCCTGACTTGGAGCAGACTGTCGCTTTCATCGATACCATAACGACCATCCAATTGCATTTCAAGGGTTTCAGACATTATACCTACGGCTCATGGATGTGCTGCTTCCCTCCTCGCCCACTGACAGCGTTCTCCAATAAGTCAACTCACGATGGTCTAATTTACTGGCTCCGACCTCATCGTTCGACCGCTAAGGACCCAATCCTCTTACTCCACGGCATCGGCGTACGTTTCGAACGATTCATCAATATCCCAATGCTGACAACTCCCTTGTTAGATTGGCCTATGGCCCTACGTACCCTTCCTACAAGAGCTCGCCGACGCTGACCCCGATGTCGGGATCCTGGCAACCGAATGCCTCGCCATCAGCATGCACATCTCCGCCCCTCCCCTCTCGCGCCCCGAAATGCTCGCGGCCCTCACCGCCCTACTCGACGTACACTCCATCTCCCGCGTCGTCGTCGCCGCCCACTCCTACGGCACCGTCCACGCCGCGCACATGCTCCGCGACCCGACGCTCAGCGCGCGCGTCTCCGCGTGGCTTTTCATCGACCCGATCCCGTTCCTCCTCCATCAACCGAGCGTCGCGTACAACTTCGTCTACCGTCAGCCGCGCACGGCAAATGAGTGGCAGCTGTGGTATTTCGCTAGCCGCGATCCCGATATCGCGCGCACGCTCGCCCGGCACTTCTTCTGGGCGGAGAATATTCTATGGAAGGAGGATATCGAGGGGAGGAACGTCGCGGTTGTGCTGAGTGAGCTGGACCAGATCGTCGATGCAAAGGAGGTTCGGCAATACTTGACGGACGAGGTCACGGACGAGCCGAAGTTCCGCTGGCAGAAGGAGGGTTTGGAGGTACTGTGGTATAGGGGCATCGACCACGCGCAGGTTTTCGATACCAAGACACGTCGGGGGCCGTTGATCAGTATCCTCCAGAGCTTCGCTGAGCGGAAACGATCCCTGGATTAACGTGGTTTGCGAATGAATAGTATCTACTTCCCCGCTTCTGTATACCTGAATTACAGATACTTTCATACCCTATTGCACACGAGTTCATGAATAGTCTATATAGTATCACGAATACAAGGAGATCCCGCCCCACAACTCAGTAAGCAAGGGTCACGCGCGAACCCTCCCAATTGTCCCAATTAGCCAGTGCCCCATGAACGATGAAGTGCGCCGTATCCTTCCTCGAGATGCGATATGCGTCCCCAGAGTGCCCATCCTTCAACGCCCGATACGGCGCGTGCTCACCAGGCTTCCTCTCCTCATCTGCCTTACAGACTCCATCCGTCAACAGTGACGGCCAGATAACGACTACGTGCTTCAGCTCCCCCGGCCCAGGCAGTCCCGGGGTGCCCTCCCATCCCTCCGGCAAGATCTCTGCCTTGACCTTGTCCTCAGCCTGCCAAGAGAGCCCCGCGACATGCGCGAGCACGCGCTCCGCCCCGAGCTTGTCCGCGTGCGGAGCCGGGAGGAGGATGTTGTAGAACAGCTTGAGCGAGAGCGGGACCGCCTTGTGCGAGGCAGCAGTGCACCCCATCGAAGTGACGACGACGAAGTGAGGTTGGGAGTCCGGCGCGCGGAGGGAGGAGGGTATGGAGCTTAGGACATTGAGGAGGGATTGGGTGCAGAGGTTGGGATGGTTGAGGGCAAGACCGCCTTTCAGAGTAAATGCGAGGGTTCCGCCTGTAGAAATAGCATGTGAGCGTGCGGGCACCTACGGAATGGAAGGGGAGCATACCGATGGTGAAGAGGACAACGTCAACTTTGCCGTTTCCAGCTTCGAGGGCTTTCTGCCACCCGTTTCGGACGTCCTCGAGATTGAGGCCGTCGCCACGGACGAGCTGGGCCTTGCCCTGCTGAATGTAGAGCTGCATTTCTGCATCGTTATCGAACGTATTTGGAGAACGCAGGAGATACGTGATGGTTGCTCCTTGCTCTGTGTCATTGAATGACTCAGGTTAGAGAGGATACTTCAACAAGACAATACGAGAACGAACTCAGGAGTCTTAGGCCAGCAAAGTAGCCAATGTTCTTGGAACCGCCAAGTACGTAAACGTGCATGTTGCGGGATGAGATGCTGATGTGGAGTTGAAAGTCGATCGTTGGGCTGTTTGAGTAAATTCTGTCTTGGTTCAGGGGTTTTATACCCTGTAAGGACACCATTCGTAACACAGCCCCTGAAACTGCAACGTTGCACTGCGCACCATCATACAGGCACATCGGCAAGCGTACGCCACGCTCGTGAAATCAACGTGGCTGCTCCTCCGCGAATGAATCTGAGACTACTTCAGGAGATCGCAGCACCGGCAGCATGGCTCCGCGTTAGGTAAACATCCGCAGTAAATGTCGGCATATCCACGAAGATGAGTATGCAGAGCGCGATACCAATAGAACGCTGAGGGCGCCGGGCATGGTCTACAAATTGCTATAGAAGAAGCGCAGGACAGCATGCCCACGGGAGATGATGCAAATATCGACCCCAAGCGCGAGCGTGCCTCGGCAAACTGCCCGACTGAGACCGTCCGGTCGAACGATCGCGGCAAGAGTCACCTTGAATGTATGAAACATATGCATGTGGCCAATGTTCGATCGTGCCCTCACGATAACGAGGATCTTCGAACATGACCGGCAGAGTTCGGCGCGCGCAGCGAGTCATATCAAGCTGGCACCGGCACGTCAAGACCGGATAAATTGTTCCACTGCGCAGAATGTACAGGTATTTTCTAGTGATGAGACTCCTTAGCAATTTGGGCTGCGTAGGGGTTGCGGGGGTCGTTGCGGAAGCCCTCCGCTGGAGGTAGACGTGTCACATTAGCCGAGTGCGCTGCAACTGCGTACTGCTGGACAGGAATGACTCACACTTGACACCGAGGTCCTGCATCTTGCCCACCAAAAACCACGTCAAGACACTCGCTGTGACGAAGGGCCACAGCGGCTTGGCAACCTATTGCAGGGGTCAGAGGACTGTAGCAAGTCTCAGAAAGGGACGGACGGGAGTGGGCCACTTGCGGAGACCGAGGAAGCTCATGACGATGACGCCTAGAAGATGAAAACTAGTAAGCATCTCCGTCGCAGAACGGAGGGAGGGTACGCACGGAATAAGGAGTGGTAGTGGTGGTGGTGGATGTTCGGTGAATGAACAGAAAACGCGGCAGAATACGGGATGGTGCCGGCGTCTAATTTGTTAACTCACATTGGAAGGCGTGCTTATTTGGAGTTAATCATGCCTGACAGGCTCGGTTATGCGGCTTATTGAAAGATTGTTATGTCAACGTATTGGACAGGCCGACCAGCGTGCTGCGTCGCCCACAGCTCGCTCATCCCGACGTCGGGTCGCTTCTGGAGCTGTCTACACGCTTTCCTGTTCACAAACCTCACTGTGTGTATGTCAGTCTCCGAGTCTGTACACAATCACCAGTCTTCGTCCTCACTCCGCGACTCTTGAACGGCATCATTCCCTGCACACGCTCTCCCGCTCCTCGCACCTCTGGCTGCGCAAAGCTCGTAGCACATACAAAGCGTCGGATACCCTCTGCAAGAGTCCCTTCGATACCCTGGATCAACTCCCTGCATAGCTATGGCACAGCAACTTACAGGAAGTGCTGCCGCACCAGCAGTACGTCATTCAGTCTAGTCTAACATACCACGGCCGCAGGATCTTTTATCCTTCCAGTGGAGGCAATTCCCGTTCTTCGACCAAGTACCAGTTAAGGACATCCACGACCTTGGCAGCGCACCAGAAGTGTTCCAGGTACGATAACATGCTCTACCCCGCATTCCTCGCACCCTTGACCAATGCATGCAGAAAACACCAGAAATATCAACCATTGCCGCGTCTTCTGTCGGTCTAATAGTCGCGGACATCCATGGCAGTGTGTACCTTCTCAACCGGGACTTTGAGATTGCGAAGAGCTGGATCGCGCACACCGGCGGCCGGGTAACGCACATGGCGGAGCGGAGGGGCATCCTGATCACGCTTGGTGTATGTCCGCTCGTCATCCATTGGCTGGAGTACGCATACGAGTTTATCTGTCCAGGAAGAAGATGCTGCGCGACATCCCTTCTTGAAGGTTTGGGACCTGCAGAAGTTCGACAAGAAGACAGGAAGCCCGCTGCTGCTCCGCTCAGCGAAGGTTCAAGGCGGAAACCGTCCCCATCCCGTGAGTCACAATGATACCGCGTAGCCTTGCAACCGTGAGTAACCCCTGCACGCCAGGTCTCTACCATAGCCCTTTCAGCCACCTTATCTTACCTCGCCATCGGTCTTGGAGATGGAACGGTTATTCTCTACCGCCACCTCGACCAGTCCATCTACTCCACTTCCGGCTCGCTCAGCACCCTCCCTAGACCGCGCGTTATCCACGAGTCCCCAACCGAGCCTATCACAGGTCTCGGCTTCCGCGAACCTACAGAAGAAATACCCAACGTGTACCTCTTTATCGTGACCACGAATCATGTCCTCTGCTATCAAGCGTCCGGAAAGGGTAGCGGGGGTACCCCCGCGGTCGTCGACGAGATCGGCGCGGGGCTCGGCTGCGCAATCATGGACTGGAAGGCCCAGGAGATTGTGGTCGCGAGGGATGAAGCCATATACTTGGTCGGGTCCGAGAGTCGAGGAGGATGTTACGCCTATGAAGGTCATGTCCACTCACAATCTTGTCCATGGTGCAATTGCCTGACGTACACCACAGGCTTGAAGTCTAAGATTCACACACATCGCAATTATATCGTGATCGTCTCACCACCCTTCACGCCCTCCGCTTCTGCCGCGTCTGCTACGGTCCGGAATTTCGTCGCTCGCAATGTTGCACCTGCTGGGTCAGACATTACGAAGGTGTCGGTGTTCGACCCTGAGAACAAGTTTGTCGCCCACACGAATACCTTTACTGAAGGAGTCCGCGAGATCTTCTCGGCGTGGGGCAAGCTCTACGTGCTTTCAAACAACGGCACGGTTCGTAGTCCTTCCGCGGTTCGATTTATGGGCTTTTATTCACGGGTTGACATGGCCATCAGCTGATATGCTTAGAGGAGAAGCCGACGTCTACGAAGCTAGATATGTTGTACCGGAAGGGCTTGTACCTTTTGGCGCTCAACATTGCTGAGACGCAGAAGTTGGACGAGTCGCATATCGCTGACATCCACAAGCAGTACGGTGATCACTTGTACAATAAAGGCGATTACGACGGTGCGATGGCGCAGTACATTCAGACTCTCCGCTATGTCCAGCCAAGCTACGTCATCCGCAAGGTACTTCTATGCGTAGTCGCATGTCGAGTCCCCAACTGATTTCATCGTAGTTCCTGGACGCGCAACGAATACACAACCTCGTAACGTACCTGCAAGAGCTTCATTCGCTAGGTCTGGCCAACTCCGACCACACGACTCTCCTTCTGAACACATACACTAAGCTGAAGGATGTGACGCGGCTCGACAGCTTTATCAAGCGTGAGTCGTTGCGTACATCCGCAGACGGCGAGAAGGATGAGCTGCCATTCGACCTCGACACTGCGATCCGGGTATGTCGGCAGGCGGGGTACTTCGAGCATGCATCGTACCTGGCGAAGAAGTATGAGCGACACGAAGACTACCTCCGGATACAGATTGAAGACGCAGGCAACTACAAAGACGCGCTGACATACCTCAGGAGATTGGGCGCCGAAGCTGTAAGTAGCTCAACGGTGCATGCACGACGACGTACTGATTGGGATTCACACAGGCGGAGAGCAACCTTGCAAGATATGGCCGTGCGATGCTCGACAACCTCCCTGAAGAGACGACAGACCTTCTTATTGACATTTGCACCAGTCTCTCGCCATTGACGGTGGATACCGACGGACCAGAGGCATCACCAACAGGGCAGCGAGACCGCGGACCATCTTACCTGTCGTACCTCGCCCTCAACCGAGCCTCAGTCGTCAGCATCCCTTCTCCATCCGACAATGCGCCCCAATCCATACAATCTAATGCGGTAAAGCAATCCGAATCAGCTCGCCGCGACTCTGTCCATGATGCCTCACGACAGAGCGACTCGCCGCCTGGTACACCAACTACCGCTACGGCCGCAAAGCCTCGGGCTACCACCGTCAAGCGCCCTTCTCCCCGCTTATACTTTGCCCACTTTGTCGACCACACCAATCACTTCGTCCGATTCCTCGAGTCCGTTGCGCGCAAGCGGTGGGGGCAGGTCGCGGAGAACACCGAACCTATTCCTTTCGAAGTCGACCCGAACGCAGACGAGGAGACTGAGAAGCGCGACCAGGTTGCCGTGTGGAACACCCTCTTCGAGTTGTACCTGTCCCAACCAGGCGCACATGTAGACGCTGCAGCAGATGCGAAGGCTCTCGCACTTCTTGAGAACACAAGCCTGCCATACGATCCTACGCACGCGCTCATCCTCTGCTCGACCCGGAGCTTCACGCCAGGTCTCGTGCTTCTCTGGGAACGAATGGGTATGCACGAGGATGTGATCCGCTTCTTCATGGACCGTCACCAAGAAGGCGACGCGGACGCGAGCACGGAGGTTTTCCGCCGTTTGAAGCAGTATGGCCCTGGTCGGGAGCGCCTCTACCCGTTAGTGCTGCGCTTCTTGACAAGCACGCCGGCGCTGCTCGCCAAACACCGCGACGACGTCGTGGACGTGTTGAAGGTGATTGACGAGGAGAAGATCATGCCACCCGTCAGCGTCGTGCAGGTGCTGAGCAGGAACGACGTCGCGAGTGTCGGGCTTGTGAAGGAGTGGCTCATGACGCGGATTAAGAGTGCGCGTGAGGAAGTAGAGACAGTGCGTACCCCTTCCATTGTAGCGTCTAGCGGGAAGTTGACTCCTTTTCAAAGGATCAACAGCTCATCCTGTCATACCGAATGGAGACACAAGCGAAGCTGCGCCAGGTCGAGGAGCTCGCGGACCCTGACCGACCGAAGGTCTTCCATGTCACTCAATGCGCCGCTTGCCAAGGCGGGCTCGATCTTCCGGCCGTCCATTTCATGTGCGGCCACAGCTACCACCAACGGTATGTGTTCCATTCCTCCTTTGCTCCTTCGTTCCGCTGCTCTCCCATATGCTCAACGGGCGTCCTCTCGCGACAGGTGCCTGGCGGAGAACGAGACAGAGTGCCCGAACTGCGCGCGGGAACACGGCATGATCAGGGAAATCCGAAGGAACAATGAGCGTTTGGCAGACCAACACGACCTGTTCCTCTCGGAGGTGCGTGAGGGCGGATTCAACGCGCTCGCGGCTGGCTTCAGTCGAGGGACGCTGAACATGTCGAGAGCCGAGGACGTTGCTGTGTAGAGCTTGTTCTTTGCTAAACATAGCTGTTATCTAATGCTGCTTTCATCGGAGCCTGGAGGCCGAGGTGCCATTCATTTGACCCGACATCGACGTGTCTATGGCTGGCTGTGCCAGTGGGGTTTATACGGGGGCCTGGCGGTTGACTTAACCATCGATCGAGCGCCCCGGTGTCGGCCCTTTGTTCTATTGAGTTATTTGGCGAGCCCTTAAAGACCGCCTTCGACCAGTGCCTCAATAACAAGGGCGGGCATGGAAGAGCCTAGGGTCATCCATCGAAGGAAATTGCTTCCCTACCACGGGCAGGCTGCGACGCGCATGCATCTATCTTCATGAGGGCTAAGGTAAGTTCAAATTGTAGATATAGTACATTTCGGCCACAAGCTCCGTGTGCTGGCTACGCCGACTGATACAAAGCAAGATATATGCAAAAGGTACGATTTGAGCATGCTAAAAATACACGGATAGAGCATAGTTATCCATATGCAAAAAAGCAAGGAGAACATGGCATCACATAGACGTATGCAAACCGATCCGAGCATAGACGATGATGAGCAGCAACGGCGATGTCAACCACAAGGCAAGCGACGACAAGGGCGTCCGTATATATGATGAGAAGGAGTAGTCGGGCCACGGCGAGCCGAGGCTAGCAGTGCACTCGCCGACAAGCGTCGAGGTCGCCTCCCGGTACTGCTTGCCCCCATCTCGAAGGCCCCGCGACCTCGGCCCAGCCCCATAATGTGAGCGCGAGCGCGCCCCTGTCCGAGGTGAAATGAGTGTAGACAGGCCGAGCTCTGGCGACGACGCGTTCCGCGCCGCAGAAGAACTGCCCCAGCAGTCAGCCCGCAGCGGCGCGCTCGCGCCCAACTCTTTCTTTCCTTCTCTCTCTATCCCCACACACGAACCTGCACCTGCGTCCCGCGCTCACTCGATGATCTCGAAGCGGCTCCGCTTCGACTCGCGGCCGTCGTGGGGGTCGTCGAGCGCACGCTTGCTCGACTCGCCGTTCGCGCCCTCGAGCGAGCTCACGCCCGAGAACGACTCGCCGTTGACGAGGTTCTGGAGGATGAGCGTGTACTGCTCGTCTGTCAGGCCCATGCCCGCGAGCGGGTTGATCTTGCCCTCCTCCTCGTCCCCGAGTCCGAGCGAGAACCCGAGCGGGAGCGCGCCCTGCTGCTGGGCCGCGTTCGCCTGCACGGTGAGCGCGTTGTCGAAGGACGGGTCCGAGAGCGGGGGCACGCCGACGGAGCGCGGGACGCGGGAGAGGGTCTGGATGACCTTGAGGTGGGTGAGGTGCTTCTCGAGCACGTCCCAAAGGCCGTCCTTTGTGAACGGCTTCGGCAGGTGATCGTTCATGCCCGAGGAGTAGTACTTCATGATCTCGGCCGGCTTCGAGTTGCTCGTCATGGAGATGATGGGCGTCATGTGGTCGAACTGACGGATGAGCGACGTCGCGGACACGCCGTCGAGCTTCGGCATTACGATGTCCTAGAAACGCAGCGAACGAACGCCCGTAAGCACCTTCCCCAATTCCACACCGATTCCGAACGCGAGCGCGAGCGCGCTGTACGTACCATGAGCACAAGGTCGTACTTCTCCAAGTTCATTTTGTTCACAGCGCCGACGCCGTCCACGGCGACGTCGATCGTGCACCCGAATATCTGGAGGAACTTGCTCGACACCTTCCGGCTGACCGCGTCGTCGTCGACGAGCAGCACCCTCGGCGGCACAGCCCACCCAGGGACGTACGTCGACCTGCGAACGCGCAGCGTCTGCGCACTCCCTGGCCGCGTGCTCGGGCCTGCGGACGCGCCTACGCCCATCGATGCCGCACTCCCTGAGGCCGATGGGGTCGGGATACTGATGAACTGCGCAGGCTGCACGCTGCTTGGTGACGTTGAGCTTTCGCCCTCTTCCTCTGGGTCGCCGCCCATGCCTTCGGGCGTGGGCATGACGACCTGGTTGAGGACGCTGGCGTCGAAGGACCAGTTCCCGTTGGCGTCCTCGAGCGACGAGCGGGGAAGGAGGTGGCCGACGGTGAACACCTGGAGGCCCTCGTGATTCATCGTGTTCGGGTCGACGGTTAGCCCGTAGCGGGCAGCGTCCTCCATGAGGAAGGGCGTAGCATCGAAGGGCGCGTCGAGGGGGTTGGGAGGGGCAGACCCAGCAGCAGGGGTCGCCGCCGCCGCAGACGACGACGAAGCCTGCGCCTGCTGCTGCTGCTGCTGCTGCTCCCTCTGTTCGCGCTGTTGTTCCCTCTGCTGCTGTTGTTGCTGGGACTGCTGCTGCTGCTGGGAACGGCCCTTCTGGTTCGGCGACGTCGCAGGCCGGCCGGCCTGGGCCTGGCCCGCGTTCTGGGCCTGGTCGAGGGCGGGCGTGGGCCGCATCCGTGAGAGCTCCTCAATCCGCGCGAGCGCGTCCTGCCGACTCATCGGCCGGGCTGGGGCGTCCATCCCCCCAGACATCAAGCCTGCGGCCGCGGCCATGATCGTGGTCGCGCGCGAGCTGGGCCTCGGCGGGGCAGCAGCGGGCCCTTGGGCGTTAGTCGCACCGCCGCCGGCAGCCGTGCTGAACGTCATCCCTGCGACCTCGGCCCTGCGCGAGATCTCGTTCATCTGGGCGAGCGAGGCCCGCGCGATGTCGCCGTCTGGGTAGGCGCCCATCATGCGTTGGGCCTCTGTCGCGGGGAGAAAGGGGTTCGGATCGGGCGCGTACGTTCCTGGGGCGGGGTTCGAGATCTGTTCTGTTTTCAGTTTGCCTAGACCGACCGACCGACCGAACGCGTCGACGCCATGGAGGTGATGGGAGAGTGGACGCGTGCGCGCGGGGAATTTCCGTATGTTCGGTTTCGGGTGTGCAGGTTACGAGACCGACGTGATGATGATGATGATGATGATGATCGCAGGAAGTAGACGTAGCCACCAGAGAATTCCAGGAAATGCGTCCGTGAGATTTGCACAATTGGAAGATGAGAGGAGAGCGAAACATGGAAAAAAGCAATAGTACAAATTAGCTTCCGTTCTGGGAATTATAAACTACGAGGAGACAGTCCCACCATTCTCCAACTGCAAGAAGTATTGTATCAAATTCTGCATTAGCCCGTCCTGCTGAGCCATGTTCCGCTGGAAGTTGACCATCTCTGACAGAACGTTCTGGTAGTTGGTCTCGAGCGAACGTATGTGTTGCGCCATCTCTTCCTGGTCGCGGGACATGCGGTCGATCTGCGCCTGTAGCGCCTCAACGGTAGCTGACGCTGACGGACTGGGCGAGTTGGCCCCGCGTCCGGTAGATTTACGAGCGGCGGGCACCTTACGCTTGATGTTCTCAAGGGCGTCGCGTCGATCAGCATGGAAGTCAGGATGGCGGAAAGTCCAGCTCTACAAGGCGCGAGAATCCGGGTGAATTCCATTCTGAGAAGCACGGGAAGGCTGCGGAGGTACTCACGTGTTCGCCGAACTGGTTATCGTCCGTGTTCTTGACCTGCAAATTTTAGGTTCATATCGCGTCGTGCACAGGAGGCGCGAGGAGACGTACTTTGTGAAAGTCGTACTTGTTTAGTTGACGGACGAAAGAGGCGAAATTTGAATGCTTGAACATGCGGGGGAGGATAGACTTTGTGAACTCGTTCATGTCCTTGACGACGAAGCAGTCGCCATTAGGACCCCACGAGACGACGTCGGAGAAGCTGCTGTCCTCGAGCATCCTACGCGCGAGAATGACATTGAATGGTGGGAGGGGAAGTGGATATGGAGGGAGACAAGGACGCACTTGTATAGCTTCTTGACGAAGTCGGATGTCGAGGGCATGCTGTCTTCGGGCTCATGCTTGACATGGGAAGACTGGTGGCGTTCGACGGAAGAGTCGCGAGCCATTTCTCGTTCTGGACGATGTGGGGATGAATCGGATAGACGGCGACTGGGCGGGGGAAGATCGTCGCGAGAGGAGCGCTGGTTGGACCAGGGTAGTGTTGATGAGGAGGAGAGGGAGTGGCCGGAGAGAGGGGAGGCGGTGGAAGACAGAGAGGGGTGTGTGTACGTCGGGGGCGGGTAGCGGGAGGCGGTGGGGAGCTGGGAGATGGGCGGGAGGGTGTTATTCCTCGGAAAGGAATTGAGGTGGAGCTGTGAGGGGGGCGGTAGGGTGGAGGAGGGGAAGAGCTGCCTCTGGAGCGGCGGGTACTGGGGCGGATTATCCATCCTGGCCTGGGCTGTTATGAGGGTTGGGAGGAGGAGGAGGAGGATGAGAGCAAGCACAAGCTGATATCCCAATTCTCTGATCAAGCCCTGTCCGTCCCGGTTTCCCTCTCCCGTCCCCGATCCGGCTCCCCATATGGAATCCCATCAATTCTCCTCCTCCTTTCCCGCGCCTCCCTTTCATTTCTGCGCTCTTTCAATTTCTCTGCGCCACTTCAACTTTTCAGCATACCCCCCTGTAGCTCCAGTGCTCGCCCTAACCCACTCGCGCAGTCCGCGAATTTGTCTCGCACCCTGGTTAATGCAGAAGAGACCTCCGAGGGTCTAGACCGTCGCATGGTGTACCAGGGACAGGCCTGGGCCTTCCCCGCCCGCGGTCGAGACCCTGCACCCTCGCAGTCAAGCAATCAGGCACCGCACACAACTCCTCCAGATCTCCCCACACGTATACCAGATTCGCTCTCATTCCCGTCTGCAAACCCACCAGCCCAAGCCTGCCGCCTCCTCCGTCCCTCCGTCCGCCAGCCGGCCACATGCACACACGTTGCATGCTCCGACCGTTATCGATCCCCGAAATCTTCCGATCCTAGGACAGCCCCTGTCTGCGGCCACCGCGTCCTCGACGCTGCGAGCAACGAGCATCCCGTCGTGCATAACGAGCAGTTCGGTAGTGGACGGTGGCTTTGCCCATCAATGCCACCACGGACGCCAGAAGATGGCGGACGGGTGCGGCGGAGACGGGGCCAGGCTCCAGACCGTGGACCCAGATCGGGCTCAGGCCAGGCCCCCACCTGCTGGCGCCCGTTGCCCAACTGCGATTTGTATTCTCAGGCGCCTACATAGTACTACGTGCATCCAAGCCACAGCGCTCTTCAACTCCTACTCTCATCAAAACCGGTCGCAGTGCCTAGAATGGCCCGCGCGAGTGCGAAGCCTAGAAACGTGATAGATACTGCAGGGCCTCTTCTGTTCCGAAGTAATTTGTAGTACCAGTCGGCTATGTGTTTCCGAACTAGCATTCACAACCATGAGATAGAACGCATCGGAACCGCATAGAGTCGCGCCATTTCGACGGCCTGCGAAACCTTTCCAGACTGGCACTTTCTTCGACAGATCTCGCCGCCACAATTCACCCCCGCCGGACAGTTTCGTGAATCTTGCGACTCGGCAACACCGCCTCCTCTCGACGGCTTCAACGTTCCAACCCGGGGCGTCCCTACGCGGGCCTTGCATCCTTCTCTTTCGTGTTTTCGGCTTCGTCATTGCATGACCCGTTCGTATCACATCCAGAACGTCGCAGAAACGATTGGAACCGGTGTCAAGTGGTTACGAGGCAGACTCATGGCAATAGTATTACGGCAGCCACAGCTTCCTCAGCCGCGCACATGTGGGATGCCAGCACTAACGACATTCGAAGTATCAATGGACATCTGGTACACACGGACCACATCGTCCACCTAGATTACTATGCGCCATGTTCCGACGTCCAGGTGGTTCAAGCCACTCCAAAGTCTTACAACAGAACGTTGACCATCTGCCCGATAGAACAGCTGTGGCACAGAATTAACCTCCATCGTCGGATAGACGCCCGATGGAGCAGATACCCCGCCTCATCTACTACCGCATCTACTAGCTACAGGTGGCATGACCACCTACCACTCATACGGACGCTCCACCCAGTCGACTTCCGTACCCGCGATCTTCATCGACGGCGCGCATGTCTCCGCACGCACACGAACGTCCGTCCGGTGTTCCCTCAAGAACGCCTCCCCAAGCAGCGTCGGCTGCTGGCACTGCCAGCCATCGCCAACGCCTTCTTGCAAGTGGGCCGCCAACCTGTTCCAGATCTCCAGCTGCTCCAGCCCCGAGCAGCCTCTGAGGCACTGGGCGACGCCATCGACCAACGCCTTGCGCGCCGCCTCTTCCTCCTCGGCCGAGCCTGCCTGCGTTACATCGACGAGACGGAACACCCTCAGGGCAGGCATACACCCCTCCCCAAGGAGGTGCAGCGGCTTCTGGCCTCTGCACACCCTATAGCGGACCTCGACAAGCCGCTCGAATGGGATCAGCGACCGCATGAGCTGCTCCAGCGACTCGGCCTCCTGCGCAGTCCCGCGGTAGGTCGGGAAGTCGAGCAGCAACCCAGGGCCAGCCCCGCCCTCGGACGGCGAGCCGGACGCCCGGATCACCACGCCCCCAGTCCCAGCATTCCCGGTGCGGCCGCCAGCGTCGGCGTGCGCATGCGGGGCGAAGTCGACGGACAGCCTGTCGAGCCCCTTCGTGAACGCGAGCTCGGGGAACGGCTGGAGGTGCGAGAGCGCGTGGAACGCCTTGCTCCCCATCACGCGCAGCGTCGCCGTCGGCGGCAGCACGACGTACTGCAGCACGCGCCGCATCGAGAGCAGCGCGCCGCCGATCCCGAGCGTGAGTCGGTTGAGCCGCGGGAGCGCGACGCGGTGGTCGTGCGGGACCGCGGACGAGCTCGCGATGTAGACGTCGACGAGGACGAGCGTCTCGAGCGCGGAGCAGCGGCCTAGGAAGCCGAGGAGGGCGACGAGCGGGATCGAGGTGCCCTCGGTGATGAAGAGGTGCGTGAGCTGCTCGTATGGCGCCGCGGGGATCCAGCACATATTGCGGAGCATGAGCCTGCGGAGACGAGGGAGGCCTTGGGAAAAGAGCTCGCAGGGGGAATGGAGGTCGATCAAGGGACGTCGGTCGTCGTAGGGCGAGCATTTGGTAGTGAGCGAGAGACACTCGACATTGGGGGCGTTGAAGACGAACTCGGGGTTACCTGAGGGGATGGTCGAGCGGTCGTTTTGTGAGATGGTCAAGAAGAGATTACGTATGTTCTTGCTCTGCGGGATGAGATCCACGCCTACGAGTCGGTTGGCGGCGTACGTAATGTGGGCCTGCAGCGGCGCAGTATTCGCTCGGGCGAGAAATGCGGACGTCGCCTCGCTCGAACCCTCGTCAATCAGGTTCCAGAGGCAGCCTAGGTCCAGAGCGACCGCTCTCCATCGGCGACAGACGTGTGTTAAAGTGATCCTACTCTTGACTTCGTTCCATACTTGCACCCGGGTGCCCTTGGCGTCGAACTGGAGGTATGCATCCGGCGGAGGGAGGTTGTACTGGAAGATCAACGCGAGGAGCTCTGGAGGCAGGGCGTTTATCGACGCGTGGTTGTTCATCCTGTTTCTCACGAATGCCAAGACCATGGTGACCGTCGCATCTAACTCTTTGAGCTAAGCGCGGAGACATGAGTTTCGACCCCCAAGACATACGGGAGGATTGTTAAAACTTACTTTGTCGAGCCTACGTGGGCATAAAGCATCGTCAGCACTCAAGTCGACATGGAATAGATGCATCGGGAGCGCTCACCCTAACTGGTATTGTCCACGCTGGAGTCCGTCCAGGAACCGCTCCGCAACAACATTAGGGTCGTTGTTGGCTTGTAGAAATATCATCCTGGCTACACGGTCGATACTGGCCGTCGAGAAAGGGCTAGCGAGAGGGAGGATTCGGGGCGGTGCGGTCGCAGGAGGAAGCAGCGTTTCTGCCTTTGACCGACCTTTAAACCTCGATCTCAGATCACTCTCGCGGACCGGATATCACGGGACTCGTAGGCCAGACTGGACGATCCTTGGACGATCGTCGAGATCGAGAAAATTTCTTCGGAAGAATGCACTGCTTGTAGTGCAAGCTGGTGGGCCCAGTGGACACAACGAGGACGACACTCGAGGGTGGTGATAGCGCTGGGAAGTCGAGTGAAGAGACGGCAGGTCGGATGCTCCTGGCAGACCTTCGCATCTCGAATGCTCACTTATGTATTATTCACGCGACTGACCAAGCCGAACAAGAGAGTACGACATCAGTACCATCGGCGTCCGGCTGTCACTGGTAGCTAGGTGACACCTACCGCAGCCCGACAGGATAGTCCCTTCAAGGAAGAAGGCTACTGCTTTAGTTTTAGTAGATATCCCAGGCAATGGCAAGGAAAGCGGCCTTCGTTGAAAGCCTCGTCCCGTTGCTTGTTACTGAGCTATTGCAGCCGGAGAACGAGCACAGACTTAAGTAGGCTCCAGCGGATTGCCGCCATTAGCGAGACTGCCTTGTGGAGCTTGAAAGAGAAGGCTTGGCCAGAATAAAGGCCGTGCGTCTTCTCCTGATGTAAATGGCAATGCCTATGCCACGACGCAAGAAACGTACGAGGCCGGGGTTTCATCGCTGCGCGCGGGAGTTCCATAATCGGCGGCGGCGGTCCATTCTACGATCAATCGTCAGGTGTTCGCATAGCAGACGGCCAACGTAGTATTCCTACCCATTTGATGATATAGGCGATCCTTCACTCGAACCGTGAGATGAAGGTGAGTAGCTCCAGAGAACGAGAGTCCGAGAGCAACGTGCTGCGGCCGAAAAAGTTGGACCCAACTTGAAACTAACAGCCACGTGGCTGAGACGTCTCTGGTTTTGATGCTGTGACGCTTCAAGGTTATGCCAGGAGGGTCATCGACGCCATGCGCGACTTCAAGTTGTGATATTTTGTCGCCCCTGTATGGCTCTGCGGCATGCGACGCTGCAGGGCCGTGCTATGATACATCTGCGGGGATGAGGAATCCATTTTAAAGCTCAGTCAGCATCTCGCTGAACACGGGGCCCTAGTAAGGCGACGCTCGGTGAGTGTCGGCGATGACGCCGACAGGTACATTGTAGACAGACCCTGAACCCCTTCGTAGCTCAGCGCATGGACTTCCATCCGAGCATAACCCGCCGTATATGTGATTGGTGATATGATGACCGAGCAACATGTTGGCAGTACAGGTACGGCAGAACCTATGCCAGTCTGTCTACCCTCCAAACCGCAGCCAACCGTTTCGCCAAATGTCCAATGAGCATGCCCGAGCCAAGGCGGAGGACGCTGCCAGGATGTGCATCTAGGGCGACCTGTTCGTGTTTGATCGAGAAAGCCTCCGCGGCTCAGTGCGCTGTTGAAGAGGGGAACCGCATTCCACGGCGTGGAGCCGCTCCAGAGATTGGGCCTGATTTTCGCCGCACTCGATTTGCAGACATGCTTTCATCGCCCCGATAGCGAAGCTGGATGGATCCAGATTGCAGATACATGCGACGTCCGTCCTGTGGAGTAAAATGGTTTCGTCAAATGCGCTAATGTACGTACACACGACAGCAAGAAGAAGCGTACGATCCGCATCCTCCATCGGGGGCGCTGTTCTCGATGCACTGCGTCGCGCAGTCGGACAGGTCTGCTGCCTCGAACTGAGCGAGGGCACCATAGCTACTGATTGCACAAATGAGCGTGAAAGAAAGAAGGACCAGCTTCATGGTGATGTCAGTGACGTTTGGGCGTTGAAGGTCCGGTTAGTACAGCGGCCAGGCTGTAGGGAAGCCACAGAGATGGTCACCTGCCTTTATAGTCTGGCTCTCAGATATCTGTATGACCCGAACAGAAGGCGTAGCGCCATTTGTGTTGCTTCTCACCGCGCCCGAGGTGTATGTTTATGTGCGTGCAGAGCCCCTGATGGGCTGTAGCGTGCGTAGCCAGGGTGAGCGCAACGAGGCTTGACGTGTTGCTGCGGCGGGTGTGGGTGCGTGTATGTCGACGTCGCGTTTCCGGCTTAGGATTCTTATCGGCGTTGGGGTCTGATCATATAGACTGTTTTAGTCAGCCTCGTGTGGACAGTGTCCGTGTTGACGACATGCTCAATATATGGCTGAGCCTCAGAGCTGATGATGTAACGTAACTCGACATCTACACCCTTCTACGAGCTCACGCACCTGGGCATCCTCACCGCCCGAAGGAGGGGCTGGAGCTAAATGTTGTTCGTTGCATGGAGAGCACCGTGTGTGCTGTGTTACGGATGGCTCCCTACAGCGTTTGTTGAAGCGGGCTCAACCACCGACCATAAAGATGCGAAACGGCACGGGATGCCGAAATCAAGCTATATCGCGATTTGTTGAACGGAGCGGGGGAGGGCGACGGGCGACGGAGGACCCTTGAATTAGCCGAGGTACTTTCATCGAGACGAACCCATACAGGCAGAAGTATCTTCCTGTAGCTCCGAAAGGGAAGGTAGAATGAACACAAAAACTAGGAAGGGGGTATAAGTCTTTGGTATGTTCCTGATATACGTGCGAGGGCCTTGCGCATCGTCAGGCGACTGATGATGCGTACCTTTGTTAGAGACCCGGGTCCAGCAAGTGATCCTGGCAACCCTGCGGATGAAATGGAGTTATGTCGCGCTTAGCGCAGAATACACGTTGGCAGCATATTCACATACGGATAGAGTTCACGGTCCCATGTAGTGAGTGTACTGCTGGGCACGTAAGGTCTTTCTCCAAAGGAAGCGCAGGAGATCATGGCTCTACGTACGGCTGTCGCAGGCCACTCGATGGTCACTTGCAGTGAGTGGCCCATCCAAGCCCAGCCGTTCGGTGGTCCTTCCCCTTGTTCTGAAGCTTTTATCTGCCACCTGACCTCCCTAGGCAATGCAAGAAAGAATACGCGTAGTAGAAAAGATGCCGCCTTTGTGTCCCCAAAAGGGAGGCGCTCCGCCCCTTTTGTGCTCAGGCCGAAGCCGCCTCGGTAGTGCGCATTTTGTCCCGTCGGCTAGGGGGGCGACGACCGCCTCCCTCCATAATACATATAAAGGCCCACGTTGATCCCACGCCCACCAGCTCGACGGGCCTGTCCTCGCTCTGATCCCCCGACCTGCCTTCTATCCGAGGTTAATATAAGCATGGTGGATAAGTTTGACCCAAACTCACCAGTATGTCTTCTGCTCAAGAGCCACATTTCTGCGATGCTGAAGCGCTTTATTACTAGGTGGACACCGAGCCTCACGGGATCAGCTCAACAATCGTTGAACCGACGCCTCCGGGCTCGCCGAACCCGGATCAGTAACCCCTGGGCTCTTGGATCCTGGCGAGTCCTTCGGCTTCCTTGTTACCAGGTGTAGTAGCTGACAGTGAAATGTATTCCTACTAGTCCTTGTACTTGGTGTCGTGGCTAGAAAGCTGGTATTTGGGCTTGAGCTGGACATCGTTGGGCAAATGTGCAGAAATGGCTAGCGATACTCTCCTACGCAGAATAGACAATCAGAATGGAACGTGTTGAGTATTCTATCTGCTTTACTTGGCGAGAGAGCGGCATGGAGTTGGTGGTCCAGTGTGAAACAGCGTTGTCGATGACGTTGGTGGTTACCGGACCGTGCAGGGCAGAATAGACGCGCACGACATCACCATCGTGTGTTTCAGCCACAATCGTCCTTACCGTCTCCCGCCTCTTGTCCTCCCGTTCTTTGCTTCAGGTATCGCTCACTGCGGTGGTAGCAATGGAGATTCAAAGCGCGAATGTGGAACCCGACTCATTCTTCAACAGCTCTCTGCTGTTCAACACTACCTTGAAGCTCGCACAGCACTTCTTAGGATTCCCATCACGCGCTCTCGCCCGACTTCGCCGTCTGGATGACTTGGCATTCGAGATGCAAGAAGCTGCACAGCAGACCAACTCGGGATCGCAGGGATACAGGAGGCATAGGAATGGAAGTCATGGATCAGGTGTCACACCCTTGCCCGGTCCATGGGGGTTTCTGACATCGGGATACTTTGTCGGCCTTTTCGTGATGGTGAGTATTCACACGCCTTCTGTCAGAAGAGACGGGGTATGTGGAGGTGTATCGTGTGACAGTATCCCAAACCCGTCTGTCTGTCGTCGGGAGCAAACTCAGGGAGTGGGTCGCCAGTGAGCCTTGCAATGTGTACCTTGTCGTACCATTGCGCAGACGACATTGGCCGAGTCCTTTGTAGTTGATGTGAGGATGGTCCTTGCGTTCTTCGTGGGGCATGATCTTGCGGATGTACCACAAGGCCACTCGATTAGTTGGCATCCATGAAACATAAGGTATGCTCGCGGGTCGGGTATGCGACACGGTACTGGAACAAGACCACTAGAACCGTGCTAGGGGATCATCTTCTGTGCATCAACCCATTCCCATTGTTCGAATGCGAGGAGAAGTTGACTAATTGACAGTGCAGGCATTCGTTCTGAATCGCATTCAGAACATCGTGGTACCACCCCGTCGGCCACACATCTTCCGCCTTCATCCCAACCAGCCCGACTTTCGCAGTCGCGCACCTGTCTCGCTACACCGCGCATTACTCAACATGATGCTTCCGGTCGACTTTTCCTCGACCTTCTCGAGGGCAATGTTCCGCGTGCCGTCCCTCTACTTCCTCGGCAAGGCCGTCCTAATCTGGACCGTGTTGCTTCTGCGCGCAAACGACCCAAAACTGTTCACCCGAACGACTTGGTTATCGGCCGTGGGTAATTGGGTTCAGGATAAACCGATGGAAGATATTTGCTGGTCTACCTTCGTGTCGGCATGCCTCGCGTTGTGCATAGGGACCCTCACCACTGGTTTGGAGGGGCTGAACATCAATGATCATGCTCCATTCAATCTTGTAGGTGTATTTCAGACAAACTCACGCTCGGCAACGATAGCTAATTGGTGTACTAGTTCGCTTTTGCTTTCCAACTCTACGTAGAGTCGGCGGCCGCCCGTCATCCCAAGGAAGGTGAACAGAAGGCGGCACCGAATGTTCACGTCGTCATCACCATCATAATCCCTCTGTTTCAGCTCACTGTTATGCACTGTCTCGAAATTAAGCGTCGTTGGACGAATTGGCGTCTCGCTTTCTCGGCCGCAAGCGGCCTCTTCGCACTCCTTCACTTCCACTACGTCCAGTGGTTCTCGACCACCCCGTTCCCCCTGACGACATACGCGGCTCGTGTCGTCGAATCGATCATGTTCTCCATCATCACCCTCACTGTCGCCCTGAACGCCCTTACCCAGCTCCTCTCAGAGGGCACAATCACGCGACCAGTCTTCGGACACTCCGCGCTCATGCCGAAATGGGATGAGGACTTCAATGTTGCACTCTTCCGCCTCGGAACAGCAAGCATGGAGGCGACCGCTGTAGCCGGGCTCGGCAACGAGGTCGGCGGCGTCGCGAGTGCGCGCCCCGTCGACGTAGCTCTGGCGCGCAAGCGCGAACGTGAGACCGTCCGGGGCGAAATCGAAATCGATCGCACTGGCGTCTCTGGGTTGTCACCCGCATACGAGCAGCGCGGCAGGCGGCGCGTGTTCAAGAAGGGCTTCGCGAACGAGATCACCGACGTGAAGGTCAAGGCGGCAAGCACAGACTTTTGGGTCAACACAGTGCTCAATGTAGCATGGCAGAGGCACTTGGGCGCGTTCCTCCTGAGTGCATGGCGCGCTTCGAGGAGAGTGTGGGGTGCCGCTGCTGCCAAGGTTCGCGGGTCGCCCGCGTCTCGCGAGCGTTCGCCCTCTGTTCAGGTCATGGATGTCCGTCCAGGGAGACAGAGTGTGGTTGATGTAGACCCCTACGAGCGATTTGTGCGCGGCGAATCCGTCAGCGACGACGAAGACGACGAGTTTCACCCGGATGACGAAGGGACTCCTCAGCCAGACACTGAATTGGCTACCTCCAGCGATGAAGAGGAGTCTGAGGTCGAGGACGATTCGGTTGAGCAAGTACAACTCTACGCCGATCTTTCGAAATCTGACGTGGGTTCGGCACCGCTCCTCCTCGCGCATATGACCGACAAGTCTGCGTCGCCTCTGACACGCCGGGGGTACAAGCGACTTGTTTCTGGACCGTCACAAGCCAGAGCCAAGGACGACGTCGATGACTGGGACGAGTTCGTGTCCGATCGCCGGCGAGCCAAGCGCATAGCTCTGCCTCCTCCAGACGAGGATCCGGCCTCCGAGAACGCTCGCGCCTGCGTGATCTGCACCGTCGAGCCACGCGATATAATCTGTTGGCCATGTCGGTGAGTGCACGCCGTAGTCGAAGTAATCCTGTCAAACTGAGTTTTCCACTCTCGTAACGTTATGACAGGTGTCTTGCCCTCTGCGACGATTGCCGGAATAATCTGGCCTCGCGCTCGTCTGCGTCGAAGCACACTTGCCCATGTTGTCGCAGAATGTATGCGAATTCCCCCTATCGATAATGCACGGAGCTGACGGCATATTCTCGTAGCGTGGAGGGCTATTCGAAGATCTACATCCCGTGAAGCGTGAATTCACACTCGGCCACTCACATCTCCTTGATACTGTGTATTGTAACTTACCACACGGATGGATGTAATCCATGGACTTGACAAGACTTGTGACTTTCGCCATCTAGGTTCCAGCTGTCCCGCCTACTGGAGCTATCCTATTGGCGCTGTCGGGGCCTCGGGATCTAGTCCGCTCCGATCCTGACGCTGGTGGCATGCCGTATGCCACAGCGGCAGGGCAGTCCTCTCCGACGGCATATCGTCAACCCTGCCAAACGGTCAGAAGAGGCACTGTTTGCGAAGCTACGAATAGTCTCGACTCTACCCGGACAGGCATTAATACTGCTTCCTCGCCGCCGCACCAAGACCGTTTTCGCAGCCGATAACGGATCCGCATGCTTATAGGTCGACGTTTATCCCACGCTCGCTGAGGTGGCCGGTCCACAGCGGCTATCTGACAGATCACATTCTGCGTGATATCTGTGCAGTACTAGTACAGCTAATCTCGCCATTCGGGATGGATTGTGAAGCTGGCCAACAGTGCAGCCTATGTACACTGATGTGTACAGCGCGCACATGTACAATTACTTACTCGCTGAGCGGGAGCCACGCGGGGCAGCTTCTACCACGCTATCGACCTTAAGTCGCGCAGCTGACGAGTTCTGACTTCCAGATATAGTAAGGTTCGGTCTAGGTACACCGTCGGGCGTTCATCGGACCCTAGAACGCCTCTGCTCGACCGCCCTCGCACAAGATGATCCAAGTACCCCGCTACTGGGCCAGAGCAGCCGGACAGAGCCTGCTCGGAGTCCGGATGGCGGATACGCGGATCTTTCTAGGCTTTCACCAAGCATTGACGCTTTGAGGTCAAGTCATATATATATATATATATATACCGTGCAGTCTGCGCCCATCGATCCTCACTCCCATCGAGGCAGTCAACCAGAGCTTCTCAAACACCTTTACGCACTTTTCACGACCACAAACGACCCTGACGACACCAACCATGTTCGCCAAAGTCTCTTACTCCTCCATCGTCTTCGCCTTCGTTACGTTCTTCGCGTGCTACCTGCAGCTCGTCTCGGGCGCAGCTCTCCCCGCAGCCGAGCTCCAGAAGCGCGATGTATTCACGCCCCCCGTGCTCTACCCCCACAACGGTACTGTGTGGACTATCGGACAGCGTCACAACGTTACCTGGTGCGTTGCTGCATGGCTTCCCTGAATGCCCTGATATTGTTCAGGATTGACCGTGCCATATATTCTGTGCAGGGACGTCTCGAACCCGCCGAAGCAGATCACCAACAAGCAGGGCCTGATTCTCCTGCGCAAGAGCGGTGAAACCACCCCAGGTGAGTTTTCCCGCACCATTTCAGACATTGCCCGTGCATGTGTCGCTCGTACGGAAATGAGTGCTTCTTCACGAGGCGCTGCCGATCGAGCGACAGGTGTACATAATGGGGCATCTGTGTGGTATCTTCTCATCACCAAGGAACTTCATGCAGTTGTCCTCGAGAACGGCTTCGATATCCTCCTCGGCCGTATTGAGATTACCGTGCCGTGGGTTGTGGATGGCGACGACTATAGTCTTGTCTGTGCGTATCTCTTCTCCCCCACTCCTACCACACGACCTACCAAAGTATGTTGATCGATCACCTTTGACAGTATTCGGAGACTCTGGCAACTTCAGCCCTGAATTCACGATCCAGGGCAGCGGCGTCCAATTTTGAGCTCGCGATGAGCATTCATCTGTCATCTCCGGGAACACAGACAATCGAATAATGCGGACTGATTACGGACTCTTGCACGAACTTTGACGATCCAGACGGACTTGCGTAGGACTTCAATTCTATACAAACGCTTTCTGTATACTACCCACGGACTTGATCAATTCGGACTACTGCTTGTTGTAGTTTTTTGTATCATCCAGGGCCTCTTGTCGTTTGCAAGCAATGTCAATTTCCGAAATCATCAATTGTCCTAGAGCTCAGTCGTTGCTATCTGCAGTTGTCCCATTGAATTCGTCTTTCGGCGCCAAAGCTTCGGACAATCATTAGCGCCTCCTCCAGGTCTGACCCATCTCCAGTATGTCGTCGAAAGCTCTCGTATTGTGTGTGCTCATATGCCTGCCGCTTCATACTGCACCTTCCATACACGCCGACTTGTGGACAGCATACGCCGTTACCTCATATCGCTTCCGGTGCTCGCCGCTACAGCCGGATCCAGCTTCTAACTGGAAGCCCACCTGTTCTTCCAGGACACCTCAACTCTCACTCGAGCCAGGACCCAAGCCGCCATATTCTCTCCCGGCGAGGTCGTGGCTTACGCGCGCGTCCCGTATGAGACTGGCCTACCCGTTCGCCCTACGTTTGTCTCATACAGGACTGGCGTGTGCTGAAATCCGGGACAACCGATGCACATCGACTGCCAGCCAGGTATGTTTCTTGAATTTGGTTCTATATTTTTCAACTCTGTATGTACCGGAATGTGACAGGGGCTTTCTATGTTATCTGGATTATCTGGTCTGGAGCGGCTTTCGGACACCTTCGGAAGTTATGTCGGTCTGGTATGCGAGCACAATGCCCTGTATCCCAACGGGGATCGGTACACAGATCGCATTATCACAGGGGATATGCAATACGCATGTGCGACGTGGCTCATGATCTTGCCACTGAATTGACGTCAAGCAACATTCCATACTAACACAAACTGGTTGAGTCGTCGTTACACTCAGTCTAGGGCGTAATTCAAACAGCATTGCAGATTGGCCTGCCGTTGAATGACTTTCGGCTGTAGGCCACGCTGCGATGTTCATCAAAGGTATGAACATTTGCACGAACATCATGTATGGTTGCTGGAGTCAACTCCTGATGTCGGGCGTTGGGGTCCGGAGAAGCATATTTGTTGTCGATGTTCTCGCTGAACTGAGCGGACTCGTGCAAGGCCCCAAACTCAATTAGTGTAATGCGTCAAGATTGGAATCTTGATGTAGTCTAAGTCGCAAGAATCAATATCCAGGGAAGGTAGACGCATAGAGTGAAGACATCCGACGACACCGTCGGAACCCATCACTCTGTACCTCTACATTCCCCGGATATTGACTCTTGCCTTCGGGTGTCTGGCTCTACCCGCAGCGACGTCCCTCTATGCCCGGGGATTTTGCAAAAATTTTCTAAGTCCACCATTTCCAGTGAGGCCCTTGGGGGGCCCAAAAAGTATAAAGGAGGGGGATCTCTCGGGCTACCACTCCCCATCCATTGCAACTGTCCCTGGTGGACACCATCGCTTTCCGCATACAACCCCCACATCCCTATTCTCCTTTATCAACCCTGCCTACTCCCTGCCCCACCATGTCCACCCGTGCCATGCCTAACTTCAACGGCTGCGTCATCGCCCGCCGCTACGAGCTTGTCCAGCAGCTCGGACGCGGTGGGTTTGGAGTCGTCTACCAGGCGATCGACCACGGTGTCGCCATCGACTCCGATGAGCAGTACGTCGCTGTGAAAATCATGCAGAAGGCTGGTCGCAACGAGGCCGACCTCGCCGCCCTCAAGCAGGAGGTCATCCTCCACGGCATCGCTACCACATGTTCGGATGGCGTCGTTCAGTTGATTGACGCCTTCGAAGACGACGCGTACTGCTACATTATCCTCGAACTCTGTCGAGGGGGCGACCTCTATGACCATATCACGAAGAATACCTACCAGGGTAACGACGAGCTTCTCCGGAGGGCATTCATCTCGCTCGTGGACGCCGTGCAGGCGATTCATGACGCGAAGATCGCCCACCGAGATCTCAAGCCGGCGAACGTCCTGTCCAATGAAGACGGCTCCGAGCTGTATCTGGCAGACTTCGGTATGGCCACGACCGAACCCGTGATTAGCGAGTTCGGTCATGGCACATCCCACTTCATGAGTCTTGGTGCGTCTCTCCTTCCGTTGGTCTTCGCCAAGTACGACGCTAACAACTCCGTCACAGAGTGTATCGGAGAATTGACTGCTCAGCAGCCATATGATCCATACCTCAGCGACATCTGGGCTATGGGTGTCATCCTCTTTGCCATGATCACGAGGACCAACCCGTGGTCGAAGGCGACAATCAAGGATGATGACTTCTGTGAGTTCCTCATGGACCCGGACTACCTGTTCTTCGCGCACCCCATTTCTTCGGGGGCGCACGCCATCATCCGTGAGATGCTCCAACCCGACCCTACACAGCGGATTAGCCTCCGCAACCTCCGCCAAGCGATTCTGTCGCTTGACACGTTCTTCCGTCCGATGTGCCAGTTCGAGTACGTTGTTCACGAGCATGAGCGCATAACCATTCCTCCTCCCGCTATTAATCCCATGCTCGCGACTCCCAAGTCCGAGTTCAAGTCGACTAACAAGGCACCCGAGATTGATATTCTGGACGCTGCGTCGGGGCCTGCTGCCCGGGTGGCCCAGAATTGCTCAGCCGGCTCTGCCGTCGACATTTCCTCTACTACCACTTCCCAGTTGGGTTGTCACGATCCTGATTGCAGCTCATGCTCGAGTTCGCGTGCTTCGTCTGGGGCTTCGGATGCGGAGAACGTGGGCACTCCGGAGGGTATTATCCCTACCATGGCTATAAACACGGGGGCAGTGATGATGGCGGGAACGCACCACAAGGTAGTCCGAGGCGACCATGGCTTGCAGAACGTTCCCTTCGTGCCAGCCCAGGTGGCAATGGCTCAGTACGGCGTCCCCCAGGCGCAGTACTTCCCTATCTTCGTCCCCGCTTACCCGGTCTACTACGTCAACCCCAACGCCTACCCTTACCATTAACGCCACCTCCTTCCCCCCTCCCTATCCCATGGTTCCGGTCCCTTTCCCTAGCGTTTGGATGGACACTTTGTGCCTCCTTGTATCAAAAGCTATATAAGCGATGCAGGCACCTCTTATATGGCACACCAGAGTAGACTTTTCTTTGTTTCGGACATGGACACTTTCGAGTGCCTTGTATCACCACAGCACCTATATACTGTAGAATGTTCAATATCGACGATACAAACGCCATCACAACTTTCTGCATGAAGCGCGTTTGACATATAGACCGCGAGGAGAAATCCTCAAGCGGTTGGACGATTAGCGATTCGACTACTGAGCTGTACGAGTCAAACAAGGGTTGTTGCATGTTCGATTGACCGCATCCCTGCATGCTCCAGCAGACGTCAGCTACACAATCACGCCGGTAGTAAAAAATGTTCCTGCGTAAGCTCGAGCTATGTACTATAAACGCGGATGAGGAAGGCGTAAGCGCTCCAAAAGCCAAGTCAGGAAAAGCCGGGCCGGTGGAGTATTGGATGAGGACGAGCTCGCCATCGTCCCGCCAGGGCCAGGACGGGCAAGAAAATGACTCTGTCTGCTACCACCACTTCCATCGCCGCGTGCGGCGACACCCTTCCCGAAATACAGCGACAGCGGCCAGGCCGTAGTCGCTGCCAGCTTGACTACCAGTGGGCGATCAGATAGTACGGGGTTCCTCGGGGAGGATATAGTTTAAGTTACATCTTACGCAAGGCTAGCGGCCCAACTCGCGCGAACGCACAGCTCGCGCAGCAGTGTGCTCGAGCTTGTAGGCAACCATGAGCGGTACGTCGTCTTCGGTATAGCTATCGCCTTTGCACGGTCGATGGGCTCACGTACCCTGTTTTTTTTCGTCCTCGTCTGCCCTCCTCGATGGTCTAATCCAGCAACCGTCGTGCTTGGCGCGCAATGGGGCGATGAAGGAAAGGGCAAGCTCGTCGATATCCTTTCCGCCGATTTCGACATCTGCGCGCGATGCGCTGGGGGGAACAATGCCGGGCACACGATTGTAGTGCCCATCGGCCCAGAGAAGGTCAACAAGACGTTTGCGTTCCATCTCCTTCCAAGCGGTGCGTGCCCTCAGGTGCTATGCAGAGGACTACACATTCCAATTGACACCATCATAGGCTTGGTGAACCCCACATGCACGGGAATTATTGGCAATGGTGTCGTTGTGCACGTCCCCTCGTTCTTTGCGGAGTTGGATGCATTGCAGCAGCAAGGTGCGTGAATGCGGCTATGCTGCAAAGCAGCCTGTGCCGAGCCCTTATCATGCAATCTAGGCCTTGACTGTACCGGACGCCTGTTCATCTCCGACCGCGCCCACCTGGTCTTCGACTTCCACCAGATCGTTGATGGGTTGAAGGAGGTCGAGCTCGGCGGGTCGAGCATCGGTACGACCAAGAAGGGCATCGGTCCGGCATATTCGTCGAAGGCGTCGCGCTCCGGCCTCCGCGTCCACCACCTGTTTGACCATGACACCTTCGCGCAGAAATTCCGTAAGCTTGTGGAGAACCGCTTCAAACGGTACGGCCACTTCGAGTACGATACCGAAGGAGAGATTATACGGTACAAAGTACGTAACCGTGCTCTGTCGCGTCGTCCCATACGTCCTCACCTGGTGCGCAGCAACTGGCAGAGCGATTGCGGCCCTACGTCATTGACAGCGTCGTATACATCCACAAGGCGCTGGCGGAGAACAAGAAGGTGCTCGTCGAAGGTGCCAATGCGCTTATGCTAGACATCGACTTCGGAACGTACCCCTTCGTCACGTCGTCTTCGACAACCATTGGCGGTGTATGTACCGGATTGGGCATCCCCCCGAAGAAGATTGGCAAGACCATAGGCGTGATAAAGGCGTACACCACGCGTGTTGGTGGCGGCCCTTTTCCCACCGAGCAGCTGAACGTGAGTCGAAGAGGTTGTGCCGACTGCACGGAGCCCTCGTCTGACCCGACCGCAGGACATTGGCACGCACTTGCAGGAGGTCGGCCGGGAGTACGGGACGACCACCGGTCGGCGGCGACGCTGCGGGTGGCTTGATCTGGTGGTGATGAAACACTCCTGCCTGATCAACGGCTACGACTCCTTGAACCTGACCAAGCTCGATGTGCTCGACGATCTCGAGGAGATCAAAGTGGCTGTCAAGTACGTCATCAACGACAAGGAGCTCGCAGGCTTTCCCGGTTAGCACCTTCACCGCGGTTATCCAGAGTACATACGGCTAACGCCATGCTTACAGCCGACCTCGAGGAGCTCGCCAAGGTTGAGGTGGTGTATGTCACTTTGCCTGGGTGGAAGCAGTCAATCGCAGAGGCAAGGACGATAGAAGACCTCGCTGAGAACTGCCAGAAGTACATCGGGTTCATCGAACAGTTCCTGGGTGTACCCATAGAATGGATTGGTGTTGGTCCGGGGCGAGCGAGCATGGTGAAGAAAGAAGGGTTTCTGGTACAATAAAGCACACGATGTACTGTAGAAGTAGTACTGTTGTCAAACGAACGGATTCGAGGGCACGAACGTGAGTGGGAGGTGCCGGATGGGGCAAGATTCCCACGCCACTGGGGGTATAAGAGGGCGTGTGACAGCGCGGGGCTCCTGCTGGTCACCTCGTCGTCACAACTGTTACCACCGCCCACCCCCGCGTCCGCTGCGAGTACGGTCGCCCGAAGTACTGGGATTGCGAGCCTGTTACTGTCACTGGCACAACACAATAAACACCTTTGATACCCATGGATCCAAACGGACAGCACGTCCCCTCGACCCCTTCCTCATCGCGCAAACGGTCGCGCGAGAACGAGACCCCTAGCCAGAGACACAAACGGGAGAAGGCCGCAGAACGGCAACGCCGCAAACGCGAGCGCGACCGTCAAGCAGGCCTCCAGAACATCCTCGCGCTCTCCCAGGCCCAGCAAGTGCCTCCACCTCCCCTCGAAGTCCAGCCCCCACCCACCCAACCACCCCCGCCGCAGAACGTGCAAGAATACAAGGGCCCCGAGGAGCTTTCGCCCGAGGAGATCGCGAAGCGGGACAGGATTAGGGCTGCCGCGCGAGAACGGCAGCGGAAGCATCGTGCTCTCGTCAAAGCCCGCAAGCTGCGCGAGCTTGGACTCGACATGGGGAACGAGATCATGCCCGGCGTGGACGAGGTGGCGTACAGGATCAACGCACAAGGCGAGTACCAGATCCTCCCGCACGAGATGGCCCCGCATCCCCATCAGCAACCACACCCGATGCACGAGCCACCGTTCCCTCAGGGCCAGCCGCTTGGCGGGCAGACCTTCGCAAGCACGCTGCTACTTTCGTTCTCTTGCGCGCCGCTCCTGAAGCAGCACCTGCTGAGGACGCTGTCGATGACGAACGAGGAGCTGGCGTCGCTCGAACCGATCATTGCGCAAGCCTGGGATCACTGGGATCAGCAGGTATGTACCCCTCGAAAACGTGCTCCCTTCAAGAACTCGAAACATACACCCTGCAACCACCCCCCATTGCGTACCTGCACAGTGTTCCGGCTTCCCTCCGTCTCCTCACTTCTTACTCCGCCACCTCTCAAACAACTCCTTTCTCCGCTACCTCTCATATATTCTTCCCCATCGTACCTCGTGCTGATCATGCCTGGTTAGCGACGAATGCACTACGCGCAAGCGCACGCCCAGAAAGCCCCAGACGGATCCGCCCTCGCCGACCCCAACACTGCCTACGCCCAAATGGGCGAACACGTCCCCGGCCACCCTTACGTCCATGACCCTGCGCAAGCAAACGACTTCCGCGCCCGCTTTCACCGCCCCCTCGTCGCGCCCTCACCCTTCCGCTCCGCGATCGTCGCGGGCGCATCTGGCCCCGGTCCCGGGCAAGACGACTCTGGGGCGCCCTCACAGCAACAGCAGCAGTCTGTGTCAGCTCCCCCCGGGGTGCCCTCGGGCGCGCATCCACCCCAACAGCCGCCCCCTCCTGGAACGGCCCCAAATGGGATTGATGGCGCGCTCGCCGGAGCGGGTGAGCAGCGCCCAATCTCGAATCCTCCTCCGGCGATTGACCCCCAGTTGGGACAGGCTAGGGACGAGGCGGCCGGCGTGGCGGGGAAGCTCGAACGGTCGTGAACGGGCGGGCCAGTCGAGCGTGGTCGTTTGCAGCCGTTTGCAGTCTTATGCCGGCGCATGCTGGCTATCGACGGGTACGTGGGCTTGGGTATCCGGGGTTTGTCTGTGGTATTTCTACAGACCTTGCTTCTCCTCGACTTTCCGCACTCCGCCTCCCCTCCCCTCGTACCGGTGACTGGATCGTGAACGTATGCCGTTCAGGCTTCGGACTACCTCCTCTCTGTACGTATGATTTGTATTTTTTTTTCTTAGCGAGGACTATGTGTACCGCTTACGACTCACAAAGCAATTGTGTATTGTAGTAGGGCGCCCTAATTAGGGCGTCCGAACCTCCATTAATCCTGCACTGTTCCATAGTCTGCCTTGTGAATGAATGTTCTGTTCACAAGTGATATCTTGAGTGCAATCTGAGTTGTTTGTCCGGGCTGTCTGGGCGCCTCAAACCTAGACATCCGACAAGCACGCCCTCCGCGAACATACCGGAATGTATGCGAGCGCCATAATCATTAAGTACGACGAAGTTCCATCCAAAGCACGGCAAGGTACATGATGTGGAGCTTCAATACGTGTAGATACAGGCGGGTGCGTCCGCACACGTACCCAGACAATTTCGGCGGATTAGAATTGTCTGCTCAGTATAAAGCCTCAGGCATCGCTTTTACCTCCTCATCCAAGCTCCCTATGTCATGGCTATCGTCCAAATCGCCTTCCTGTCAGTAGTCGTTTGACAAGGCGGGCGTCAAGTGATTCGACGGCTCGCTTCAATCCATTGGAGCCGCCATGTGTGAAGAGTGCACGCCGATCGCCCGAAAAACGGTATGCAGAGTGTATGAGACAGCGGGAGACGAGAACGACCATCAACCTAAATACGTCAAAAGTGTGCCTTTGGCGGGATCATGAAGCTACTGAACTCACTAGTACTGCGAAGGAAGGTTTTCTCCTGGCATAGAGTCAGCATCCCGATTGCGATGACAAGCTGCTCAGCATGTCTTCACGGACCGCAAAGTAGAAGGCATGTGCAGGCGTGAGTAACGGTTGAAAATCGAGAAGACCGCAGCGTACAGCTGCAACGAATGACCAGCCTCAGTCAGACAAGCACTACAGGAATACGGTTAACGAACCACAATGTTGCGAGGTATGGAGGCAGGCTTTCCTCAACGATGCACGCGAAGGAAAATGCGACATTGTCCTCGAGATCACATGGAAGTTGAGCCTGTGATGAATTGAGTTGGTTAGTATTGGGTGTCCGAGAGAAGGTAGTGCGAAGTTACCTCAGACGACGTGGTTGTGGCTTTGAATCCTGACTCATCGAGACATATATATATGATATCGTAGCCAGACTAGTTGTTAAAGAAGGGTTTATATTATACCATTCCGGAGATCAGTGTCAATGCTCGGCTGCAACACAACTAGTACATGCATATGTACATTCGCTTCGCCACTCACGTTGCTCCAAACTCGCGGTGGGCTCGCTCTCCGTGCCACAAGAACTTGGATGCTCTCCTCCTGGTGACCATCAGCTTCGACGGTAGGACGATGATGATCGAGGGTAAGACGTCGTTCTGGACGTGGAATGAGGTCGTCGGTCTGGCCGCTGCCAGGATAGTAGCGGGTAATGAGACCGTCAGCTGTAGCCTGCCACAGACACTGGCAGTGCGTTATTCAGAACGAGATCGACGAACGTACTGAACTACCGAAATGGTAGCTGTATCGCTGAATGTGAACAAAGTTCATGGCCTCGGAAGTACCCGCTTACTGCTAAATAAACCGCTCGCTTCTCATCTTCCTTCCACCGACTGCAAGCACCATTCACCATGTCCCGGGCGCGACAAGGACCAGGCGCAGCCACGTTCGGCGACTCCTACGTGATTCCCAGTGCAGTGCTCGAGGACATAGACGGCTCCTCGACGTGGTTGGCCGCCAGCAACCACTTGAGCGACACCCTGAAGTTACCTGGTCAGTATATGCCTCGTGTACACCGGCCATCTCGAACTGATCACGCACCATCCGTTCCGTAGACTTGACTACTAGACATGGCCTGAAGAAGGTGCATGCTCGTTTCAACGAGATCTACAAGAAGCTCAACGCCACCTATACGTCCGCCCAGAGGCAAGGCAACGAGAAGGTCATGGGTGGCATGGTGGGCATCATGGCCAAGATGTGCGCCGATGCCCTCCTGAGGGATAAGCTGTTTGAGAAAGGTGGGTCGGACAGTGGCTGTGCGCTAGGGGCATCGCGGATAACGTCTCGGTGCCAGGTCTTCTAGAGAAGGTGATGCCACTCCTCGAATTCGACTCGACGCTTCATCTCGCGCTGAATGCGCTCGCGATGGTCACCCACCATGGAGGACTCGAAGCACGCCAGGCGATCGCGCGGCGCAACAGGACGCTCGTGGAAGTCTTCCGAGACCACCCAGACGATCTGAAGCTTGCAGAGCTCGCCATCATCACTCTCGCCCACGCTACAGAAGCGTTCATCGCTTGCGAAGACAAGCCTCGCCTCGCGGACCTGAAAGATATCGTCATCCACTCCGTATTGCAAACCACCGTCGACGTCTTCCGCAAACGAGTGGACTCGCATGAGCTGCTGACGCACGGGCTCGGCCTCCTCGCGTCCGCGACCCAGCACTGCTCGAAGGACTGCAAGGCCATCCCCGGCCTGACGAACCTCATCGCAGCCTTCTTGCGATGCAACAACCTCAACACCCGCGCGACCGCCCTCGGGGGAATCCTCCGTCTCCCCATCTCCGAATGCGAGCCGGACGAGCTATACTTTGACCCCAACAGCATAATGCGCGCCGTCATGGAGGGTCCCCCAGACCACCTCCTCGACATCCTTTACGACTACGGCCTCAATCGGACCGAGGCGCACGTCTACACCGCCGTCAGCATGGAATACCAGAAGGCCATGATGCAGTGCGTGCAGGACCACGACCTGCACGCGCTCGGCAAGCGGCTCTTCGCCATCATCCTGCAGACCGAATTCTCCATCGCAGAGGGCGGCTTCCAGGCTGACAACGGCGAGGTGGTGACGGGCATCCCGGGGCTGCCCTTCGCGTACTGGACGGACGCGCTCCCCGCGGCCGCCAAAGCGCTTCGCGAGCGCGCGAACGGCAGCGCGGCCGACCTCGACGAGGCGGACGTCGTCGAGATGAAGTTCTACATCGTCCGCCAGCGGCTCCCCCAGGCGCTCGCGCTCGCACACCGCGCGGTGCAGCGCAACCCGTGCCTCGCCTATGCGCACTATGTCCTCAGCATGAGCGCGGACGCGGAGCAGGGCCTGCGCGCGGTGAAGAAGGGGCTCCGGTGCCCGGACGTGACCCCGTTCCTGCGCTGCCAGATACTCTGGCGCGCGACGGGCCACGCGGGGCAGCAGGGGCTCCGGATCTTGAAGGAGGCGGGGGACGGCGACGTGCAGGCGCGCGCGGAGGGTGCGGCGTTCTTGATGTCCGCCTGGGAGGACGCGAAGACGTTTATCTCCGACGCGCCCCCCGACGCGCGGCACATGCTGGAGATGCTGGGGTGGTATGTGCTTCTGACGGTGGTTATCCGGGGGCCGGAGCTGAGCGAGGAGCTGAAGGAGCTCGATGTGAGTGAGGGTTTGCACATTCTGATTATTCTGAGCCGTGCCTCCGGACTCACCATGCGTGCTTCTAGCCCGCGCGCAGGAAGATCAAGGCCGCCATCGACTTCATGAAGTGGATGGGATATCCGATCAAGAGGAAGCAGATGAACATGGCCCGCGAGCTCGTCTTTGAGCTCTACACACCCGGAGCGCGGGAATGGGGCGCCGTCGTAGAGCGCTTTAACGACCTTGATGTGTCTGTCGAGGGCGACACGCCATTGTCGCCTGCGGACGCGGAAGACGAGCTGGCGGCATGGCTCGACAACGTAGACCTAGAGGATGGCGACGTTGCTAGACATGGACACGGGCGTGGGCGGCGGCGAGCGAACGCTCCGTCGAGCACCGGAAGTGGGACGAGCGGGTACGAGCTCTACCGCTGTTCGTGGTGCGGGAACCCGAGCGCCGTGCTCAGGAGATGCGGAGGGTGCGCCAAGACGAGGTACGTGGTAATCGGGATATTGTGTGGCAGGTGCGCATCCTAAAACGCACTCTTGGGATTCTTCTATCCAGGTACTGCGACTCGGGATGTCAGAAGTCGCACTGGGCGGAGCACAAAGTGGACTGCAGTGGAAAGAAGAAGTGAAATGTTGCCTGAGTACCCTTGTACGAGGTGATACCGCGCCTGTCGTTCCAGTGCTTGTAAGGGGCGTCAGCCGGCTTCCCAGCATACTTGTGTAAGACTAGCTGAACTCCCCTGCAGGGTCTGAGTGTCAGAAGCAACGCCGTGCTGTAGAAGTACTGGTATAGATACTTACGTCGTGAACCCCTGAGGCTAGTCAGACAAGTACTAGAGTAGGCCGCACTAGGACAGCGTGCGCAGACGCTGTAGTGGGAAGCTCGGATGTATCCGGAGGCCGCACCGGGGATGAAACCGGGACTGGTTTGTCGGCCAGGTGGGTCGTGTCGCGTCGAGTAACGTGTGACTGATGGCGTCTGACCACTCTTCGGCCTCCGGCCCGAGCGGCGAGTACATCGGCCGGTCTTCGCCTCGCTCAGCGTTCTCCGCACCGCAGCTGCCGACCTTCCGCAGCTCTGAGAGCGTGCTGCTCGATGGAGGTTGTCCTGCGAAGTGCTCTCTTTGATTCTTTGACAAATCCCGGTTTGTTCTGTTGATGGTACACGGGTGTCTCAGATACCCAAGAGACCTCCTGACGCAAGAGGATCAATTAGTGGCCGGCTTACCACACAGTATCCGACCGGCCAAAGGTCGATGTTGTTGCTGATACAGGCCGCTTCAAGAAAGTGAAATTGACATGGTCTGCGTCGGAGTGTAGGTCATCTGCTCTGTATGTCAGTAATATATCCCGAGGCGCTCTTCCCGGACTCACATCCATGAGTAAAGTGAGTCGAGCCGCTCTTCCGATCGCGCTCGCTGACCGTCGTTGTTGATAGCAGTCGGAGGTGTGTACACGAACGACACGCTCCGATTGCATACGAATCCCGCGCGGGAAGAGAGGCCGATCGTAAACTAACCCTGCAGACGAAGCTTCCCGATACGGAGAGTATGTCGTCTCCACTCGACGGTGACGAAGTCGCGACTTCTCGAACGTCATGCGCGCGCGTCCGTATACCGGGCCTTTGGTAGGTGGCATGTGGAGCGAACGCGTCCTCCCAGACCGGGAAATACGCTGACGGATGCGGGACATATTCACTGTACATCGCGGTCGCATGGAAGGCAGCTCAAGGCGGCCGCGTCAGGTTCGCCGATTGCGTCGCTCGAGCGCGCGTCCGCCGCTGCAGACTCCTCGGCCCGCGTCCTGCAAGCTATCATCACCAGTCGACACTTCCTGTCCCCTGCCCGAGGATGGAAGCAGATCGCAGGACTGCAGCTGCCTGTATCGCGATCTTGGGCGCGATCCTCGCTGGGGTTCCAGCCGATGCGTACGCAGCACCCTGTCGATTCAGAGCTGCCGCGACAAGGAAGACACCCGCCGTGCGTCGCATTGATGTGCGGTGCGCCGCGCCCGTCGCACTCCCCGCGTTCCATGTGCGGCCTGCCATCTTCAGCCCATCTTTTTTCTTTTCTCGCTTATGGCGGGCGGCGCAACGAGAATGCCCCGTGGTGCACAGGACGCAAGAGAACTGTCTCAGCTATTGCAATTAGTACGTGAATCTCCTCTGCTTGTCACGACGATCTGCTCGAAGGCGTTCACCAGGGTACTGCCACAGCAACAGTTGCGGTGCGGTGCGGCACTGGTGTCCGCGTCCTGTTCGCCATTGCCGTAAACGCCGCGCTCTACCAACCTCTCCCTGGAGTCCGCGCTCGTCGCAATCGCGTCCGTCCAATAGCCCATGTCCAGCACGGACGCGCGCCGTCCATCCGTCCGCTGCGCAGAACCGCCGGAAGTCCCAGCAGACGGGCAGGAGATTCATAAGTCCCATTCTTCGCGTCGCCTTGGACATGTCCTGTCATTACAACCCAGGGTCCTCGCACTTTCCCTGCCAAAGCAGATAAATGATAGTTCAGCTGCCACGCTCAGGGTCCGAAGCCCCGTTCGACACAGGCGCTCGTCGCCCGGGCGAGCGTCCAATCCCGAGTTCAGCAGCAGGGTCGACGGCGTATCTTGGGTGAGATCTCGCGGGCTGGCTCCCTTCTTCTCGCGGTGATTCGTGATCTTGTGATCCCTGACAGGATGCGACGTGTTGAAGACGGAAGGAACGACACAGCGCGCGCACCGCTCGCGCCTTGGCGAACGATGGGGGAGCGGCCCCGGATGGCAGCTGGGATAGTTGGGATGATTCGGGCATGGGATGCTCGGGAACAAGCACTTCCTGAGCGGCTAGGTACGGCCTGTAGGCAGAAGGCGCGGGCGTCCTCCCGTGGATCGTGGAGATGGACGTACGCGGGGTGTTTCGACGTTGAAGTGTGGTCACCTAGTGAATGTTTGAGGACGAAGTGTCCGATCGCTCGTGGCCCTGCGTGCGATCTGGCGGAACAAGAGCTTGAGAAGATGCCCTTGTGCGTCGCGAAGGTGCTTGCCCATAGCTTACGGTGTGGGTTACAAAGACATTCGAGCGTGTCACTAGACTTGTAGGTGAGTAGAGGCATCGGTGATGCGATTTAAAATGTACGAGATGCCAATGCGAACGCTGGTTCATCCACTGCGACCTTCACGGGATAGGGATCCGAACGTCAGCGCAGTTTCGGGCACGCGACGCGTCCGAGCGAGCCCAAGTGCTAAGTAAAGGCATGTCGATTGCGGGGCGCCTGTAGGGTGGTGGTCGATATCAGCTCGTCATATGCGAGCGCGCTGAAACCGACTCGGTCTGTAGCGGCCTCGCGCAGTGCGCGTCGGTGATGCGAGTGGGCCCGCGGCGATGGAAGTGGAGGACGAGCTCCATGGTATGATTCACACTCTGACCTCTTTTCCTGTAAATGCGACTGTCGGACTGCGATTGTAAAGCGATATATGCCGACGGGTCGATGACAAACGTACCAGCTCGATCCTAGCTCTCTAGGCTCCAAAAACATGATGCGCCTCTGCGGCGGCCTGATGGCGCACAGTAAGCATTAGTTTTACAGAGAGTCGTAAAAGTGAAATCCCTCCGGACCTCGATACCGCGCGAGCGGCCGGTAGCACAGGGCCTAAGCTCCAATCCGCATCGCAATGAGAGGGAGTCGGGCTTTGATGACCTGATAACCCCGCATGAGCTGGAGTCTACAAGTGATAGCGATTGCGACCCCTCTAACGCAAAGGCTAATCACAGCCAGGAACGCACCACGGTCGCGCAGCGCCCTGGACCAAAGTCGCTATGTCGCACGTTGATGGTGGGGCCGTCGACTGCCGTCAGTACGACCGTCACGGGATAGCGCACTACAGGACGGTGCAGTTAGCCCAGTTAGATTACGCACTGGACGAGAATAGCTCGCGCGGGACCCAGGCTGGCGATGCGCAGGAGGGCTGAGGTACATAGTTAGCTGGTCATGGATGATGTCACTGGTGTGCCTACTTACCTCTGCGAGGTGTTCTGAGACACGCCTGCGCGCGACAAATCACGTCCTTCGCGACGTTGACGTTGCGGGGATGCTTCTTGCAAGTTCTGCAGCAGGGCGGCTGGGTGTCAGTCTAAGTTAGGGGCCACGCTAACCCGTTGGAGGTAGGTCGGCGCGAGGACACGAGCCTCTCCACGAGCTGAGCTGGCACGGCACGCGGGGCGACGGCGTCGAGAGTGGATACGTGTGCACGAGCTGGCAGGAGCGACTTACTGAATGGATGTACGGCGTCGTCAGCCGGATGAGCTCTCGTGAGCGGGTCCTGCTGTCGGACACGATCGACCAGCTGCCCGCGCACGCCGACGGGCGTCTTGCTGACAAGACACGCACTGTAATCGTCACGAGTTCACGCTCGTCAGCTGCACCGAGCACCCGAGACGTGCAGCGCTTCGGGGAAGCTCTCGAAGCTCTCGAGCCTCGACCCCCGGGGGGGCATGGAACCAGAGCACAGACTGGCACGCGCACGTCAGAACGCTGGAGTCAGCTTCCAGCGAGCGCGCGCTCCACGTCCGGGAACGCGAATGCGCCTGCCCCCTACTGACGACGCGCCAACCCGACAGGGTGCGCAATGAATGTCGCGAATCACGCGCACGAGCGACACGTCTCGTCACTGCGCCGGACGCTGACATGGACGCGGCGCAGTGGCCGCATCGCCAGATCAGCTGCCGTCGCCCGCTGCGCTCGGACGTGTCATAGCGATTGGAAAACGCACCCGAGTTACGCTGCTGCGCGGAGGGAATGTGTCCCCGGTCCCGCAGGTCGGCCGAACAGCCAAGTGCCCAGGCCGGATCCCGTGGGGCGATGGCTTCCATGCTGTTCGCGCGAGGTGTCCAGAACCTGCGGCGCGGGCTACATATGAGCGAATAGATGACTTGTTGCGAGTCGCAAAGCCGAGTGGCGGGCGCGCGCACGCAGGAGATGGTTGGCGTGTTTACTGTTTCTTCAATTCGATGCGTATCCGCTACAATTACACTATCTATGTGCAGGCGATTGATGATGCAACACGAGATGAGCAGGAGGAATGGAGCGAGGCAATGGATGGGAGATGGAGAGCGAACAGATGGAGCGGGCCGGAGGGAGATGCGCCAATTAATGCAAGCACCGGCGTCGGCTGCTGCAAGTCCGAAATGTGCAGTAAAAAATATCGTTGGTAGTGAGATAGCAGAAAGGAGAGCAGAGCAGAGCAATAGCGAGTGTGGTATGCCTAGAGGCAGGCGAGATTATGGATGGTACAGCTGTATGCGTATGCGGACCCATATCGAGGCGTCGTCGGGGCGATGCGATGAAGAATAAGTTACGCCGGTCGCGCGTGTTCGGCATTGCGGTGCGCGAGGCGAAGGCAGGTTTTGTACAGCGAAGTCGAAGAAAGCCGGCAACCGCGAACGCGCTTATGCACGTATAGGAACCGACATCGCCGGCGCGAGCGTATTGTGGTACGCTGGCGAGGCCGATACGTGCGGTTGCGAGTGGAAGTGGGGCATGGGGAAGGAGCGGATGATGTTTGACAGCGCGGACATGCGATGATGGGAGTTGTGATTATGGTGCGACGCGTCTTCATGTGAGAACTCGATAGGTGCAGCCTTGCCGGGGAGCGAGATGGCAACCGTCGGCGCGGAGACGGGCGAGGGAGTGCGGGGGAGGGAAACAGACTCGAACGAGGACTCGGAGTCGACGTCCATGTCGCTAGAGTCAGTTGACCAGCGCGAGTTGATGGGGGAGCTCTCGCGGCGACGGTGGCGCTGGTGGGGAAGGCGCGTCTGCGCGTGGTGTGGGGCAGAGCGCGCGAGGAGCGCGTCATGGTGTGCAAGGAGATCGGCTTCGGAGACGGAAAGCTCAAAGTCGAGGACGTCGAGGAACTCGCGCTCTATCCGGCCGATGTCACGCTTGCCGAAGACTCCGGTGCAGAGCGCCCAGTGGACGTTCTTGAGTGTGGAGTCGTTCAGGTACTGAAGGCGCGAGGTTAGCGTCGAGTAGTGAATGACGTAGGGTGAAGGCAACGTACTTTGTTCGCGAGAATGAGTGCACCGAGGAAGACGCGCTCGTTGGCCCATTGCTCGAGCGCGATCTGAATGTGTGGCTTGGCCCTGTTGATGTAGACGAGGGTCACCAAGAGGGCGGGGACCTTGATCTCAGCCTTGTGGAGGACATCGGTCACGAACTTGAGGAACTTGGATTGTTCCGAGTGGCGTGACATTGAGCGGCCGCGAGAGGACGATGAAGCGCGGCCCAATGCATAGTCGACGGTCTCAACAACCGTATCGACGAGGTGTTCTGAAGAGAAGTAGGATACATGAGCTTCCTGTTTCGGACTGTGTAGGACATTGTGTACTCACCGATGAGGGTACGGCTCATCTCGATCTCGACCAGCTCCATGAGGGCAGGGGAGTGGAGGGAGGGATCGACGAGGCTTGCTGGGTGTACTGGTGACCCGACCATTGCTATTGTGTTGCTATGGAGGAGGAGGGGCTGGAGGAGCTGATGGCTGAGGAAGCGGATCGCTGGGGGGGCGGGATGGGGGAGGCAGGGCCATGGAGGAGGAGCTTATAAAACTGCGGGAGGCAAGGGAGAGACTGACACGACGGGAGTGGGATGGGCGAGATCTGAGATCCGATTGGAATGAATGCCGTCCGAGGCGAGAGGACAGGACAGACGCGCAGCTGCCGACAGGCGCCCGGCAGGGTCTTCCGCGGGCGGTCGGGCCCTGGGCTGATTGACCCCACCCGGGTTGACTCACCGCTCTTTCCGACGCGCCTTCAGCCTCCGTAAGCACCCCGACGCCATCCGTAAGCGATGCCAGATTCCTCAGATCTCTCTTTCTCGCACAACGCCCAATTGTTGCAAATCAAGGCGCTCCCTGCCACCCGCCCCGTCATTCTTCCTCCTGTCTCCTAAGCAGCCCTTCAACAAGCACTTGGCCGCTGATTCGCAATACTGTGTCTGTTAGCCTGGACGACATCAGTCTACTTGGGAATCTTCATCACAGCACGCTCTCGTTCATCCCGCCGAGCCCCCTTCTCGACCGATCTATGCCCAGGCCCGAGTCCTACAGAGCCCCGGCGCTGGTTGCCCAGGCCGGGGAATGCGCCTGCTAATTGCAGACAGCTGTCCACCTTATCGGGCTCAGAGTCCAGCCCCAGGCCTGTTCTGCGAGCATGCCCGGCGTGATCACTTTGGTCCACACCTCCTGCTCGTTTCCGGTCTACGTTCGAAATATCCGGATGCAGCCGCTTCCCCCCCGGTTGGACGCACCCATCGACGCGCTCCTTCGCCAGCCCGAATCCCGATTTCCGCATTCGCCTTCCCCTCCCACGGACCGTCTTCCCAGTCCAGCTTCCTTTCCCCACTTCCGGAATACATGCACGCAGATAGGCATGTACCCTGCGCCAGATTGGCAGTCGTTGAACTGTACGCACAGTAATTGCGCATCTGTCTACTAATAGATCCTACGTCGATAGTCTCAATACCTCCCCACGCTTGTATCGTCTGCTTCCAAGCAACCTGGCGGGCAGCACGCTCCCCAGCGCTGTAAAGCAAATGCAATTAGCATCCGGCGTTAGCAACGCCCACGATAAATGCGATAAATATGTCCGCATGCGATATATTCCACGTCGGCAGGCCCTGGGCGCCAGACCGGCAGCACAGGATCTCGGGCAGTCCGACTCGAGTGGACTTTGCTCTGCACGCGCCATCAAATTAAATGCGAGCCAGTTTGCCGAGTGGCGACAAGCTGTCGCAGACCCGCAACGCCCTCCGGGGCGACGTGTCCGCGGCAGGCACCCACCGGCGCGACGAGACGCGTGCGCTGCGGCTGACTTGCCACTTTGCAATCTGAGACTATGCAGCCATCACTGGGGCCCTCGGCGTCGGGTGCTGGGTCAGTACACTTCAGTCAGTGGCCAGGTGGGGCTGCAGAACGTGCATCGTGCGGTCTGTATGGAAGCGCATTCGCAGTCGGAACGCGTCTGCGTCGTCTGCGGGCCCTGCGCATGCCCACTGCGTACGGATGGTTCGCGAGGCATCAGCCGCAGTCCCGCAGATGGCAGCGCGAATCGCTTCGTCTCCATTTACCCAGCACAATTCGTAGAATGAACCATAAGCGCGAGCTTGAGGTTTCTCTGCGGGCCGCGTGGCGCGTAGAAACCCCAACATGCTACCATCGCCTACATTCCGATTCGCCGCACGCGTCGTGAAGGTCGCGACAGGATACCGCACTCCGTTTCGCCGCACGTCGCAGACACGTATCATATCGCCGAGAATTCTACAACACGGTACCCCGTTTCTCAAAGCGGCGCCATGCCCATCTGCCGACAGGCCATCTCGCCCGACCATGACCGTTCGATTCGATTTCGGAATTCGGATTGTATCGCGACTCTTCATGTGCAGTCCCCAATTATGAGCTGCTTCCATGTCACCCGCCAGTAGCCGGCGCGGCCTCCGAGTCACTCCACGTCATCTCTCCGAGGAGTCAGTTGCATCTTCACGCCTCGCTCCCAACTTTGGGCGCGCCTTCGAGTGGGTTCGGACGACAACGAAAGCGGTTGGTAAGCAACGGGCAACGAGGTTTACACGTAAGTGTGGTAAGCGAGTTGGTAAGTCATCGACACCGATTCGGACGGCGTCTGCTATGTATGCCTTACATAACTATACTACGTTCATCTTGCACGATCGGCGACCATGAGGTGAGGATGGAATACGACTGCAGTGGCAGGTCTGGGGAAGACACGCTTTGGCAAGGGCTACCATGGTATTTCTCGGAAGCTTCTGGACGCCACTCATTTATCCCGTTGCTCACCGCCGCGCGCTCGCTGGTGTCTACAATGTACATCACATCCTGTCGCTAAGCGCGGAGTCGACTTCCAATCCCTGCAGCTGCCTCCTATCGTCACGCGTGCGTCTCTTCCTTTCGCACATCTCGCGCATGGGCAGCGTGCCCAAAACAGAACGTCCCCTGCATTCCATGGCAGCCTTCGCTCTCACCCTCGCCTTCTCGTCAACCTTCGCACGCAGGAGAACCAGCTGCTTCTCCACTCTGTGGCGCCCACAGAAGGCCCCCTCGAAAGGCAGCGTCTCCCATCGCCCGCGCTGCAGAAGATAGAAGACGGTGGCGCGCCTACCTGTCCGCGATGAATCCGAGGGCGGACGAAGGCCCACAGCCGCCGCCGACCTCGCACCTCATGCGATCGGCCGACGCCAACGAGACTAGACCAGCGGTGCGGAGCAGCACGGAGGCGGAGGCTCGGACTCGGACTCAAGCGGTGGGCGGGCGTACAATCGCTATCGAGATCGGTCCCGGCGCCTGAGCCTCCCGCATTCCGCATCTAAACGCCGATGGCGATCTCTGGTCCAGGAACGGAAGGCGCTGCTCCTGCCTCATCCGGGTGCCGAGGCAAAATGGGCCGGCGGCTCTTTGCCCTGTCCGGATTCGGATTCGGACTCGGGTGCGGATTTGGCAGGCGTGGCCGGTCGGCGCGCGCCTTGGCGGCAGACGCGTCGCTCGTCGACCGGACGACCCGACGTGCGTCGGATTTTTCGCTTCGGCTATGGATCATGGGGTCTGTTGTTCGCGTCAATGGAGGCGGGCGTGTTGGGGATGCAATATAGGCTGAGGTGGAGAGATGGGCAGCGCTAGGTGAGTGATCGCAGCGTTGAACAGCGTAAGCAGCTGCTGACAGAGACGGTGTCCTCGGACAACTCATTCTTATTTCATATCACACCAAAAGTGGTCCCAGATTCAAGACCGGTAGCGAAGTACGCGTGCCACTATTGCTGGAAATTTGTACCACCCGGGATGGACTCTCGCGGCTGGGACGGCGAATATCATCGAACTTCACGTCACATCAGGCTCGCGTACTAACAAAGGCCCTTTGTCTCTTTTGTTCGTAGCCGAAGACAGGCGATGTGGTCTGTCTGATGATTGGCACGAAATGAGTCGCGATCACGACACCGTGCGCGACGCGTCGCAGGGTACGCGAACTCTTTGTCCTCCCAAAAGGCTCAAGTTGACAGGTTACGCCAGTCTTCTCGATCTCTCTTATCAGCTGCCTCGCTAAAGGCCCTTCGTCCGTGCTTACGATCATCAATCGCAACGGAGACTGACATGACGCGAGCCGAGCCCATTGTCCACCCAAAATAGCCAACTGTTGCATGTATTTATTCCTCGCGTACTCGACGTGACGCGCTTGGCGTCTTGACTCGCGCCGACCGCAACTCCACTCTCGAATAGACAAGTCCAACACGCAAGTCGTTCGCGACGTCGAGTCGCTTCGAGTCCCCCTCGCTTGAGAACTATGTCACCCACGAAATCAGGGACAGCCTGGGCTTTTGGTCTGCTGAATCCGTCTTAGCGGTGGGTGCCGCGGGCGACGAGCCCGCCCTCCGCGACACGCAACGTCGGGACCTGTGGCGCCCGCCAACCGGAAGATACTCACAGGGCTTCGCCGGGTTACGGGTCACTAACGACTACAACTATATCCATAGATGCTCCTTAGAGATGTCAAACAGGGAATGTTCAGCATTGACCCGGCGTGCGCCACCGCCAAACAACGTTGCTCGCTACCCAGCATATGGAAGCTAATCTGGAGAGTCGGCAAGGCCCCGCCCGGAGCGTCCTCCCTGTCTAACGTCTAACATTCCAACCCTGCCTCGCCGCAGGTGTCGACCTCCCCGGGACCATTCCCACCCATCAACAGCTCCATCTCTGCCCATATGGCGAGTTGCATGCGACGTGGCTACCAATCGCTGTACCAATACATATGTTGAAACATAGCCAGCTCGCCGCCGAGGAGTCCAAGTCCATCAACACCGGACGGCGTCTCCCGCTCGCCAGCTAATGCCAACACCAGCAGCCTCAATCGGTGCATCGCTTAACCGCAGCCCGTCAGCGCAGCACAGCAGTCCGCCGCACTCGCACATCACTTGCGCGCATGCGTTTCGCCGGGTTCATCCCGATGCCCAAGCCCAAGACCGAGTCCGCGGATCTGTGCGCACGGATGGTCAGACTCCGAATCAACAGCCAGTGAGTGCACTGGGCTCTGGAAACGCTCACGCCCGCTGTCCGAAGTTTGGGACATCAGCTAAAGGGTCGCTAGCTCGCCCGCTGAACCCTACACGAGAGAGGCCTCTTGTGTTGGAGTCTAGCGTGCAGCGGATGGTAGTCTTGGGATTTTGCCCAACTTTTAGCGAATGTTTGCGCGCTGATTTCAGAGGGGACCCGTGAGCTAGACGGCGGTTCGAGCTTGATGAATGGCCGACCAGTACGACCGAGGAACGGTGGGCTTGCGAGACGATTTACTGTCCCTCGTTGGCTGGAGCTGAGTCTAGCGCATGACGATTCGGTCTCCACATACTTCATGACCCTTCTGAGCGGCCATATACCCTGCAACGCTCATTGATGATCCTCAGTGATGCAGTAGCAAATGGGACTCGCCACGAGGCTTAGGAGGCGCTGGACATGCCGCTAGGGTCGATATCGGGCTAGTTGATGAGCACGTTCATGATCCAGCTTTATCGGTACCGCATGGGTGCACAACGTCGAGGTGTTCCAACGCAAGCCGTAAGTGCGCGAGAGCAAGAAAAAGAGCTGATTATGATACAGTGGTAGCGGGATCACAAGAAAAGCGTAACATGTAGTACATACAAGATGCGATGGTTCATGCTGAAACATCCTCTCAGCCGCCTATATTCCACAGAACAACCCCATTCATGACAAAGCGGGACCACCAGCATGCGCGCCCCGCCACGACGACCCTGCACAGTGCAGTATTGGGGTCACTGATTGGGCGCGGCGGGGGCGGGCGCAGCGCCGGGCTTCGCTTTCGGCTTGGAGTTCTTGCTGCCCTTTGGTCGACCGCGGGGGCGCTTGACAGGCTGGCCGTCTGTGGCGAGCTCATCACCCGGGCGCTTCGTCCCTGTCGCGTTGTTGGCGGCCTCCGCTTGTAATCGAAGCGCCTTGAGATATCTGGTGACGAGGAGGCGTGCAGCGGAGCGTGACAAGCGACCATAAGCGCGAGAGTCGACGGAGCGCGGGGCGGATGAGAACATCAGTAAGATGATTGGAGGGAGAAACAAAGGCAGAGTTCCAGACGTCAGACTCGGCTAGTGATGGGAGCATGACGTGAGAACGTAGTACGCACTCTGCGGATTTCTCTTCGAGGGTTGTTTGAAGGCTCGGTAGTGGCGGCTGGCCGAGCTCTTGCCGTAGCCGATCTACATCTTGCTTTGCGACGGCGTACTCCCCCTCAGTGATATTCCTGATCTTCGATTGGAGGTCATTTACTCTACACTCATACGGTCAATTTCACCGGGAAGGAGTGAGGGTTGAAATGAAGCACTGACTCTTTACTAAGGCTTGCTTCGGCGAGGTCGGCCTGGCCGGGAAGGGAAAGATGGTTAGGGAGAGGATGCCTGATACGGTAGTGTGAAACCATCTCGAACCTTATCCCGATCTTCGTTGACCTGCGATTCAGGGATGTCAACATGGGGACGCAAGTCGCACGAGGGAGGCGGCAATATGACATCGGACGGGGCTCACCTCACGTAGGCAATTCAGCAGCCGTGATCGCTCGCTCTCGAGCCTGACGCGACATATCCGTAAGTTCCCTCCATATGTCCGACGAGAGCTGCACGGATGCGGAAGCAGTTGGACGTACTTGTTCTTTTGCTCCTTAAGGTCTTGGATGGCCTTGTTCTTCTGCTCTAGCGCGGCGTGTGCGGAGAGAATGTGTGCAGTGTGGAGTTGTAGTGTCAATGCATGTTTCCTTCACAAGACGAACGCCATCCCACGTGATGAGGCGCGATCGAGGATATGCCGTGCGCCGCCGGACAAGATTCGCCCCAGAGGTAGGAGGGATGTCGAGTGACAGGAACCCGAGCCCACGCCGCAGCAGGAGAGGGTTACGCGGCGAAGGAAGGAAGCGTCGAGATGTGGCCGAATGTGCAAGGAGGAAGACGGAAGATTATGATCGTTATAACAAGGCGAACATCAGCATGTGGAATTGTGCCAAAAAGGAGGTGAGAAGGCGACTGACTTGAGCTCAGCGGTTTTGGCGAGGTGGACGAGGTTCTTTGTCCAGTCGCCGGTGGCGAGGATAGGCGTAGGGACGGGGGAGGAGGACGAGGCCTGGGCAGACGAGCCCGCAGTTGTCGTCGCCATGGATTTGGATTTGGATATGTCGGGCGAAATGCGAAATGCGAAATGACTGCTGTGGGGGTTTCTGGGGGAGAGGTCGCCCTAGCCGCGCCCTCCGGGAACTGTCCCGCTTTTTTCCACTCTTCTCCCACGCTTTCCCCCTTCCTGGTTGGCTCCGTCGTTTATTCCACGCGAGCACTTGACTGCCAACCTTGTCCTCGACTTATTTCTTTCCAGTTTGCGCAACGTTCAGATCGACGTCTTGGTAAGGCTCAACTCGACAAACACACAGTTACCAGGGCAGGCCTGTCCACTACTGATATATAACCGTTCACAGGTCGTCCTACTTAGCATGCTGGATCGCCTTCAATAACCTCATTTTGAACTCAGGCAATCCCGATAGGCAGCATGATGGCATACCGAATCTACGGAGCTCTAGGCACGACTGTTCGAAATCCTTGTTTTGATGCTACTCAACAGAAAGCCTGGCTCTGTAGCCTGTTATCATACTTACGATCCAGTGAGTGTTCTGCTCAAGTCTCGACCGCATTGTCTGATGGCTGTCTTCAATTCCTTCTAGGTTCTCATGGTAGCCGTGGCCGTTCCAGAGCGACCTGCGCGTGTTAGCTCGGGTCCGGTCCGTGTTTTTCCAGCCTGCATGCAACATATGGCCATTACAGTGGACAACAGTTCAGGCGCTACCGAACCGGTCACGCACGGCCGAACTTCAAGGCACATCACAAATGATTGCACCTCCAGGCTTATCATATGCCATTGCTCGAACGAGTTGCATCTCACTTAGGCTAGCTTCTGAATGTCGATGCATGTCCAGTATCAATCTGCCCGAGACCCGCCCGGACCACTACCCGTCCTAGGCAACGCCGGTGTAGACCTCGCCCTTCTTCTTCCTAGTACCAATGGGTTCGCTACGGACTACCGACCTCAGAAAATCTCATGGCACCTTCCGAGCGTTCATTACCCTTCTACATGCTTCCCGAAACAGCTCTTCAGCCGTGCTGAGCGCGATCCCGTCCGGGGCCCTCGCGTTCTCTTCCGGTTGCTTCTAAAGTATGTACATACCCACGGAGGGTCGTACGTACATCATCAACATGACGTAGGACGGATTCGCGCTCACCCGGCGGGAGCTTCTCGGTCGTCGGGCGCCGCGGTCACCGTTAGTACTTGTTCATTTGCGTCTGTATACTGTCCTGCAGCCCATTTCGGGTTACTTAAAATCGACTGGTATTATGGCGTTATACTACTCGACAAGGTAGGCACTACTTCAGAGCAGGTGGGTTGGCGGACAGCTGCTATCGGGCATCTGCGGCCGAGCCGCTGTCCTTCCGCTGCTTGATCTCGAAGTATGGGCTCTTGTAGATCGTAAAAGTCGCCTGAGCACCTGACGTTGTACCCGAAGGTGGGGTGGCAGCAGTGCTCGGCAAAGCTAAAGCGGACGTGGAAGACATCGTGCTACTGGCTATGGTCTCTGACGATGCCTCCATGGTCCCCGAAGAGCCTGCCAGAGACGACCCCGGACTATCGTCCCCCTCGGTGCTAGAAAATGTAGCGGTGGCGGATGCTGAGGCGGGACTCGTGGCAGCGAAGGTTGAAGTTGAAGTCGCTTCCGCAGACTGAGCACTTGACGACGGCATGCTGGTCTCTGACGACGGTGTACTACTGGTCGCCGACGTCTCGAATATAGATGTGGATGCAGGCGGCTCGGACGGCCGATAGTTCGGTGGGGTCGGCTTGTCTGCAGATCGTTTCTTTCCCATCATCACCGCCCGCGTCGGGGACGACTGCAGCGCGGCGACGTTGGTGGGACAGCTCAGTGGTCCAGGTGCCATGCTGTCTCTCGTACTCTCCACCGTGACTGACCCGCCGGCTGAGGTAGGAATGTATGTCACGGTAACTGCAAGAATTGCGGTCAACCGGGTAAGTAAGAGCGGGGGAGCATATAGAGCACTTACGCCAAACTTGGTAAGATGAACCCTCGTCGACCCATGGGACTGTGACCCCCATTCGTCCACTCGAGAGATCGAAGTCTTCACCAAAGACGACTGAGGCAGTGTAAGTACCCAATCAACGATGGATCCATGTTTTGCTTACGAGGTGTAGATTGATTGTTGTACGCCAGCGTTAGAAGAGAATGTCCAGGGTTGGCGGGCATATTGAAGGAGTCCCTGAATCACATTTAGCAAGTCGATTACCGCCACTTACGCGTCGGACATTTGTGCCACATACCAGATCACATTCTGTTTCTCGCCTCGAAACCAGGTTGTGCCGGCGTCAGGACTCAGAATAGCGTCGTAATTACCCGCCGCCACAGTGTATGGAACGATGCCATACGTGGTGAGCACGATAACAAAGGTAGCGAGACGTTTCATGAGGCGACAGGCGCAAGAGGGTTCTGAAGCCGACAACTGAGATTGTAAGTGAGTTTGTCCAGCAGGATCTTGCAGGTTGGAGACTCAATTGTAAATTACTTCCTCTACATATAGGTCTGTGCAAAGTAAATGATGATTCTTGTTGGAGAGAAAGGTAGGCCCATTGGCGGTTGGCACGTGCGACCCGCCTCATTTGCGGGTGAACGAGCGCGTCGCGCCCCAATGGAGTCCCTGTCCGAGCTGCGTAACAACGAACGAATTTGGATCACTGTAAGTATTCTGATTGACAGTTGGTGAAACGCTCATCCAATCGCCGACCACAAAGGCGCCATTGGTATGTAACGTCTGTATTGATAGGCATGCTGGCGCGCTCCTTGCGAATAGTCCGCCAGATCTCATAGGGCGGGAACGTAGGTTCTGGTTCCCGACCACAAAAGAAGACAGGTTTACTCTGCGGTTCTCGCTTGCAGGCGTTGCTAGGACCGCGCGGGTGACTGGACGCAGAAATGCATGTTCGGCAAAAGGCTTTCCACGATGCACACTCAGTAAGACTGAACATTCCTACGATGCCATCAGAACAACTCCTCGTGAATAACGTTAGGTATGGACGACACGGCTCCATGTCTTGCACATGGAGACCAAGCCGTATCTCATAACTGCGGCTTTATAGCGGCTATAAAGCATGAGCATCGGGGCGCTTTCTTGTATCAGACTAACATCCACAAAACAACACAAACCTGTAGTAGGTGTCCTGGCAAGCATCGAACAACGGATCATTCAGAGACACGATGCACGCGGGTCCCAAATTGTCTAGTCAATCGATGAGAATGCACGTCTGATGTCGCCGCCAGTTCCTGGGATCTTCCCGCCGCCGACAGAACACGTTGAACTATTTCTGACTTCTAGCGTTGTTGGATGGCATAGGCTGAGCCACAGCGTCCAGATACCCTAACTCAGCGTCACGGTATCGGGCTGATCAGCGAGACAGCTTGTTAGGGAGGAACGACTGGAAAAAGGTTCGAAGAGGAATTGAAACTGATATGAACACTCTTCCTCCTGCTCGCACTGGATTAGTGATCTAGTACTGGGGTGGAGGCCCCTTCATGTTCCTTGTCCCTGGTGTAGTGGGCGCTATCTCTTCAAGTTGCCGGTTTACGACATCGCCACCGCCCCGGCATCTGCTCTTCCTAAGTCACCCTTCCTCCACACATTACACCCTCATATTGTCCTCAGCTGCACCAAGCTTCATCGTCAATACAATGGCGGCTGCTTCTCAAGTGTTAACTTTGCGAGGGAAGGTATATGCACACTCGGGTTGCGCTTTCATCCCAATCTGACTGAAATCGTACGTCAGCGGGCCTGGCGCCCCCGGAATACCCCCGGTTCGACAGGGTGAAAAGCGCGTTCAACGGTCGCACCGTGGAAATGGGACTTGACTGTTGAATATCCCCCGTCAATTATCCGCGGGCGCAACGTGTTTTTACATCCGTAAAGGTTTTCCACCTGGGACGCTAAGCTGAACGGGGGTATTCCACGGTTGCTCTTGGTGTCCGCAACCAAGTCTGCGTGTGCCGGCCTGTAAGGGCCGGCGCCTGACATACCCGATTAGGACGAACATCGCGCTTTGTCGCGATCGCAACAAAGCCCTTTGGGCTCAGTGGCTCCCGCCACCATAGATCTCTTTCTCTCTTTCTCTCGTTTGTATTTCTCTGTTCCTTTCTCTGATGTAGATCTCAAGTAGTATAAGAAGGCCTGTACTTAGAGGGGAGTTGCCCCAGCGTTCGAGATATACGACTCTACCCACTCACCCTCTCGTGTGTCTCTTACTCTCTCGTGTTCTCGGACGACTTCAACCTCGGCTACTCTCGGCAAGCTATCGCTTACCTCTCACGCCCTCTTGAAGCGCCCGAAGTCTCACATTTTTTGAGTGTTTTCTTTTCTCATATCTCTATTTCTCACTGCGTCGGCTTGATCACCCGATCGCTTTAGAATCATACCGGTTCATTGACATGTCGACATACAACAACTTTTACCAGGGTACGCGGACCTTTTGGAAGGCGGCCGCTACCCCGGGGTCGGGAACACAGGCTCCCGAGCCTCGTGAGTTTGAAGCAATCGGTGAGTTGCCCAACTCTAACTTTCTCCCACCTGCCGAGCAGAGCAAGGTGACCCCTGTCTACCCGAGTCCCCCACTTTTCGCGGCTACAGACATTGAGCTTAGCGTGAAGTGGGGAATTCAGGATTACGATATGATCGTGGACAGGGATGTCGGGAGGAGGGTGACACGGAAAGTTGCGCAGGCGATTCGCGAAGGGGCTATGATCCCCAACGTTGAGAGCCTGTTGTACCGTGGTCACCGAAGGATGCGCGGGGGTACGCCCACGGCGTCCCACCCAGGCACGACACCAGATGTCACAGTGCCGTCAGCCAGGTCTGAGATCGCCGTTGAGGCTGATACTTGACCTGAGGACGACTCTGAAGAGGACGAGACGACGGAAGTCAGTACTCTCCTCTATTCAGAGGATGTCCAGCTCGCAGAAGAAGGCGACGGCATCGGAGGACATGATGCCGTAGAGGGGGACTTGGGAGCGGACGAAAGCTCTTCGGTCTCCTCTGACCAATGGAAGGTGGTACGGGCGCGACGCAGCCCAGAGCCACAAACCACGGACATTCTGCCCGTGGTAACTCGCTACTTTCCGTCCTGGTTCGATCTTTGCGACTTCGAGGACCAGCTCGGTCCTATCCCGACTGATTGGTCAAGTACCAAGACCGGGAGCCCTATTCTCCCTGAGGTTCAAGTTAGCAGTGGGGGGACCTCGCTGCTGGACGAATTCTGGTAGGAGGTGGACTCTAGTGACGAGGACGGCGCATTGCAGCGCGCGATAGCCAACTCCATTCGTACGGCTGAAGCAGAAGTCACTAGGCAGACAGGCATAGAATCTAGGCCTTTGGAAGTCATGGCGACCTTAGTGGAAGTGATCTCTGAAGAGGAGAAGGAGCCCGAGGCTCCAACTGGCCAGAGCAGCCGGTACACTTCTAAACAGAAAGGGAAGCATGTACCACGTACCTCGCAGCAGCGTGAATTCCTTAAGCAATTTGTTAGCGGGCACACTAGGAGGAGTGCTACTCCGGCGCCGGAGCGATCAGATAAGAAGAGTTCAGAATCGAAACCTGTCAAGACAGGTCCTGCCCGGTTCAAAAGGGAGTCTTCCCAAGTGCCTGATGGAGGATGGTTCCGGGATAGCACCAGGGGCGGAGGGCGTGGACCTCCGAGTTCCCCATCAGATTCCAGCTCGGACGACTCGGAAAGCTCTAGCTCGAGTTCAGATAGTACTAGTTCATCAGGATACAATAGCGATAGCTCGTCCGCCTCGGACAAATCGCAGAAAGGCAAATCGTCGGCGGAGAAAAGGCACCGCAAGAAGCAGAAGCATCGGACTAAGCGTCTAAAAAGGGCTCTTGCAGGCGTGAAAATCAAGCACCCATTTACCTGGCCTGGAACTCCGGATCTGGATCTCTTTGATCAATGGATTTATGAGGTAGATACATATTGTGAAATACACGGTCTCGATGATGAGCTCGCGCTCAAAATCGTGGTACAATTCCTGTCGG